TTTCTTATCTGAAGACGCTCTTATCTTGTAGGCAAAAATATTCGCAAAAACACTTAACAAGTTAGTGTAAACCGCAACGTTTAGGCGTTGCCAAGGCGACTCATCACTAGAAGGTCCCGGGTTCGAATCCAGGGCCGCGTAGATACATAAATGTAATACCAAATAGGCTGTTTTTCAAAAGCACCGGAACTCTGTAGGTTGATATGACCACGGTTTGTGCTTAAGTTATGTTCATTGATAAGTCACAACAAGACCATAAAGCAAGCGGCGTTTTGAAATGCGTTAATTAATAAAAACACAATGAATTACTTATTTTGTGTGGCGTTTAGTGACCGTTAGCCAATGATTATTTGGAGATCGTGAGATGCGGTCTGGTGTGACGCAGGTTTTAGAAAAACATTTTCTTTATCGTGCCAACGTTTCAATCTTCATTGAGATCATCTTCAGGGCTCAAAGTGTTTGTTTTCTGTGTAGATGTTTCATTATTGGGTCCCTCGCAACATGACACCCAATAATTGGGTAGATTTGGTGAATCATAAGACAAAAACAATTTCCGAAATATTTTTTTTTCATTATTAGTTTCATTTTGTTTTTCAAAATTATGAAACGGTTTTATCAACAACATCGAATACATCAGACATTTTGCCGGGATCTTGTAATTGTTACAACAATGGTAAAAGTTGAGACAGAAAAGATGATGAATATAATGTGGAAATTTTTATTTAGTCCCTTATAATTCGTGGTCCGATTGACCAAATAAATTCTTTCAATTAATTAATCTTTATATAAGCTATTGGTTGAAATGAAAAAGTTAGTGTCAGGAGCAGAATTCGAACTCACTACCTTCGGCTAAATACTCCGCTGCTTTACCACTTGAGCTATCGTGACTTCGATCCACTCGGACACTAACGAAAAATGGAAAAACTTTGTGTCGGAGTGGATCGAAGTCACGACAGCTCAAGTGGTACAGCGGCGCGTATTTAGCCGAAGGTCGTGGGTTCGAATCCCGCTCGTGACGCTAACTTTTTCATTTCAACCAATACCTTACATAAAGATTAATTAATTGAAAGAAGTTATGTGGTCAATCGGACCACGAAATATAATGGATTTAATTAGACATAATGGAATATAAATTAAAATTCCGTTATTCAACCCTTATTATGTAAAAACCATTTTTATTAAACTCTTTGACAAAATGGAGTAGGCGAGCGGTTTATAGGGCTTTAATAAAAACTCGCTTAAGAATAATAAACGTTTTTTTAAAACTTTTTAGCACTAAATCTATATGATGAACTAGTCGTCCTTTTGGAAATCATAAATTTATTCGTCTAATGAGATATTTGGATCGAAATGAAACTTCTTAACGTTTTACTTCTCTTATTGCTTTAAAATTTGTTTTGTCTTTTGCTTATAAAACGTTTTTTAAACCCAGGTGGTCAAGAAAGTTCTCTCTTTTTCTAAAATTACGAAACACCGTAGTAAACCTATTATAAAGGTGGGAACGGTTGGTGAAGTTCTGCAAGACGAACCAAGACTTATCATGTAAATTGTTCTGTATCGTTACAATTTTGTTTTGTACTTTGAATAAGTACAGACTAGGAGGCAACAGTTTATAAAATAAAACTTATTAATTTACCTAGTAATATCACAACCACTAACAGAATTGAAAAAATGAACAATAAACATCTTAAACCAAAAAATCGAAAGGATGATTTTTTTTTTTTTTTGTGGACTCCACGATTCTAATCGTGTTGAGAAAACGTATAGAGCTTCTATTTATAAAAGAGGAAGGGTTCACAAACTGATATGAGACTTACATAAGAAACATCTCCGTTTAATACAAGTTCTAATATTAATTCCTAAACTGAAAACGCGTGGAATAAATGATTAATTTTCTTTTCGCGTCGAGTAATTTGGTTGGTTCTTTTTTAATCCAAGGTTCCATAATCGCAAGATCATTCGAAACTTAAACATTCAATTAACATATAAAATAAAAGTTGAACGGTTTTGAGTTATCAAGTTTAGTTATGTTTCAAATCAATTTAATAAATTTAACAACACCAATGTTTATCAGAAATTTGGGATGTATACATTTCAACTTCAAATAATCAAAAATCCTTTGAGGGATGAGAAGATTTGCATCAAATGTTAATTATAGATATTTGATGTCGATTTGATACCAACATTTTTTATGAAATTTTTGAGATGATTGAATTTTATGAATCTAGGATCTTTTAAAATCAAGTATCATCAGAGCCAATTAAATAAATTTTAAAAGTGGGGTTTTATAATAATTCCAATGATTGCATTACTAGTGCGCATTTGTCTTCTGCACTTATTTTTGTTCAAATCTCAATTATAATTTTATTTAAACATTTATTTTGTCGTTTCGGGAATTCACGCCCAACATCAGTATCTCTAAAATTAATGAAGCTAAACTTTATTCTAGTACATCCCATAGTTTCTTGGCATTTTTTTAAAAATAGTATTCACATGAGAACAAAAACGGCTTACAAAGTAGCCTTAAGAAACATTCCTACTTACACAAGGCGTTTTGCATACAAATGGTTTTTTATTTTATTTTTAAGATAGTGAACTATATGGATTACGGTATAACTTATAACATTGTGAACAGTTTATCACTAGTTTTTATTGACCACAAATTACCCAACAACAAACAATTGGGGCGTCGGTGACCGCAAGGGTTCAAGCGTTGACATGGTGCTCATCGTTATAAGGTAAATCGTTCCTGGTTCGAATCCAGCGGCCCGACAAATGGGCGTTTTTCAAAAACACCTCACCCCGGAGTCCATATAACCTTGTATTTAAAATATCCCGTAAAAAAGCTTATTTTCGTTCTTTCCTTTCGTAATAATTATTTTAAGAATTTGCACAGCCTAGGTTAATTGTGCCGTTTTAAGATGTATACTGGGTCAAGAGGCTTGCTGAAATTCTTCAGCTCTTACATTTTTTGAAATTTCTTTCTCTTGAAATCATTCGAGGAGAATCGTTGGTTGCTCTTGGGAAACGTCATTGCTTAGTGTGACTATCTATCCTGTAGATGGATTTAGGCCTTGCCTGCGATGTGGTAGCTCTTGTTTTGGTAAGAGCATCTGCCTGTTCCTTTCTCTCCTTTAATTTCTTCGAGCCCAGTAGTTTTAACCTTGTTTTGTTTATATTCGAATGCCTGCTTTGACAGCTATCTTTATTTTGATTGGGCCAGTATGAGGACATCCATCCCTATTCGTCACTTTTTGTTCAATAAAAGTCTGGTAAAGATAATATCTGTCCTGTAGAAGGTTTTTATTTCTGCAAAGTAGCCATGCTTGCAAGAACATCAACTTCATATTCCTCCCTGATTCCTACAACTCGTGATAATATAGTGACTGATTTATTCAGAATGATCTAATTATTCGTTTTCTATTCTATTTTGAATTCATTGCCCTGATGCTTCGCTATCTGTCATGATAATTGTTTTTATTTTTACCATCTTGGTTTACAGGACCCCTCTGATGGCAGGAAGTTTTCTCCATACGCTGTGGAATATGGTTTGACACTCAAATATCTTACATATGTCTCTTCTCATTAATCCTTATAATCATATCACATATCAGGCTGGCACTTTTCTTTCATTTTATTAACCCACAAAATAGTTTTCTTATCAATTACAATAGTTAACGTTTTTATAATTTTTTTCCAGGAACGCTGTTCCTTAATTTTAAGGTAAGCCTGTTAAACGCTTGTTATACTAGGTCAAGTTTAATCTTAAGAACCCAATTGAGCTTTTATAAGGCAAGTATGACAATTTATATTAGTATTATACATTTTATTATACGGCTTACCGTCTATATGTTTAAATCTTTATTATATCTTTTGAAAGAAACTATAATGAATTTTTTTTAAGGTAATCCTTATAATAAAATGTAAAATACTAATATCCTTCGTTATACATTTTTGAAATACCGATTCTGATGTGTATAAATTCCCGGCACGTCCAAATAAGTAACGAATTTACTTTTTTTTAACTACATGAAATTTTTTTAACAAAAACCAAAAAATAATTATTCTACAATAGAAAATAGGAAGGAAAAAAATAATTATATAAACTGTCATGATTTGCATTATATGTATAACAACGGTATAACCTTTATGTATAACAATATACACATTTATATCCATTTAATTTTAATGGTACCAATTTGTCAATATATATATTACTTTATGTTTCCTGTTTGCTACTGCGTTATCACGTAAATCAACAAAATACATTAAAATAATAAAATATTTCAAAAAATTTGTCAATTTTATTTTTCACGTTTGTAACGTTATTTTTCTTAACGCGTAATTTAATGCGGCTGGAGTTTCAAACAAAAACCGGAGAGTACAAAATTGTAGACGTACATGCGTGTAATTGATAATGTTTTCTTTTCGAAAGGAATAAGGAAGAAAATAACAATCAGTCGAGAGTTTAGAGAAAAATGGTCAAAGACGACACGTGATAACGGGCCGGAAAGTGTAACAATCTAGAGATAATCTTAACAAACGTCGGCCATTTTATAAAATCTATGTAACGGGAGGAATTTTAAAGGGGTGGCGGGTACGAAAAACCAAAATGTCACTCGGGTTTATTTGATGTCGTGCGTTTGGGGGATAAAGGTCGACGGCGATCCGATCAATTTTGGCAGTTCGGCAAGTCGGCGGATGGTGAGAAAGGGCGTAGAAGAGGAACGGTGGAGGCGGAGGAGGCGGCGTCGGGAGCGATCGACTCTTGTTATAAATAAGCGCGGTTTATTTAAAAGCGGTAAAATCCGGTCGGGCGGATTCTCGAGGCGGCGGAGGTAGGGCGAGCATATGGCGGCCGAAGCCGTCCCGTTTTTAACATTCCGCCTTTCCCGTTTGTCTTCCCGTCGAGGAGGCGGAGACCGAGAGTCGAGGATCCGCGGCGGAGAACCGCGAAAGAACCTTTGGGCCTAGACTGATAACTGGTGATAAGGGCTTACCATGTGCGGCGGGCGGAGGGCGCATCGAGGCTCGGCTCGGCCACCATTTGACGTGCGGAAGGCGGATTTTCCCTCTTCTCGTTCTCGATCCTCTTTTGTAGGAGACACTGGCGCGGGGGCGGGACACGCTCTCGGTTGGAGGCGGAGCACAGACCGTTTAACAGACGACACACCAAATCCCGTCGGTTACTCCTCGCGACTGATACGAAACGGGAGACGGGCCGAGATAGTAGACGAAGAAATGCGATGAAATCAGTCGCCGGGTGGGGGCCCCGGATTGAGAGCGCCTGCGCACTCCACCTCCCGCCAACTCACTTTTTCTTTTACTCCGGAGTCCGGCCGTCCGCGCTGGCTCTCCAGAGGATTGAGGATTCACGGACGGCTTCCGAATTCCGACAGTTGACAGTTTCATTCGTCACAATTAACATATTCTGAAATGAAAAACAGAGAAAGCTAATTTTATTTTCAGTAGTAATATGTACAACAATAAGTATATACACATGGACAAAGTTCGTCTGTCAGAGGTCGTTGAAGAAAGAACAAAATAGAAAAAATATATATATATATATTTATTTACAATTTCCTAATTACAAATGTATACAAGAAAAGTGTAAAGGTTATAACTGTTCATAAATTTAGAAATATTTATAATAATAAAAAAGCTTTCTCAAATTTATTGGAATTTATAATAAAATTTAGGCGTTTTCCCAGATTTAAATGTTTGCATGTAGAAATGTTTGCCTGCTAGTGTTTGAATGAGAGTTGTGCGTGCAAGGTTTATTTCTTTTTTCAGGAATTTTTGAGGCTGCTCGAGCGAAAAAATGAAATGCAAGAAAATACAAATTGCGGGGTGATAAACTACAATGCCCAAAATCGCAATTTAAATAAGAAAAATTAGCTTCCTAAAAAAAAGTTAATTAATTAATTAATTTAATTTAATTAAAAAAATGTTAAGCAGCATTAGTTCATTTATCATATTTGAATGGAAGAATATAAAAGGATAACAATGCACACACTATATAATTATCAATTAATAATAATAATCAAATTTAGTATTAATTATATTAATGATACAATATTGCTTAAGCTGATATTAAATATGTTTATATTTTCTAATGAATTTAACATATTTTTTGTTCTTGGTATAATATTGAATTTGGCATAATTACTATGGCAATCGATGGAGAAAGTTATGTGACTTCTGAAATGATAAAATAGAACATGAAAGTTAATTTGGTTAAGCAGTAATGGACAATTAGTTAAGGAATATAATAATTTATACAATAATACACAATCAAAGAATTTACTTCTGTACAGAACAGTCGTCAATTTCAGAACCGACATTAACGATGTGTATCTGTATTCTCCAATTGTTCTGTAATGCATCAGGTGTAAAAAAAAATTTCAAACTGCTTCTATGCGACTAATATGTGTGGAATGAATGGGAAACCAAAGCGGTGAACAGTAATCTAATATTGGTCCTACAATGGAAGTGTATACAATTTTAAGTGTATGTGGATCATGGAAATGTTGAGTATGGCGTGTAACAAATCCTAAGGTTTTATTTGCTTTAGCAATAGTTTTGTTAATGTTTATGTGTAATTAATTCTGTTTGTCAATAATGATGCCAAGTTCTTTAACAATTTCACATCTAATTAATATAATAGGAACTTAATGTACACACAGTTACTACTAAAAATTATAACAATGAAAAAAAGCTCAAATTAAGAAAAAATAAATTGAATATGAAAATTAACTTACAATAAAAGATAAAATAAAAATTAATAAGAAATTTTATGAATAAAAATTATCAGAATAATGTGAGGAAAAAATAGAAAAAAAGAAGATATAAAATCAACATTGGGTATGAATAAAACCGGTAATGATACAAATAAGCAAAATGTGGAAATTGACTTATATTATAATAAATGAAATTGACAGACAAATTTAGCAAATTATAAAACATAACCCACTAATACTTATTTAAAAAATAAAAAATGACATCTATTTAGAAAACAAAAACCACTAAGTTAAAAATTAAATTCATGAACCGATTCATATCTGTAATTCCAGGTGTGAAGGGGATTACTGATCTCTTCAAATGACTTATCTTTTAAACTTTATATGAAGAATTTTATTAAATTAAATATCCCACTCAGGCGGGCAATTAAATTAGTTTATGAGGGAATAGTTTATGAGTGGAGTCAGAGCTTTATACTCAGAATGGATATAGCTAACCTAAGGTTGATTTACAAAGAAATCACGATAACATGTATAAATTACCTATATTTTATAACCATTTTACAAATAATTACATTATAATATTGGGAAGAGTAAAAAAATGACTGTTTTCAACTTCTTATTTGTTCTTAAAAATTTCTATGCCTTCCAATGTTATTGTCATTGGCATTGCTTTAATCGTCTATTTCTTTCACTTACATGAATCATTTAGTTTTCAAGATTACTTCCCAGCTTTATTATCAATTACACTTTGATCATTTTGGCAATAATGATGTGTAAAAAGTATGTTTGGATGAAAAGTATGGTCATATCTTAGTACTAAAATATGTCCACTAACCTGACTGTCAGTAGAAAGAGTTGAGATTTTTTTTAAAGTTTATTGTTGTAATCAGATTACACGACATTTGACAAATGGCAAAAAGGAGGGAATATTCAAAAGGTGCGGTTGAGATGGGAAGTTGGTGTCCGAGTGGATCGAGGTCACGATAGCTCAAGTGGTAGAGCAGCGGCGTATCAAGCCGAAGATCATGAGTTCGAATCCCACTCGTGCTTTTTATCTCAACTAAAAACCTTAATTAATTGTAATAAATTGTTATAGTTGTTTATAGAAGTTAAAGATATATACATATATGCAACTTGTAGTTCATTTTATTAACATTTAATCATAAAACTTATCATTTAAAAGACAACTCACATGCACTGAATTTCCACCAGTATGGAGTCTCCCTTAGGCTCGGCGAGGAGGAGGATGGAAAAAATACAGTCAAATTATCACTTCACTAGAGAAATATGCCTATAAACATATTTAACAAATTCACTAATTTCGTGGTCCGCTTGACCAATTAATACATTACAATTAATTAAGGTTTTTAGTTGAGATGAAAAAAAGTTAATGGCACGAGAGGGATTCGAACCCACGACCTTCGGCTAGATACGCAAAAGAAAAAATGGCAAAAGGAGGGAAAACTCAGAAGGTGGGGTTGAGATGGGGAGTTGATGTCCGAGTGGATCGAGGTCACGATAGTTCAAGTGGTAGAGCAGCGGCGTATCTAGCCGAAGGTCGTGGGTTCGAATCCCTCTCGTGCCATTAACTTTTTTTCATCTCAACTAAAAACCTTAATTAATTGTCATATTTAACAAATCTTAACTATTATATACAATATTTAATATAAAATGCAATAAAGTTTCTAGCTAATTTATCGATCACTGTGTCTATTTCTTTTTAAGCGTCTTTTATGCAGTGTTGGAGGGTTATTTGGGTGGGATGTATTGTTGAATTAGTATGAGTTACCATGGATGCATGAAGACCTTGCCTTGATGACAGATTCCAACTCTGGAATTTTCAAGCCTTTATGCAGTGGAATTTTTGATAAAAGTTATGGAAAAAAAGTTAAAACTGAAAATTAAATAAAAAATTAAAATGCGTTACATGTTATATAAATGATAACATGTATTAAACAGCCCCAAGGTCGTTCATCTATAGCCACATAACTGGTTATAGTACTTCTTTCTTAGAACATAAGTGTGAAGCTGAAAAGAAAAACAAAGGCTCTCTGTGCAAAATACAATAACGAGATCATAGTAAAATCATCAGAGTAAACCTCAATTTCTTCTAACTTCACCCAACGATCACCTAAAGCATTTGGTACGTTTTCACGAGAAGTAATGACAATTAAATAAGTAAAGTAGTTCATGCTATACAAAGGGCTTAATGTTAAACTATTTGGGTGTCGCTGGTCAAATACAATACATTAGACAGTCGATTCTTGATAATTCGAAGCCCAAGAGACTCATAAATAATTCAAATTATCAAGAGTTGAAGTTCGAAGAAAGAAAACCAAATTATTAAGAGTTGATATGTATTTTTACAAGTTATTACTTGAATTGTACATTATGTATAAATCACCATGAAAATTATGAAAAAGTGGAAATAGATCAACTGCAAAATTGAACATTGTTATGTAACATTAAAAATATTCATGAAGCAGTTGTAATAGTATAAGGAATTTCAATTATTTTCAAGTGTTCACGGCCACAACACTAGAGATTAAGGGTAACAAAACATAAGACATCAGTATTCATCAAATCATTTATAGTTAAAGCAACAAGTACTTTTAATAATTTAAATTCAAATTTAAATATAGAACAAGAAAATCAATAGGAAGCATTAGAAGAAAAATTATTGACTACTTGGTACATAATTTCCTACTGAATATATAATATATCTAATAATATATGTATAATATATATGTTGGAATATAAAGGCACACTTGATGCACTGTAAATGTACTAATTATTTATTGACCTATTTATTTATTCTTATTGTATTGTCTGATTTATTGCTTTATTGATCTTTATGGATTGGCACTTTAAATTTGCATTATACTGGTATAATATGTAGGTTTATAAATTTATGTAATACCAATGTATATAAAACACTGTGTTTGTTATGTTAGAAAGGAGAAAAATGAACACAGTATAAGTAAAAAAAGAAGTTAAGTCTCTCTCTCTCTCTCTCTCTCTCTCCCTCCCTCTCTCCCTCTCACCCTCTCTCTCACTCTCTCTCTCTCTGCTTTCTCTTTGCTTTTTATTGCCACATGTTCTGGGATCCAGCACAGACTTTGTTTACCTAGTATGTTTAGTTTGGTTTTGTAGTTCAACACCATCTTTGAGCTAATGATGTTTGAGCTTAGTGCTTTGATGGCTGCATGGCTATCTGACATGATAGATATGTTCTTATTTTTGTACCCTTTATTCAAATCTCTCAGCTTGGAAGATACTGACGTATATTCCCATGAGTTCCGAGTATTTGGTTCCAGGACCGAATACCATCTTGTGTTTTAGATCGATCTGTGTACCAATAGATGGTGTCATTCTTAAAGGAGGTGTTTTTCTCTCTTTCCCATTCTTTCTTGGTACCTAGGTTTTTTCGTAAATTTTGATTAAATTCACACACCTTGTTCATGTCGTCTCTTGGAACCATGAATATTGGATGGTCTTTCATAATGTTGATGCTATCTGTTCATTTTAGTTTTATTCCTGTTGGAGGTTTCACTTTAATAATACTAATAATAGTTTTCTGTGCTATCCTCATTATCATGTGGTGGTGTAGGGGGATTATTCCCAATATCTCCTCAACTGTGGGACATTTTCTCATCAACCCCATTATACAGATGCATACAAATCTCTGCATTTTTGTGAGTTCTTTTCATTTTGTTATTTGATCTGCTTTATTGGCCTAGGTTTATTTGTAATTTTTGATTAAATTCACACATCCGTATGTAAGAATAGCTCTTACCATCATGGTGTACATCCAAAGTAGGGTTTCTGATCTGCATCCCCAGTTTTTTTCCGCTATTCTTCTGTACACCATCAAGGCTTGTGTCGTCTTCATGATGGAGGAGCCGATATGTTCCTTAAATGCCAGTGTTTTATTTAGTGTGACGCCCAGATATTTGGCCTCTTTTTTAATTTATTTAACAGTATTATTGAGTGTTATTTGTCTCATGTGATCCAATTATTTTCAATGTAAAAACGACTATGGTTGATTCTTAAGCCTACAGTTTTACACCATTCTTCTGCGATTTTTAGCCCTTCTCGGATTATGTCACAGAGTGTTTCCTCACATTTTCCCCTGGCGGTCAGGACTACATCATCCGCATAGCTAAAACTTTATCACTTTACAATCCAGAGTTTCGAGCAATTCATCTAACGTTAGGCTCCAAGAGGTGACATTACCCCTCTTTGTGGTCATCCTTTGGTTGTCCTTGTACATTGTCCCTCCAGATACTTGTTTCAGATTTTCTGGTTCTTAATATTTGTCCAATCCATCTGGATGTGGTCAGGTCTACATGTTTTTTCCCTAGGGAGACCTTCATGGATGCATGAGATGCATTATCAAAGGCTCCTTCAATATTTAGGAAAGCACAGATCGATATTTCCTTTACTTCTAGTGTTTCCCTCAGGTCACAAGTTAACTGGTACAGAACAGTTTCTGTTGATCTTCCTACTCTGTATGCATGTTGAAAGTGGTTTGTCTATCAGCACTGTCATTCTTATATCGTTGTCTATCAGCTTTTCAAGTGCTTTCAGTAGAAAGGATACTAGGCTGATCGGTCTGTAGGATTTTGGTAGTGTAGGGTCTCTTTTCCGTATTTTTGGTATGAACACCACTTTTGCCCTATGCCAAGTCTGTGGTATATAGCCTAATGATAGGCAACTTCTATATATATGCATCAGTGTTGGAATTATTATTCCTGCTCTTTTTATAGAGGATGGAAGAATCCCATCTGTTCCTGGCGCTCTATATGGGCTGATCGCCCAGGGGATCTTTTTCTCTGTATATATTTCAACTGCTTTCTTCCAGTTTTCTTTCTTAGTTTATGTAACACATGTATGTTTCTGTTTTTATGATTTTATTGCCTTCTATTCTATTACTTGCACAGAAGTTTTTAACTTTTTATTTTTTATATAAATCATAATATTTGTAAAGCTACGCCATATTCTCTTTGGCCCTGTTATCTATAAGTAGGTGATTTTTATGCACAAAAATAAAATCTTGTTTTATACTAAATAATATGCTGTAATACATCTAAAATATGAGCTTACAACGCTCATAGTATACATTAAAAATTGATGTATTGTATGTGAGCCATTCTCATTTTCTCCATATATTTATTCTTTTTTTAGGGGGGGGGGAAGGTGTCTCCTCACCCAGTAGCCCCTCCTCACTGAGCATTTTTGCTACTGTGTAAACGGGAGGGGTCGGGGTCTTCAGAATGGCCCACGAATGAAATTAAGGAGTTACCATAATGAGGATCGTTCCATGAAAATGTGATTTTAATGTATGTCATGATTGAAAAGGATTCATTATACACCTTCACTAGTCTGAAAACTAAATTGAAAAAAAAAGAGCGAGAACAGACGGACCAGAGATGTTCAATTTGGACAAAACCATTTTATTAATATGGGCGAATTGTTATTCAAAAACGGCGCTCGGACATACTAAACCTGCAACACAGCCAAGTTCGGCCAAACTGTATCGCAATTATTTCAGGCGCGAACGACGATTCGTGATCAATTTATATTAAAATAATAATTAATTAATTATTAATTATTTTGAGGGTTATGACAAAATTTTAAATTATGACATACAGGCCAGGTTTTTAAATTTTTGTCATTTATGAATTTTGTTTTGAAGTGTCCGAAAAATCTACAGTCTTTCCTATTCTTCTTTTCCCCTTTTGAATATAAACTCTGGGATAAAAAGAATAAAAACCTTAACGATCTGTTGTCTGTGTGTATTTCCATTAACTTTAAAGCAAATTGGATAGTTTGTTTTGACCAAAATGATGTTTTGCTAAATTTTTCTGTGATTAGCGTCAATATCTTGTTCAAAATGAACCTTCTTCAGGGTAGTTTGTGTTCCCGCTTAATTAATCCCTTCAGTTTCCTCTTTATTTTCTAAAGTTGCAAGATATTTGTCAATACATAATACATAGACGACCTAACAACTCAGTCGCGGGGGACAACAAGTCGTCAAATACAGTTTAATCTTATAAAAACTAAATAAAAGTATATAACAAAAAGCTGTGATGATTTTTCTTACTTCCAAGGCTGAGAAATATTAATAGTATATAACGAGGTGTTCAAGTGTTGAACTTGCACAGAAACCTAACTAAACACAACTTTTTAAAATGAAAGTAGGTTTTGAAGTTTTTTTTTAAAACTGTGATTGCTCTCTTATCAACCCAACAAACTTGCATAAAAATCCAATCTTTGGCCAAAACTTGGCATTATGCATTGCAATCTGGTTAATTAGAAAAATATATCACGTTTGAGGTAACAAATTTCAAAACCTGTAATGCCATGATCATTTTAAAACAAAATATTACATCTAGAATCTATAGTAAAATTTTAATCAAACTAGCAATGATTCAAAGTGTAGGAAGTCATAACAAGAGCCAGTTTATTGATTAAGTGTAATTAATTTACTCATTTGCTAGCACGAATTGCACATTTTCCATACAAACATGCACCACACAATACACGCTAATATTAAAATTTACGTAATAGTTTTGTTCTAATATTGTTCTAATCGGCATTGGTTGTTGACGATTATTTATGAGCTAATGTTACTCTGAGACAGAAGCAGACACAAGTTTTAATTTTTTTTTGTATTAAAAATACATTAAAAATTTAGTCACACTGTAATGTATTACATATATTACGTGCTTATACAAAATGATCATGTCTTTCATACAGAAAATAAACATAAAGATTTGATAATAGAATATATAATTTAGAAAATGATACCAATGAAAATGGTTTCACATTACTATTTTAGAGTAAAACAGAAAATGTTCATTTGGTCAAAATTACATACATTACAAATAATGACAAAATACATAAGACTTAAAAAAATATTTTATTGTATTTGTGTGTAGGGTTACGAACATTGGCTTAGAAACGTAGATAAAGCTAGGGTATCGAATAGCTTAAACTTAATTTTATATCCTTTCCTTTGAAGATTACTTGGAATGCGTAAGTTTAGTTCGTAAGTGAACTTAACTATTTTGGATTTATGTGAATTCATTTTGAAGATATGGGAAATTAGCTAAAGGAAAATTGTATGTCTAGATCGAACATTGGTTTTTGGCAAAAATGAGAATTGTTAGGAGGTTTTTCGCTTCCCCGCAACTATAAACTATCTCAATTGCATCCTTCCTGAATTGTTTGAAATTTTATCAATATGACTCCTTTTAAAATCAACTTAGTTTAAATGGATATTAAAAATATTTCTGTAATCAGATTTTGATATGGATTCCTGGAAAAAAGGGGGATTAACACTTTGCACGTGAAGTTGCCTTGCACTTAGGTTATATCCTTGCAGAACTGGACGTTGTTTTGCTTAGTTGCAGACAAATATGGGTAATGATTTGGGAGTTCGCTCAGTTGGGAGCGCAATTTCGTACAAGTCACTGACAGTGAACAAACGGGTTAGGAATAAGAACTGGAGGCGCACTGTTTTGTCTGTTGTCAGGTGTGTTGGGTTACATCCTTTGGAGAATTAATTTCCTCTGTTAGCATAAATACCGTTGGCGGCGGCATACTTATTCTCCTAATGGTTTCTACAGAATGGGAGCGATATATAAAATCTACACTTCATCAAGTCACACTTCAAGTCTTTAGTTCCAACTGTTTATTGTTGGAACCAAACTAAACAGTTCGACCTAAATGGTCGATATTCAACCTTTAATGATAGAATTCCAACAAAAAAGTACAACGAACCTCTAAAAATCGTTAATCTACAATTTCTTGTGATCACCTTTAACAGAATATTGTTTACAACGTTTGTTGACTGTAGTCAGTTTACAAATAGACAGAAGTAGTCTTGACCTTTGGTCAGACAATAAATTTGAACGATATATTATGACGCCACACTATCACTATTTTGTAAGGTACAAAAGTATTTTAAAACTTAGTATAGAACCACTAATGATCCTTATTTAAACTGCCAAATTTGAAATCTGTCAGCAAAGAGTGAGGATCTCATGGCCGAGTGTGTTTTTACACGGTAAGAAAACTTGGGTTGAACCGTGCTTATTGCGCGCTCCGACCTTTTTGTAAAGGGCCCTTTTTCTTTTCCCAACTGGGATAGCTAATATTTGAAAATTGGACTGAAACGGCATGTTGACTAAGAGCAAGTTGTGTTTTTTGGGGGATACTTCATCGGTTCGACAGCCCCCCTCCAAGTTGAACGATCGCGTTTTTCACCATTCCGAGCCATGGGAGCACTACCGATGGAGCCCCTCTCCTCCCTGTCACCCAGTGTCTGTAAGTCTGTCTATTTTAACATACAACATATAACAATTTATCACTGGTTTTTAGTCCAGTACAAAAAAAAAATTATTACACAATGTTTTTTCTCTAACTTTTATTTGGATATTACCGCAGAAGAAAGATTAATTACTCTCAACTACATCCGGCCTAATAATAATCAAAAGTTATAAATATCTACTATAATTCTAAGCGGTTAGAAATGTGTCTGGAAAAATAGTTAAATTCAAACAGAAAATAGACGATATGTCAATAATTTATAAAGCAGTTTAATAAAACTTAAACTCTAAAAGTTGCCGTATATTCCTTTAAAATTTGTAGAAATGAACACGAAAACGTGCACATTGTAACATACTTTTTGTAATATTACTCAAGTATTACATTTAAATAATACATTATTATTACAGCAGTCGCGATCGGTATTTCTGTTATGAAATTTAAGTAGGACATACTTATAATTAATAAGTTACTAAATTTTTAGGCGATTAAAAAGAGTATTTTCGGATCATTTTTATCGAAAAGAGTTAATTACTAAATACTAAATAGTACATGAGAATTGAATTACATCGGAAACAGTAAAAAATTACAGAATATACTAACCAGTTCATTTCTTTAAATTATATAGTAATAATCGTAAATAACACATGCATTTTTCGTGTATTATTATTAATTTTCTTTAATTAAAACTAACGTAAAATATTAAAATCATATGCAATGTTATTTCTCTATGAACTTTTTTCTTATGTCTATTTATTTATTTTTTCTGCTCGAGCATCATTATTTATCAAGCCTGTGGGTTATTTAGTGAATATTGATAAATAACACATTTATTACTGTTACCAAGATGATCATATTTGATCATTAAGAATGAAAATGTAAGTCGCACAAAGGTATAATTAAATCACTAAATACTCTTCGAAGCAGTTTGTGTTTTTAAAATATGCCAAAATACCGAAAATATACTCTTCTATGTGTTCTAACGGAAGAATATGTTCTGTAAATTATTTAGTCTGTTCATATGTAAAAGGAATGGATTTCACATTGTCGCGATTGGCATTTCTGTATTCCTGATGGAAATTTAACTGGGTAAATGTTATAAATTAATTCCTAATTTTAAAATAAGAACAAAAACGACCAAAACACATACAGTAAAGTTTTTAATACATATATTTTCTCAATGTAAAATATATTCTGTATACATTTATTTACAGATATGTGCATAAACATTTACAGTTTTGTTAAATTCTTATCAAGCAACATTTTTAAAGTGAATTTATAAATGAATACATATGCATATAAATAAATGTATAATGACTTGTATACAATTATTGCAGAAAACCTATGTTTGTAGGCTACTTTTTGTGACATAATTCTAAAGCGTCAAATGCACATGAGTTAGTTATTTACACAGTGGTATTGAAAAGTGATATTTATTACCTACTACATGAGTACAGTCGCGTATGTTTTCTCTTTATTGATAAAAATGTGTGGTGTTTAGTGACCGTTAGACAATGATTATTTGGAGATCGTGAGATGCGGTCTGGCATGACGTCGGTTTTCGAAAAACATTTTCTTTAAAGTGCCAACGTTTCGATCTTTAATGAGATAATTTTCACGGATCAAAGTGTTTGTTTTCTGTGTAGATGTGTCATTATTGGGTATTGAGAGTGCCCTACACGACACCCAATAATGTACACATCTAAACTGAAAATAAACACTTTGTGCCCTGAAGATGATCTCAATAAAGTTCGAAACGTTGGCGCCATAAAGAAAATGTTTTTCTAAAACCTACTTCACACAGATCGCATCTCACGATCTTCAAATAATCATTTATTGATAAAATTTAAGTATAATTAACCAACTATTAAAAATAATTTTAAACATATAAATAATAAGTACGTAATAAACTCCCCATCAAGATGTGTTCAAAATCATGAAAACCTTAACATTTTTAAAATTCTTACTTATTTGTTTAAAAAAAGTTGGGATTAAAAAATATATTGGAATTTCAATTTATTTATTTTAAAATATGTACAAATACAAATGGAAAGAAATAGGGTATATAGTGCTTGGAGAAGCCTTGGTTTAAAAAAAATCAACAAAAAAAATATAATCTATATTAATGATAAATATATTTTATATAATATATGTAGCAAATATATAAATCTTTTCAAGCATCACATGCCATTATAAACACATTTACAGCATCTTATATTTTTACTTAATCAACATAATCCTACACTGTAAGGATCTACACGAAGGATTAGAAAAAATATTCAATTTAATGAAGAAAAATTAGAGTAAAAACTTTAGCTACGTTGTTTACCATATTTACGTTATTGCCATAAATTGTATCTTTTATGTGTACCATGTAGTCCTTAGATTTTTATTGTTTACTAAAAATTACGGACAATAAATTTATTACTACTACGAAGAATTATGACGCGGATGTAATTTAAATAATATATTATAAAATCGCTAGTAATGTGCCACACGAGTATTCGTTTGGAAATTCCCAAAAAACTTCTGAGACGTTGTTAAAACGTTCAGTGTGATTCCGTATGTGAAGAATCTGAAAAAAATCGTTTGCAAATCGCAAAACTTGAAATTTAAACATTATTAATTTTAATTGTAAATTCCAAAAAATAGAGTTCAACACGCAGTTTATTCTTTTTAATTTCGTCTTTAAATTCAACCATTTCAAATTCAGTGTAATTTTTGTAAAAATGCATTATCGAGTAGAAAGAAGTAGGGCAGAATTTTGCTCTTGCTTCAATGGAGTAAAGATAATTAATTTTTAAAATTATCTTTTCGCCGTGATCAAAACGGACAGAACTTCTGACCCAAAACGCCACTTTTTCTTCGGCGATTCGAATCAAATCCATACCCACATTTAACTGAAACTATCTAATCATGTCGATCAGGTAGTTTGAAGGTGTCATAGCAACTTGTTATCAGAATATTCGGATTATTTCGTGTCTTAGTCACCGTACCAAATGATGCTGCTATTTAGGGCAAATGACGTCCAATCTGCAACCTATTTCTTACAGAAGTAAAATTCCATGACATTATCGTATATTTCTAATCGTAATTTTAGATAAATTTTTCAAAAAGTCATTCATCATGGATAATTAAATTAGGACGTGTTCGAATGAAAATAGAATTTTGGGTCTTAAAATTAAACGTTAGGGAGAAACGTAATAGTCAGTGAGAATCATACCATTTATTAATAATAGCTGTTCAAAAATGGATTTTCTTTCTCGACAGTCTTCTGTTTGCTAGAACCGACATATTCTTCTGCAAGAAAACCTGCAGAAGTTAGCAAGGTCACGTTATGTCGAGTCTGACGCGCTAATGGGGTTGTTCACCCATTCTATCGTTAATACAATAAAAAATAGAACAGAGAAATTATTTTAATTTAATTTTGTCGTTTTAATGCACCTTACTCTAAACCTTAGCGTTCACAGATCAAATGTAATAATAATAATATCGTTTTATAATTATATAATATCAATTCGGTATTGGAAGAATTGTGTAATTTATTTTCAGTAGCGATATGTTTTTGCAGACTTGCAGATTTAATGAAGGCTGTTAGGAATAAAACATCATCGATAAAATTCTAATGTTTTGATCTTATATTAATTACAAACAAAGATCTTAACAAGGACGTTATTTCAAGGTGTTTTATTGGTAGAAGAGTCGATAAAGCCCACATAATCAAGATTTGTTGCTTTTTCTCCGAAAATCATGAATTAGTTATAGGTGATAGTCAATTATTTATTTCATTTTTATAAAAGTAAACAAGCCCTTTAATAATAATAGTTAATAACAAATGATGTGTTGAGCTTGATCTGTTCATCCTGAACAGCGCTTGTCCTCCGCTGGTTGTCCAGTCAGCTGCGTTTCGGTATTTCGCTCTTCAGTTATTATTTCGTAATGGATTAGATATAACATTTCATCGGTAGAGTCACATGCATAGTTACAAAGTTGGACGAGATGTAGATGTAGATGTGGTAGTCGGGGTGTAATATACTGTGCCCTTTAAGAGTATTGTAATCCCCCGTTCTCTGCCTAAAGGACACCGGTGAGTGAGTCCTATTTGATCAAGGAACTTGATTAATAAGCCCTGGTTCTATGGTTGAATCTCTTCTATGGTCACATTGTACATCCCAAGCACTTCCTCTTGCGGGCAAGTGTAGCACCGCAGTTCGTTTGTAGGTGTGTTGGTGTCTCCTCTGCCTTTTTGCAGAATCTGCATGTGCCGTCTTGGATTATTCCAATCTTCTTTAATTGTCCATTTAGCTTGCAGTGTCCTGTTAAGGATCCAATAGGATTCGCAGTTTATTCCTGCATCCTTTGTACATTCTGTAATTTCTTTTCTTCCGAAATTTGTTAGGAGATTCTTGGACTCCCTGTGCCCAATGAGTGAATTCCATTGTTCCTTCATTTTCTTTTTGTCCTTCTGTCTGAGATACTCATTGATAGTGTGGGTTCTTATACCACAGAAGTGTTAAAAGTTGGACGAGAACATCATCCAAATCTGTAAATTACATGATGTAGCTGGATCGTCTCCGATTATACTGATTTGCCTATTCTTGCTGTTTTTCGAAATTTCCCCACTACGTTTCATACGTAGAGCCATAGAATTCAAATGTTGGACATCAAACTCGATCGTTTCGAGATTATACTATTCTGTCTATAATCACTGGTTTTCGGCACTTAGTTTTTTTGTGATTTTTTGAAAGATTATATTGGTAATAATTATATGGTTGTAGCTTGATAATCTCTGATCGCTGGTTTTCAGCACTTCCACATTTTTCATTTTGTCTCGATCTGTTTCATTTAGCCAATTCTGTCTGTTTATAAATGTGAGGTCCTGAAATTTTCAAAACACTTTCAATAAAATTCCTACTTTAACAAAACTTAATACTGAATGTAGTAATAACTAATTACTTGTAGCAACCACAATGACCCCTCAAGGTTTTGCAAATATCTAAATATATTGAACCGGGTCCTAATGGACAGTTTGCTCAGCAAAAGTATCATGCAATTATATTCGTGTCTAGCTGGTATAATATTAAAATACGTATTTGTCAATATTAATTAACTGACAGTGAAACAACATATATGTGATGTCATGTTGGACACCAAGGGCGTCGGTGGCCGCAACGGTTTAGGCGTTGACACGGCGCTCATCACTGTAAAGTGGTAAAATCCAGCGGAATCCAGCCCTGCACTCGAACCCGACATACTTGCAAATGAGCTTTTTTTCAAAAAGACCCTGAGGGTTTATATAACTTGTGCTGTCGTGAACTGTCGTAAAAAAAAAATAGTTATAATGGTCAACTCAGTTTATGCGGAACCGCGTAATTTTTTCAAGCTTCAACATTACTGGTAGGCATCTGAGACGGGGATAGTAATCATCCGAGTATTAATCGTCCATAACTGATGACATGTGGTCGCCCACTTCTTGATCCGCATACACTTACCAGTCATGTAGAAAAGCTCGTTCTATCTGACCAACATAATGAAAGGTTGTCATGACATGGCTCCGTACAGAGAGCGAGTAGAAATGATCTTGATTTTTTTTTCTTCGTGAGATATTACCTATTATTACCTCATTATGTAGATTAGTTATATAGTTTATGCGTAGAATGATGAAGGAATATCGATTACCCCGCAGACTCTAACTTCGATTACATATATGTGAACATAGTTTATGTGTACAGTGTAGAGGTCGATTATCAAGTCTACTTTTACATCGGTGGCCTCGACGGTTTAGGCATTGACACGGCACTCATATCAGTCCCACCTTAACCAACCTTTCGAATTTTCCCTCCTTTTTGCCATTTTTCAAATGTCGTGTAATCAGGATTCGATTCTCGGCGACAAATGAAATGGCCACAGAGATCTTTAGTGATGATATACTTCGTTTTACTTGTTAAATCCATTAGATTTGGTGGTCCGATTGACCAAATAACTACTTTCAATCAATTAATCTTTATGTAAGGTATTGGTTGAAATGAAATTATTGAGGTGGGTAGTTGGTGTCCGAGTGGATCAGTCACGATAGCTCAAGTAGTAGAGTAGCGGCGTATTTAGCCGAAGGTAGTGAGTTCGAATTCTGCTCCTGACACTAACTTTTTCATTTCAACCAATAGCTTATATAAAGATTAATTAATTGAAAGAATTTATTTGGTCAATCGGACCACGAATTATAAGGGACTAAATAAATATTTCCACATTATATTCATCATCTTTTCTGTCTCAACTTTTACCATTGTTGTAACAATTACAAGATCCCGGCAAAATGTCTGATGTATTCGATGTTGTTGATAAAACCGTTTCATAATTTTGAAAAACAAAATGAAACTAATAATGAAAAAAAAATATTTCGGAAATTGTTTTTGTCTTATGATTCACCAAATCTACCCAATTATTGGGTGTCATGTTGCGAGGGACCCAATACTGAAACATCTACACAGAAAACAAACACTTTGAGCCCTGAAGATGATCTCAATGAAGATTGAAACGTTGGCACGATAAAGAAAATGTTTTTCTAAAACCTGCGTCACACCAGATCGCATCTCACGATCTCCAAATAATCATTGGCTAACGGTCACTAAACGCCACACAAAATAAGTAATTCATTGTGTTTTTATTAATTAACGCATTTCAAAACGCCGCTTGCTTTATGGTCTTGTTGTGACTTATCAATGAACATAACTTAAGCACAAACCGTGGTCATATCAACCTACAGAAGGTCGTGGGTTCGAATCCCGCTCGTGCATTTCAACCAATACCTTACATAAAAGTTATTCAGAAATCGTGAGATGCGGTCTGGTGTGATGTAGGTTTCAGAAAAACATTTTCTTTATCGTGCCAACGTTTCGATCTTTAATGAGATCATCTTCAGGGCTGAAAGTGTTTGTTTGTTCTCAATAAAGATCGAAACGTTGGCACGATAAGGAAAATGTTTTTCTAAAACCTACGTCACACCAGACTGCATCTCACTATCTCCGAATAACCTTACATAGGTCAGGTCTGAAAGTGTTTGTCTTCTGTGTAATTGTGCCATTCTTGCGTTCGTGTTGTGAAAGAAGTTATTTGATCAATGAGACCACGAAATATAATGGATTAAATATTCCATCGACTTTTACTTATGCTTGTTATACAGTTTGTGCAAAAGAATCGAAGATTCGATGGAGGGCGCCACATGGGGATATGTGGTGGAATGCTAAGAATGATTGAGACTGAGTGCGCGTATGTTTTACTGTTAATTTCGCCAATTCCATATTTAATTTTCTTTAATCTATTTTACAGATCCTGTCAAACCGCTGTTGAACCAGGTAACTCTAGAAGAAGCACTCGAAGCCGCCGGTAATTATTCAAACTTCCGAACCTAGAAGTTTAAAATAAATCGGTTTTTAATATTTTTTTATTTGTTTAAAAACAAGGAAACGGCAAGTTTCAACGGTACGTCGCATTGATTGGAAGTATATGCTTCTTGGCCGGCGGCTTTCAAAATTCCCTCAACGCCTACATCCTACCTTCGATAAAATGCGACATGGGGATATCATCGTCAGAAATGGGGCTCCTCAACGCCGGTTTCCTAGCAGGTAGTACCTTCACATTATTTTAAACTGTAAATGAATACGTCTCGGGAAGTTACGTGATCAAAGAAAATGGTAGTGACCATTTTTGACAGGATTATACGGAATCGTTTTTCTCCTGTCAAATCGTTGTAACACTTTGCTTATCTGGTACAGACATAAAAAATAACAGGTTACAATGAATACAAACTTTTTTTAAACAGTATATGATAGATGGGCTGTTTATAAAATTCTTTAAATAGCTATTCATAACAATAGTGTTATGAAAACAAAAGGATAATTTCAAAGGTGAGAAAAAAATGTTCAACGATAAACACTAACAATCTTTTTTTGCATTTCTAGTTAATAATCCACATTTCCAATTATATGAACGTTTAACTAATTTTACAATGTTCTGCAATTTTAACAGTTACGTTATTGTTTTTGACCTTTATTGGAAAAAATTATACTTCTAATCACTGAAACTCTTTATTACCACTTTATCTCAGGGCTGTTAAATAGTTTATAAAAACGTCAACAAGCGCAGAACTTTATGAGGACGGGAAAGTGTTAATTTATCTCTTCATTCTTATTACTCACTCTTGCCAGTTTAACAAAGAAGGCCTCTTTATCGCCTGCTCTCCATAAAATTGTAGAAACCTTTATAATTTACACGCAATCCTACAGGTTTTTTCTTATCGCTCTTTTTTTTATTGGCACCGTCTTTTAAACCGATTCAAATTTTAAAGATTTGCCTAAATGCCGGCGATTTTTACAAGAATTTGAACAGTAAAATTATAAGAATAGACAGGAATCCTTTCAATTATCATTTTGATCTTTTATAAAGTTCTATTATGACTAATGAATAATTTTGATTGGTTAAGTAAATAAGATAAGCAAAATAATCGAAAAACCAAAGTCTTATACTGATTATATGGAGTTCTAACCGTTTTTAGATCTGCTTTAATACATAATAACGAAATAATACATTAAAGAATACTTTTATTGAATCTAACATTTCTAGCATTATATAAATTCATTCTTTTTTTTAACTTAAAATTTTCTAGCATTGTATAAATTCATTTTTTTAAGCTAAAATTTTCTAGCATTGTATAAAATCATTTTTTCCCAGATCCTACACGTATTTGTAAAATTCAAATAATGTTAATAAATCCCAGGCTCTGAAGATGATCTCAATGAAGATCGAAACGTTGGCATGATAAAGAAAATGTTTTTCTAAAATCTACTGCACCTCACGATCTCCAAATAATCATTGGCTAACGGTCACTAAACACCACACATAATGATTTATATGGGACACTTTGGAAAGTAACCAAATGTCTTACAAAGCGTGATACTCAGAACTGTAGCAGCTTAATATCCAACGGCAGAGAATATATGAGCTCGACTGAGAAAGCGAATCTATTTGCTCAAACACTGGAAGCATTTCACAATGCCAACTCAGGTCTGGGAACATATAGACACGTCAGTCAAAAAGTGAAATACTTTTCGAAGACTGCTCAAAATGAAACCACTGGCCTCAAACTAGTATCACCAAGAGAAATAAAAAGCATAATTAAGAATAGGGTAAATACAAAAACTCCAGGCGCTGACAGAATAACTAATAAAATGCTTAAGAACTTAAGTAGGAAAGGGTTAGTGTTTTTGACTTAAGTGTTCAATGCGCCCCTTATCGTGCGTTATCCCTTGGATACTACCCAGAGAGACTTCAAAAACGTCAAAATAATATTGTTGCATAAGGCTGGAAAAGACGCACAGGGACCTCTGCATTACAGGCCTATAAGTTCATTGAGTGCACTAAGTAAAGTAGTCGAAAAAATTAATCGATACACGCCTAAGAAAATGTATGGATCAGGAGGACATATAGATATCTGAACAGTTTGGGTTCCGCCGTGCACTATCCAAACAGACACAACTATGTAGGCTTCTTTTAAAGCAAGAAATAATAAGAAATTATGTCGTTTATTTTACGTTAAAAATTGTCCACAAATAATTGAAGCAAAGTGAAATGTGCTTGAAATGCCACATGAATATTTTAATTACTGCGTGTTTTAATCGTGATTTCTTTCAGGAGCTTTATGTAGCGGTTTCCTAAGCGGTGTGCTAGTCGACAATATCGGAAGGAAGCCTATACTTGTTGCTGGGATGTTCCTCGACGGGATATGCACGTTGATCGCTTCCACTGCACAAAGTTTCGGCTTCCTCTTGGTCTTCAGATCCCTCAGCGGTTTCCTGTACGACCCGTGATTTATAAACCGTAAAACTTATACCGTCGATAATAAATATTAACGAGATGTGTTTCAGAGTAGGAGGGCCGTCGGCTGTAGTGCTGACGTATGTCGGTGAGTTCCATTCAAACAAAAATCGTAACCAGGTGCTGTGCTTCGTCGGGGTCGCCTGGATGGTCTCCTGGGTCCTGCTCCCTCTCATCTCCATGGCAGTTATCCCGTTGGACTTCAATTTCAACGTGGGAAGCTTCAACTTCAACTCTTGGAAGTTGCTCGTCGCCCTCTTCGCCTGTCCGTCCTTGATCTCGTCCGCCTTTCTGTTCAAGCTCCCAGAGTCGCCGAAATTCCTTGTGATAAACGGACAGCATGACAAAGCCCTCAAAGAACTTGTACGGATTTACACCATGAACACGGGATTTCCAGGATCTAATTTTTCGGTAGGTAGAAACGAGCGAATCTCAATCCGACAAGTCAAAGCCGTCCTTTTGTCTTCTTTGACAACGCGAGCATTCGACCCGAGAGAAACTTTTATCAAATCACTTATCCGATCGTTTGCTACATGTTTCACCTTCCTCCAAACTGGTGTCTTCGGCTGAGTCCTCTACACTTCTGATTATGGCACTGTATTCCTTTCGAACATTTTATGCTACACCACTACCTACCATAATTATTTATACTCTCTTACCTTCTATTCACCTGCATTATATTCTGATACTCAATACAAGTCATGAATGGTTAGAACAGTACCTAGACAGGTTGCAATGCTGGAATCTGCTCAATAGATTCGTTTACATTGTATATTTAGATTGTATTTATTTATAGAGCTCGTAGAAGATCTGTCTAGTGTCCATCGTCGTTTTACTAGTTCTATTGGGAAAAAGAGGCGATATGTCCAAACCGAGGAAAGGGGTCTTTCGAGCAGTACTCAAATTCCAGAAGTTGTTACCAAAGTGGTACCAGGGGTCATCTGCCATTTTTTTTAATGGTAATTTAACGGAGTATAGCCGACGATGATAATCAATGATCATCCTCAATCCTTGCCTGCTAATTGAGGCGTCTACGTTTTTGTAGTAACTAACTATACACTTTACTCATTGTCACTCTTTTCAAGTCCAGTGAGATGTTTTCTTTTCTCTGCTCATTTTTTCATTTTCACATTCAGCATACTTCAAGGTGTTGTTCAAGGTGATGTTTGTTCTGTATCTTATCCAATGGATTTATGTTACTCCTTTTTTTGTTAGTTTGATTAAATTTTTTGTTTTTCTTGAACTCAGACTTTAGAAAGCAGTAGCAACAGAACACGAAATTGAAGATAAAATGGTTAAAGTCACGGATTGGATATAGGATCCATTTAATAAAGCACAGATCAATAGAGCTCATTTAATTTTTTTTCGAACTCCTCGAGTGCTCCTCGTGCCGTATATACTAATCTTGTAAACAATAACTTCAATTGAATGTATGTAAACGTTATTTAAGGTTACCATAATGAATTGATTAGGTCAGCCAATATTCCTTGATCCTTCTTGATTCTATTTTAAGTAGGTATTTGTTTGAGTTTCGCCTAACAGCTTAATTATGCCGAATGAGTGGACGCACGGTGTTAAAATTAATTGAGGTTATAAAGGAGAGGCCTCTATAAGGAGCGAACTGTGAGACAAGCGTTACTCTTACTCACTCTCTCAATGTGTTGACGTATCCATTTTTTAACATATTGTTTACTTCGCTCATTTTGCAAAAAATTCAAAACTTCTCATCCTTCTTGACGGCGTGAGATCCATCGTTTGTTCGAAACAGGCTGAGCTAGCTTTTGTTTTCTATCCTCCTAATTGGCAGTAGTAAGAGAAAAATAGTGCCAAAAATTAAAAATAGAAATGAGAAACTAGAAAACAAATCGAATGATATTTACTTATCTGTTTTTTAGTTCCCAAAACTTACGAGTCTCTGTCTTAGCGCACTTATCGGAAAAATATGTCCCATTTGAAAAAGATTTTAAAATGAAGTCACCATTTCTGTACCTCCTGCTGTGATTGACTATTTAAACTCTTTAAGAACTTGTTGAAATCCCGAAATATTAATATTAATATTATCTCATCATCCCGACTGACATAATATTTCTAATCAGACGTGCCTTGATCGCCCCTTCATCGCCAAGAAATAAACTTCAGATGGTTTTTTTATGTATATATTGTATTCTTTTCAGAAGATATCGGTCAGTGGAAGAGGCAGGCTTAGAAATTATACAATGTTGTTTAAATTTTAAAAGGGTGGCATTAAGGGCTTTGTTTGTGCTTGTGAAACAAATTTACAAACGTCAGTCTTTTCTATGCACATCAAAACATATGCCATCCTTATGATTTTATTTACAACTTTAAAAAACTTTATTTTTGTAACTTAAAAATAGGTTTACAAGTTTGTTTAGGTTTAATATGCATTTTGTATAACCTGGTTTGACATCAAGAAAGTTATTTTCATAATAAAAAGAACCATATCATTTATTGCCTGGGTATGCTAAACCGTCAAGACCTATCCGTATTTCTGATCACATAACCAAACCTTGTGATTTATCAAATAGAAAATAATAAAATATTGGGTTGTCCGGAAAATAATTAAAGTTTATGGTTATAAAATAAAAACATTTAAATAAATTATATTAAACATTTTTTATTAATTAAAATTCTCACTTCTTTTAACGTGATAGCAACTTCTGAATAGAATTTTGTGTCTTTATTATTAACACATACTGTAAACGCGTTTTTTAATGACTTTTGATCAATAAATTGTTTACTTTGTAAAACGTGTCCAAGTGTCTGAAAATATGGTGGCCGGTGGGCGAGAGTTCTGGAGAATATGGAACCTCATAGCTAAGATACAGCAGTTTTCGTGTTGTCAAATGTGAGAAATGGGAGCCGTACGTTATCGTTGAACAGAATCGGCCTTTTCCGATTTACCAAAGATGACTTTAATATTGCCAATATTTCTGGTACATTCATGCAATTAGAGAGCAAGCCATTTTGGCATTGATGTTGCGCAAACTTCATAACGATGATTTTTTTTTTTTTTTTTTTTTTTTTTGGCGCGGCCGTTTAATGCATGAGGAACCCAACTTTTGAGCTTTTTTGGTCAGCGATGGTCGATTTGCTAACTGAAAAATTCTCTGCAAGTTTTGGAACACTTGTTTTGGGATTTTGCTTCGACCAGAGCTCCAGAACATCATCATCTAGGGAAGAAACCCTTCCACGATCTTCTTTGTCTTCAAGGCTAAAGTCTCCCTTTCGAAATTTTTTACACTACCGTCGCGCCAGACTTTATTTATTAATGTTTCTGACCGAGTTTAAACTCGTAAAACGAAAATCACGCGTTGAAATCTTAGTAAAGAGTGAATTATTCCCAAGTAATGAAATGCTACTGAGGTAAACAAACATTTTTGTCTGGATGAAGTGTTGGCATTCGTACAAAATGATAATCTATCGGTAAACGGTTTATTATGCAGGATGCTCAACAACTTACAAACTTTGCTAGTAGATTTTACATTCAAAATGGAACCAAAAAGTACAAATTAACTATGGGCCGAATCTCAACAGGTTCGGAGTTATTTCCTTTTTTCTGATTTTTTTAAGATTTTACGACCTTACTTCAAATGATAACTCCAAAATTGAAAGGTTTTGGACAAATCCATTGATATCACTAAAAACTTCGTTAAGTTTGATGTGATTCATACTAAACTTGTAAACTTGGTAAAATAAGCAGTTTTAGTAGGGAGAACTTCGAAAAAAATTTTTTTTTCAAAGTTGAAAAACTTACTATGGTGATTCGAAACTACTATTTTCTAACCTAGAGGCCAGCAAATTTCAGAAAACGTACTCCATTTAATAACCTTTTTAGTAGTGTAATTGCTTTTTTAATTACGTTTTTCACAGATGAAGGAAAGAAGAAATTGAAGAAATTGATGGAGGAAAGGAAAAACCGTGGTTGACGGATTGTTAAGGTGAAAAGATTAATAATAAATAATAATAAAAAGTAAGGAAATTTTGAATGAATAAACTAAAAACGTTTTTAATCTTAAAACTCTTTTATTCCCGGGCATAAAAATACAATAATAATCCTTTAATCAAAGTTGCAGCCGTGTTGGCAAATAAGTAAATAATTGCACTATTTCCGTTTCGAACCCAAATTAAAAAAGTCTAATAAATTCATTCAAATTTCCTTAAGTTTTTCATTTTTTTTACATCTTTCCACCTTACCAATCCGTCAACCACGATTTTTATTTTTCCTTCATCAATTTCTTCATCTTTGAAAAATTAATTATAAAAGCAATTTCGCCACTAAAAAAGGATATTAAATGGAGTACTTTTCTGAAATTTGCTGGTCTCTAGGTTTAGAAATAGTAGTTTAGAATCACCGTAGTAAGTTTTCCAATATTTAAAAAAATTGTTTTCTACGCTCTGGCTACTAAAACGCTTATTTCACCAACGTTTACAAGTATAGTATTGATCATATATTATTGGAAATTTAACGTACTTTACAGTGGTATCAATGGGTTTCTCCAAAACATTTCAGTTTTGTAGTTATCAATGTTAATTTGAAGTAAGGTCGTGAAATCTTAAAAAATTTGAAAAAAGGGAAAAAACTTCAAAACAGTTGAGATTTGGATCGTAGTTATTAGGACTATTTGGTTCCATTTCGAATGCAAATCTACTGGCAAAGTTTGTAACACGAGTAGCCGAACACCCCGTATAGAGGAGTAAAGAAAGAATATGAAAACCGATATTACATTCCGGACAACCCAATAGAATAACAATGATTAATAAAATAATTAAATAACTGTCATATGTGCGTTAAGTTGGCGGAAAAAACACTTATTTTAAAATGGACTTAACAGTTCACCAACACATACTAAACAAACTTAAGATTCGTAAAGATATTTTTCTTCTTAAAATGGTTCGGTTGAACTTTTGTTTATTGCAGGTTATATCTCTCGAGAAAAATACGGACGAAATGAAGCTGTCATTTGGAAACAAATCAATCTGGAAGCCTCTGCTGATAATGGTGAAGCAATGCAAATCGCTCTTCTTCGGCCCCACGCTGCCTATCATTTCACTGACAAACTTCCTCTTTTTCGCTAACATGTTCGGGTGAGCGATGAATCATTAATAACTTGATTTCCTCATATTGAGCCAATGTTTACAAGTGCGTTCTATTCACAGCTATTACGGACTAGGCCTGTGGCTGCCGGAATTGATCAATCGTTTCCAGACTTTCGAATCGGAACACCCCAACGCGACGATATCAGTCTGCGAAGCGAGCCAGCTGAAGTTGAAGACCGTCTACGACTGCGGAAGCTCTTCAGTTTCCAGCGTGGTCTTTGGCTTCTCGCTCATCATGGGTGCTGCTTCTCTCGTCGGAAACATAGCGTCCGGCCTCCTCATTCCGAAATTGCCGAGGCCGATGATGCCCGGTAAGAATATTATAGAAGAGTGTTGTCCGTTGCAGTATTGTTTATTCTATTTTCGTCAGTGTTTTTCATGACGATATCTTCTTTTTGCGTGCTGCTTCTGTACTACGTTAAAAACTCCGTACAAAATCTCATCGTATCTGCAGTCTTCCAGCTGTGTATCGGGTCCAGCAACATCGTCTACAACGCCCTCGTTGTCGACATGTTTCCAAATGAAATAAGGTACACTATATACAAATTTCTTTATTTAAAACAGTTATTTCTTTAAACACCATTTAATTTTTAAATAACGATATTTTATACGACCGTTTTGGCCAAACTAGAATTGCAATAATAACAAGCATTGTTTGGCCATAATCATAATATATCATCATATCACCATTTCTACACTATACAATTAAATTTTAGAGAGATCTTTCGCCTTCTTATTTGCTTTTCTGTGCCAAACGATTTCACCAAATCCTGATGATCTTTCATCACCAAAACAATCAATCTTCTTCGACAATCTGGACAGCACCCCGTTGTTGGTCATCCATCGTAAGAAATCACCGACTGCAGACGATCCAGTCTTCTTTGGCACTTCTCTTCCGATTTTCTATTTTCACTTTATACTGAACAATACTTCCATTTAGAAAGAATATCTTAAGCCTTACGGGATAATCGAAAAAGGTTTTACAAGGGAAGAACGACGAGACAATTGTCATCCTAGAACTCTGGTTTCCAGACAGTGTCTAACCGGGTCACGTCGTCGGCCCTAAAATGCTGACCAAAAAATATATCATAACTGATTCGTAAAAAGTTTTTTGTAAGTAAACTATATTTCTGGTGTTTCAAATTATACTATTATTTCACAGGGAAACACGTGTATTAACAGGGTAAGAACCCAGTCAGAAAACAAAAGACATATTAATCTTTATTATGAAGATTTAAAGGGAATTTAGGAAAAAGAAAATAAATTCAAAAGTAATAAAATTTCTTGTTTTAAAATTGTTTTCTTTTAAACAAATAGCGGAATGGCCGTTTGTTTGTCAATTGCCTTTGGACGTCTTGGAGCGGTGGGGTCGAACCTGGTCTTCGGCCACTTTTTGGACATTTCTTGCGCAATTCCGATTTTCACGTGCGCATTTCTGATAGCTTGTAAGAACACCTTCTTAAGATACTATTTTTCTCACTACAACAAAAAAATAAATTATTTTCTTTCTTTTTCAGGCGGCGCTTTGCTGAGTTTCGCCATACCGAAGAAACCCTACGAAGAAATTAAATTATTCGACGGTAAAAAGCCTGTAGTTACAATTACCTGAAGGTTTATCCAACGAAATATCTATTTTCTAATTATTTTTTTACTTCTATATAAATAAATATGTAAATATTGTCTTTTTAATTTTTTTAAAATAATATTTTCCCATTTTGTAAAAACATACCTTCAAATTCCTGATCTTGTTCAATATTTTATTATACATTATGTATGCACGCCGACATTATCTGATGTTAATGTGATGATTTTATTCGGACTTCAAATATACAGGATGATGCATTTTTCGACACACCATGAGGAAAAACAGTGTATCACCTGCTTAAAAGGGCAAAATTCAAACGAATTTCTTGGTAAAAACTGAAAGAATTTAATTGCAATGTTAAGTTTGATAAATGAATTCAGCCATTCTAAAAATAACTATTGAAACATAAATAAAGCTATAAAATTCACTAACAAGAAATAAGAATGTATTAGGTGCTTTCACAATTAAAAACAAAATAAAAACATATGTAAAGTGCAAGAAACCAAGCACAACATCTAACGCCGCAAAGCAGTAGCCGAATACACATTGTTTGAAAATAGACGACTTCATCTTATAATTGTAGAAGAAAGTAATGTTGTCCCAAGAATATTTGATTTCGTTGAAAATATTCAAAATCCACTATATTTCGTGGTCCGATTGACCAAATAACTTCTTTCAATTAATTAATTTTTACGTACGGTATTCGGGTATTGGTTGAAATGGAAAGTACAGTTGAAAATTTTTCAGCGAGAATTCTAAAAAATTGGACTACTGCGTTGTGGTTGAAGTCTTGTCTTCAAGCACCACACTTGACTTCATTGGTCATATTAACATTAAACATATTTTTCCCGACCTTAACAAATATTTTTGCCACGTCTAACCGTGGCGTACAAAGAGTGCGGTAGATTGTTATTATAAACTATTAAGTTTAATTTCGGTAGCCGAGTGGTTAGCTTGATAAACCCGCGGTCGTGGGTTCGATTCCCACCGTCGTCACTGGCCCTTTTTTCGACCCTTCCCCCATTAATACAATGCGTCGTCAAATACACACATGTCTTCCTTGGCTAACATGCTATGTTCAATAAGTTAAGTTACAGTTTAATAAGTCTATTTCTCATTTGTTTTCCCATTATTAATTTTTATCTAACAAATACAATAGTCTTCTCATTGACCCTTGAAACATCTATAATTGGCATATTCATTTTTCGACTCTTATTATGGGTTCAAACACTACACAAATTTCTAGGATGGGCTTTTAAACCGAAATGTAAAGTTTTACGTGTGAATTCAGCTTTGTGGAATCATAATGCTTTTCTTATCTATGTTTTGTGCCTATTCTGTAGTCATAGTATACATATAGAAGCAGCGAGTCAGTAACCAGATCGAGACGCTCAAAAGGCAGCGGTTTAAAACAAAATACGCGCGAAAGACCAGAAAAAGAAGGAAAACATGCAGACGGAGTTGACCTCAGCTGCTTGTAGGCCCACAAACCCCTACATATTACGTTTTACGTACTACATATTACAGATGGTCCACGAGATTAGACGGACCCATATGACTTGTAATAGTCACTCAAACAATCCAAATGTTTTATTTAGTAAAGTAAGGTTCAAATTATTTGTACATAGTGTTTTTTTAAACAATATACAGTAGAAATCCGTTCATCCGGATTTAAAGGGACCGGGACTTGTCCGGATGATCGAAAGTCCGGACAATACGAAAATTCGTGATTTTATTAGTTTATCGTTTCATAAAAACGGAAAAAAACACACATACGAAAGTGAACACTTTTATTCATATATCAAGTAACATTTAAAGTAATAAATAATTTTTATTAGTTTTATTTTTGTTTAAGTCCGGACACGCGTTTCTCGAAAAATTTAGACGTAAAAAATACCTAATAAAAATGTACGTAATAAAAAAAAACTTTTTCAATGGAAGCCAACGTACGAACAACAGGAGACGACAATTTCTAGTCTTTTAAAATAGTATGTACTTTTTATTGATTTATTTATTTTTTATTTTATTTATTTTTTAAAACAAAAACGTGACTGTCGGCGTCTCCGGCCTCTTCGATCGTGTGACTGATTTGGTGGCCTTTACGAATTTCGAACGGCGAATTAAAGGTCCCATCGTTAAATTATGAATTTTAAAAAATTAATACACGTACATTGAGGATTATGAAAAATTTATAAAAAATGTGTGGTGTTTAATGACTGTTAATTAATGATTATTTGGATATCGTGGGACTATACCACTATACACTACTACACTCTCCCGATCTCTAAATAATTTATAAAAAATATTTTAACAAACGGGTCAGGATAATCCGGAAGTCCGGATCATCGGGGTCCGGATAAACGGGTTTATACTGTAGTATTAAATTAAATAACGGAGAGAGTGCAAATTTCGTGTAGATTTTTAACTTTTACATTGATAAATTGATGATTCAATAAGTCTAACAAGAGCTTACACATGTACTTATTCCCCTTGGAGTCGTTATCGTTTTATCAAACAATCTATTAATCGATTAGATGGGTTTGTAGAAACAATTTTCAACTCAACCTTCAACGTCAGGAAGTCCAGTCGAGAAAGAACAGCCGTTCAGAATGACATTTTTGCAACACCTTTATTTTCAAAAGTCGAACAACGCGTTTTACCTGGAGGTCCGTCCGATCCTGCTTTTGTTCAGGATATTCGCTCGGATGACATACGACATTAAAGACGGTCCGTGTTTTTTTTAGAAAATAGAATTCTTTCCATTTTTTATATATACTTTACTTCCAGGGACATTGATCTGTCGTCCTCGTCTTATTGCCTCGTTGGCCTGGTTTATTTTGTACGGAGCCCAGTTCTACGTGACTATCGACCTTTTGATGGGGCTCACCTGGCACTTGAAACAAGAGAAAAATTTCATAACCAGCATTGTTATGACAGTCACACTCGTCTTTATACTCATGCATCTCTTTCTACCTATCTCTCTAATTTTGGAGAGCGATCATATTTGTTCTTATGTCAACAGATGGGCTGATTTGCAGGTAATTGTACAAACATACCGATTGAATTATAAAACAGATTAAATTGTGATTTTTTCGTTGAGTTCTTCCGAGCGATGAACCTGAAGTTTAGTCGTTCTAACTCCATCCTGGTCTGTCAGACGGACTTAGGCATTTCGTCATCTTCAGAGGTGAATTTATGCACTATTTTTACTTTTTTATCATTGGGATTTTTTGAGATTAGAAAATTTAAATTGGTGACTGCACGCACCTGTATAAACAGGAACGTGCTATGCCTGTAACATCTACCGTTTAGGCTTCGTGGAACTTTTACTTCGAAGAACATATAAGCATCTATGTCAAGATGCATAGGAAAAGGACAAAATCGCGAAAAGAAAAACAAGCCGATAAACATTGCTTACTACAACCCTTGTCCATTTTGTATGTACCAACTACTTAACAGACGAGTTATTGAACATGGCAAAATGTCAAATCGTGTCGGACAGTCAAGGATGGACATGGATAGACAGACTACGATGATCAGATCGACCAAACTTTAAACCATGTTAATGTTACCATGTTAATACAGACATAATTGCTCTTTTCTCGTTCTGTCTTCAAGTCGATATTTTTCAGGTACAGTTTTACAAAGCGACAGGAAAAAAGTTTATCCCGAAATATAGAAAGTTGCTATATGTGCTTCTAGTAATCACACCTTTTCACGAGATGCTGGCAATATGGATAAGCCAGAGTGTACTGTACTACGATAGATGGTACCACTTAGTGCTTTATTTCTCAACATTTTTTGTCTGCCAATTGAACACGCTGTTTTGGGCGATTTCTTTCTTTGAAATGGCGCATATCGCATCCGAAATAAAGGAAGGACTCAGAACGGTACTCAGCCGATTTCTTTACCCTCTTACTAATATATCTAACAATTGAAACCTTGCGCAGAATTTCAGAAGTTTTGGAGGATACAGCAATATTGCTAACTTGAGAAGTCTCTGGGTTTCTTTGGTCGACCTATGCGCCGATCTCGGACGAGCACTCTGGAGGACGATGATAATTTTGATGATCGTCAACTTCGGTTCCAGTGTTGCATCGGTCTATGCTATCATCAGCCATTTCATTTCAGGGAGTCCGGGCATTTGGACGTTTGTAATGGTGTTGTTTTGTAACGGCACCGCTATCCTACTCATGGTAGAACCGGTGCACATGGCCATGTTAAAGGTAAATACGGACTTATATTTAAACGTTTAACTTACCATTGTTGTCTAAATAAAAGGCCGGGCATGGTGTTTATCAAGAACTCTTGGAATTCAACGTCACGAAACTGGGAGGAACTTCATTTGTCCAGGTAACAAAGTAACAATAAAGACATATTAATAAACTACAACTAATTTTTCAGGTTGATAAGTTCCTACAAGTTGTAAAAGGGATAAACCCTCGAGTTACACTGGGAGGATTTTTCACCATCGACCGAAGCCTCCTTACCACAGTACGTGTACAGTTTTTGCCAAAATCACAAATACCTCATATTGTATTATCCATGATTATAGATTGCAGGAGCTTCAGTCACTTATTTGATTGTTTTGATCCAGTTCAGAATTCCCTCAGAAAATATGTAAAACCAAACAAATAAATAGAACTTGTAAGTTTTCTTGTAGTATTAATCGTTGAAATTGTTAAAAGATCATCAGTAATGAATGAAATAAAAACAATTTATTGACAAACTGTTTAAATAATAACACATTTTATTGACAAAGCTCGTAGTAGAGATCGAGTACATTATGCTGCATATTTCAAGGCAATGGATAAAATACTCCTTAGAAATATAAATAATTTAAAGTCAGACAGGAATGTTCCTGTTTTCCCACTGACATAAATATTGTAGAACTGATAAAAACTCGAACAGACAGGTTCTGTATTGGGTTATTACTTTTCATTGTTAAAATAAAGCAATATTTTATTTTTGCCAGAACTATTACAACAGTGGGTGAAACAACATTACGAAATGAATAATTTAAAAAATCTAAACATAAATTGTCTTATCTCTTATACAAATCTTTAAAATATTCTCTAAATACAATAATTCTGATCCCAGGTTTTATTTGTAAGTACATTTATACAATTTAACGAAATGTTAATATCTGTGGGCGATGATCACACAGCTCATCAGCATTTCTCCATCTTCAGTGGTTTGTCTGTGCGTTATCTTGTCCTTCGTGTCCTATTTATGTTTGTTAAGTTAGTGTTCAATTATGTCTTCTCTTGAATCCTGATTTGTGATTAGAGAATTCTAACCGGCCACTGTACACTGCTATAAGGGTGTGAAGGCTAACGCGTCGAGCCTGTAACGCAACGTCTGCGAGCATGAAGCGTAATGAACTAAAATTATCATACCGAAGTACTGAGTGCCTAGTGCTTATTAAAAGGGCGAAGGACGTATAAAAAGGACAGACCACCCGAATGAAACCAGCGTGGACAGGCGGACCAGGATCTCAAACTACAGATATTTAACTACTGCTATTCTCTTGACGAGTGCTAAATTGTACTAAAACGACCAGGTGTGTCACCGCTGTTCCAATCATCTAAATTGGGAGGAAGCACTTTTTAATACAGGCAAATAAGGTACTTTTTAGATGTGAAAAGATTTTTATACGTACCGATGTCATCAAATTCCTGTGAATGGTGATAAATCCACCAAGGGTCACTTTAAGATTCATTTTTTGAACGACTTCACCAAATCTTTCAAACTGTAAAGAAATGTCAAAAGATAAAAAACATCACAGCTTTAAAAATTGAAAGAAAAACACAACCTCTTTCGATATCGTTGGATCAATCTTTTTAGTGTCGATCTTGATGATTTCTCGGTAAATCTCATCGTGTACCTGGGGGCGTTTTAAATATGATTCAAAGTTGTTAGTTAGAATTGAACCGTTTTACCTTTATTTTTGTCAAGTGCACCGGTTCGATGACAGCAAGGATCAAGACGCACGAGAGCAACAGAAGCATGAGAAAAATGAAAACGTCCTCGACAGAACCTGAATTTATGGATGAAATGACTGCATAGGCTGAAGTCACCCCGCAAGAGTGAACGACGGTAATAAATACGAGCATCGTGATGTACATAGAATCGCTCAACCGTCCGATCAGTTTGACCAGCGATATCCAGAGTACGGTCAACTTCGCGACGGACTTACTTTGGAAATTGTACTGAAACTGAAATAATTTGTAACGCGTGTTTGCTTTGTTTTTCGTTCAATTACCTTCTCTATTATTTCTTTGATAAGGTTCGCCGCGTGGGCCATCTCAAGGAACGATATAATCCAAAATAAGAGGTTCATATTGGCGATCAAAAGAATGGAAAAAAATAGGCTCATGTGGTACCATTGTTCAAAATATTGTATTTTTTGTTGCAACCACAAAACCCCGATTTGATGCAGAGGAGTCAGGAAGAGGCAAACGTTCAGCAGTTTTCTGTATTTCGGGCGGAATCTAGTCCCAGTGACTAGAAAAAAAAGATCCTGTGAAAAAATTAAATCTTAAATCCGTAGTAAATCAATCAGGGAATTTTTAAAAATATATAATTATATCTTTCAATTAATTATTCTTTTTGTGTAAGGTCTTGGTTGAGATAAAACGTCAGTGTCACGAGCGGGATTCGAACCCACGACCTTCGACTTTTATAGCTATCGTGACAGTGGTAGAGCAGCGGCGTATTTAGCCGAAGGTCGTGGGTTCGAATTCCGCTATTGACACTGACTTTTTTTTTATCTCAACCAAGACCTTACATAAAAAGAATAATTAATTGAAAGAAGTAACTTGGTCAAATGACCACTAAAACGTAAATGGATTTATATAATTATAAATTTTTATCATAGTTGCCTGAAAATCAGCCCAGCTGTTGACATAAGAGCATATTTTTCCAGATTCTAAGACGACCGACAAAGGCAAATAAAAGTGGACTGATGTAAGGATCAAGCTGATCATCATTATAATAGTCAAAAAGAAACTCGTCTCAGTTTTTAGCCGCCGGAACGCTATGAGGAACACGTCCACTGCCAAATAGAAGTGTGCGCCGTACAGGACAAACCAAATCAAGGAAACACAAGAACGAGGAAAGCTCACAAGTCTGCCTAAAAAAAGAAAATATATCAATGGGAAACTTATTTCAAATTCATTCATCCCGACCGTCTTTGATGCCGAAGGCAAGTCTCGCGAACGCTCTGAGAACAACGAGGAGCGGACGGATTTCTAAATAAAACGGGTCGTTCGGCTTGTCCGTATGTTTCCTTTTCGAAGCCATTTTCAATAGTGTTGTCGATCATTTGAGAAAACACCGATCAAATAAATGACACGTTGGTCATAATAGCTCTTGAGCTATCGATCTGAAAAGTTGGCTGTTGATACAACGATAACAGGAACCACTAAGGAATAATTAATAAAGGAAGTTAATCGAAATAAATGGTGTGAAAACAATAGAATGAAATACCTACATAAATACATTGTAACAATTTATGAATGTTACGGGCTAATTTCACATCCTCTAATCAACTTGTTGCTACAAAGTCTGAAAACTCCAGCGATATGAAAATTTTTAAAAAAATCCTCACGAAATTTCAATGACGCCAATGTTATATTGTTAAATCAGCAACGGCACATTAAATAAAGCCAAAAATAAATAGAAAACAATGCAGTGAATTTAGTTGCCAAATGGAGAAGAGCCGGTTGAACTGGATCGAACTGATAGTGAACACTACTTGAACAATTTATTTACAAACAGGAATAAAAGTCAAATCCAACCTACTGTTTAAGTTTCGTTTATCTGTTTGTATCTATCTCATGGTATTTCTCTCTTAATCTAATGGAAGCTTTCCTGAAGAACCGATTAGGGTCAGTGCTCTCCTAGGGGTTTGTTCAACAGAATAAAGTCCCCCAGGGATGAGCGTTAAAATTTTCTCGATTGCTTTTTTTTTTGCAACAGAAGAAGACGACCAAAATCCTGGACGTTTCAACTCAGGATGGACGTCAACCAACCCCAAACACCAACGATGGTCAATTTTCTCTGACGAGCCAGGTTGACCAAAGGCATATACAACCGTCGAGAAGGGACATGTATGCACACCCTGCCCGAAACACCCCTTGCCGGAGTGTTCCAACTTGAGGGAAGTGTGAGGCTGCAGCGTGACGCTACAACCTCACACGTCAACCTGACCAAGCGCCCTCCTGCAATGTAATAAAGGATAGTGCGAAGGGAAAGGCCAGTGTGTTCCCGGAAGCGGTGAAAGTGAGACGCGGGTCTATTGTTATTAACAAAATATCCAAAACCAAAATTACAAAGAAAGCACAGGCCTGACTCGCTGATGTCAACAAGTTTGATGACCCGGTTGGTGATCATCACAATTGAACGGTACCGCTGACGAGTTCCCCGACTAATAAGACGACTACTATGCGTCGACGACCTCTGCTATTAACTTTCGGGGCAAGACCTGGCAGTGCTTGGAGGAGTGTCAGCGAGAAAGGATGTGGCTGGAAGAGCTTGTCGGATAACTGAAGCGTCTCCGCCAAACGGTGGTGGTTATCTGAGTTCCCGGACTCTTAGGTCTGGGATAGTTAGGGATGGTGTCATAACTTGGCTACAGGGCGTGTAGGAATGCCCCCCGAGTATGATAGAATTGAGAATTGAGTTTGAGCTCGACAGCAAATATTTGGATCACCTGTTCCGAATTTTCGATAAAATAGGACTATTTTATTCTATGTAATTCTTTGATAGATATCTCGTTTTGTGTGGTTTTTTTAATATTGATATTAAATGTATTTATCAGCAAGAACGTAGTGTGAGAATGGCAAAAACCCATCTTCCCTCGATTAGGTTATTTATAGATATAGTACAAATTTATGATGAAGGAATGCCGTATTTAAGTATGTGTGGGAGTGTGTCTAAGGTGTGTCTTGGTTTAAAAATTGCACGTATGGGGGGGCTGAAAAGACCTCTGACGGACTGCCATAACGCCGAAGTGATCAAGCCGCGCAAAGTCGTAAGATCACTTCTGTACCCATGTAGGCATGTACAAAGTTGAGCTTACACCGACAATAAAAACTTGCACAAATCCACTATTGAAGATGACGAAATGCCGCCTGACAGTCAAAGGAAGGCGGCCCAAAATGATCTGATACTACCTAGCTTCAAGTTCTTCATCTGAAGGCTTCCCAAAAAATTATATTGTAGGCAAGTTGTACATTTCGGGGATCATACCTGTGCTGTACAAATTTATGAGTTTTCTCCCTTTTACCATTCTTACCACCTTGATTGGGCTCGTTCAAACTCGATTATCTTCAATCCTTGAAGTCTAGGTACGTAGATGTTCTTTCAGCAGGGTGGTTCTATTTTCAAATGTTTGTAACTTTTGGAGACAAACCTAACAATTGAAAGTCTATTATGATTGTTTAATGTTTTTACTAAGGAAACATTACAATAAGGGAATAGTGCTACAATTTCTTTCTGATTTGTAACGATTGAAATGATACATTATTACATTTGTAGTTAGAACGAAAGAAATTTTAATTTGAATACTATTATAATTGCAATAACTACAATAAGTGTATCTTTCTAATTGTTCCATTAATTAATTTTTTAAAGAGGTCGAGAACAAAATGGCATCCTATGATTCCGGTGACTGATTAAACTGCACCAAAACAATAAGATACGTCACAGTCGATCCAACAATCTGAAAAATAAAAATTGAACATTTTAGTTGGAGTTGGATGTGGTTTTAGAGAAAGTCCGAACTAACCCCTGCCAATGCAGACCTGTTTACGTTCGCGAATCCACCGAAAGTGACGACATTATTGCTTCCACTGACCGCTTGTGTGAATAAATTCAACTGGGAATGATTATTTTTCATTTAGAGAAAGGTAATGAAAGTATTAGTTTATTTCGGAATAGCACTCACCTCTTTAAGACAGTCACTGTCCACTTTAGAGATGTCAGTCTCCATCAACGTGTCTGCAATTTGCTTCCCCAGCTTTTTAATGCAACAAAACGTTCATAATTAAATCTTCAAAATAATGAACAAAAACTGCTTATAGCTTATGCTTAATGATAGTACTTTTCTTGAAACGAATTCTCCAGGTTCGAAGGTTTGGGTTATCATGAGACCAGTGATCACCATAATGGTCAGAAACGGGATCGAATCGTACAGACTATGCATGAAAGAAGATATAAGCATGTAGGCGGAAATGATAAAGCAAGTGTGATTCACTGTCGTCATCGCTATCATCGTGAGAGCCACAGCGTCACCTACGATCTCGAGGAGCTTGCTAAGTTTAAGCCAAATCAGTCTATAATTGTATATATTTAGACCTGTGCAGGATTCGACCGTCGTCTATAAACAAATAATCGATAAAATTCTACAGTTTCTTCGATTCCGATCATCGGGTCCGCCTATCCTCGCTGGTTCGGTATGTCTGAAGCGTTTCGGCATTTCGCCGTCTTAAGGTGGGTTCGTGCACTTCACGAAGTGTTGTACGTCCGTCCTTTTGTAGGTGCTTCGCAAACCAGCGAGGAGTGGCGGGCCGGGACGATGGGAAACGACCAAACTGACAGGCCAATCGCCCAACACCACAACACAAATTCTCACAAAACAGTCCTGTTTAGCTATTAGCAAATTGAAAGGCGTATGTACATACCTTCTTCAATTCTTTTTGTACAACTTGGGCAGCGTAACCAATCTCGATGAGAGAAAAAATCCATAAGTATAGGCTAATTTGAAAGATCATTAATAAAATTGCATAAAAAATAAGTTGGTACCAGACGCTATTGTACAGTATGTTCCTTTCGTAAAGGACAATAATGATTACGCCCAGTGGACACATGAAAAGACATGCTCTCAGCCATTTGTCATAATTAGTGGAAAATTTATGACCTGTAGTTTTCTCCATGAGATCCTTTATAAGAATTATTATTTTGTTAAGTTTCAATCAACCTTATTCTGTACGAAGTATGATTTTCACCTGGAAAACCGCCCATTCGTTGAAGAAATGGCATATTTTCCCGCTTTCCAAGTAGAGCGAGAAGGGAAGGAAGAAATGGAACGCCATGAACGTCAAAATGAGAAAACCCTGAACGAAGCGGCCGAAGTTTTCCTCTTCCTTTAACACTTCAACAAGAGTGACGATGTTACGAGCGACCAAAAATGTCTGACCGGCGAAAACGGCTAGACACGACAGAGAGGAAATCGAGAACAGCCGAGCTTCCATCTTTCCTGAAAATGGAGTCGTAAGGCTAAAGTTTAAAAACGAAAAACTGCCCGTTTACACATCCAATACAACCTTCTTTATTGATCATGTAAGAGATCTTGCCGAAAAGTCTGAGTAAAAACAGAAGCGGCCTCATCTCTAAGTAGAAAGCGCTCTCCGTTACTTTCCTCGGCCTTTTCAACACCGTTTTCTCCAGCTTATCCATCCATGCTTGTTTTGGATTTGAAGGGCTGAATCCGTGATCGTACATCAAACCACTGACTGTTGAAAAAACAATATGCAACGTAAATAATATAATGAATCAGGATTTTTTTTTTAAATTATTCACGCCTCGTCACACAAGGGATTAATTTTTGATATTTTAGGATAAATATTGTTAAGATAATGCCACACTCTTATTATGGATTTACTGTTTAGAACATAATAATATAAAAAGATTATTATTATCTAAGTATTGATAGATCATCATTTCTTAGTTCAATATTAGCACAAGTAAAAAGCTAGTGCCACGAGAGGGATTCGAACCCATGACCTTCGACTAAATAAGCCGCTGCTCTACCACTTGAACTATCGTGACTAATAGATCAAGTAGTAGAGCAGCGGCGTAATTAGCCGAAGGTCGTTTGTTCGAATCCCGCTCGTGACACTACCTTTTCCATTTAAACCAATACCTTATATAAATGTGTGGTGTTTAGTGACCGTTAGTTAATGATTATTCGGAGATGCGGTCTAGTGTGACGAAGATTTTAGAAAAACATTTTCCTTATCGTGCCAACGTTTCGATCTTTAATGAGATCATCTTCAGGGCTGAAAGTGTTTGTTTGTTCTCAATAAAGATCGAAACGTTGGCACGATAAGGAAAATGTTTTTCTAAAACCTACGTCACACCAGACCGCATCTCACTATCTCCGAATAACCTTACATAAAGATTAATTAATTGAAAGTAGTTATTTGGTCAATCGTACCACGAAATATAATGGAATTAACATAAAAATTAAAAATTGGAACAGCTTAATCGAAGGCTGTGTGGCTAGAGGGACATTTTACCCTTTTATGCGAATTCTGGATACCCGGCGACCTCCGGTTTGAATTCCGTTATGCGGGTGTCAGGCGGATGTTGCTGTTTAGGACCTTATGTACACGTGGGAATTTTTACAAACCCAAATGGTAAAATCAAAAACAAACCAGGAAAGAGGAAAAGAAACTGTTGAAAAGACCTCCCTCAACCGTCCTGATGAAGGTGTCAGAGGGAACGGAACAGCCGACTCCTGAAGAGAGTGAAATGGTTCCATACGATGAAATTGCTCCTGGAACTGATGACACCAAATTTTCGCGGCTGAAATGTTTTTAAATATTGGCTTCCTTGCCTTGATTTTATCAGTCTTGCTGAAGAAGCAGAACAAGAAGAGGAAACGACGATGGTCAAAGTAGTGGTATAAATTGAGAAACCGCTTCACTCACGAACTGTTTACGAGAAACGGAACGAGAAGACTACAGAAACTTTCTCAGAATGAACCGAGAAAATTTCGACTGACGGAAAGATTGATAAACCCTCGTAGACCGTCAAGCGCCCTCTTCAAGCACTCCCGTCAATCAAACTTTCCATCATTCACAGTCAATGCCTGACTCAAGCGTCAAACTGATTCCCACACGGTCAATCACGCTTGATTCAATCGTTCAGCTCTAGCTTTTGATCAAGCAGCTTGACCGTCTAGGGGCACTTTTACGCGGAGGCCTTCGAAAAGCCTCGGATCGCCCCTCTCGAATATCCTCAGTGCTCCTGACGGTGAAGCAATTAGAAGCCATCCAGGAGTGGCTGTTGGGAAAGTAGAGCAGGTTGAAGATATCATAATAACAGCTTTTAATGGGCTAACATACAAAAAAGGGTGGTTGGCCTTAAACCATGGATGAAAGGCCTAGAGAAGAAACACACCTTCTCGCACTCCCTGCGAGGACGCCAGACTGCGCGAAGAAGAAGAAAAAGACCTCTCATGACCACAGGTAATGGAGGGTTACTTCCCGTTGATAAACCGACTGAAGAAAGGTCAACAAAGATAAAACAAAACATCTAGGATAGACGAACTAGGAGGTTTGGAACGACAAAAATGGATCATCACCTCGTCAACCCCAAAAAGAAATATCCCAATACCAGTAATATACATACAATAATGAAAATTTGCCTCGTTGCAATTTACGTTTTCACCTGACATAATGTTAACTGTGCTTCCCGATGATCCAAGATATCCTTCACAGACAGTTTCGTTCGATCCAGGTTTTGTTCCTGCGGAATGTTTAATTGAATTTTCTCTTTTCAACATTAAATTAGCACTTTTTTAAATGGTTTCTCTTCAAAAGTAATGGATTAAAGACTGCAAATAGAACACGTCAAACAATAACTCAAAAATGTCCAAAACTTCTTCCGTGAGTCGGTACCGTGACTTTTAAATGCTTTCACCTAATAAATTATTAAATGTTTAACTTAAATAGTAAGATGTTTAATCAAGGATCGATGTCGTCGTCCAGGCAGGGAAAACATTTTACAACAAAGTATAAATGTCAAATACTATTTTTAATCTCATAAGTCGTGAAATTTCCATCGTCATATTTGTATCCACAATCTTTAAATAATTAATGTACTAGTTAGCCTGACATTATACATCAACTCGCAACCAAACATGTTTCACAATTAAGGCAAAGATTGACTGTGAAAATAGCAACATAAGCTAACTGGAAAGTCAAATATTATATATTATTAAATACATTAGATTTCGTCGTCCGATTGACCAAATAACTTCATTCAATTAATTAATCTTTATGTAAGGTATCGGTTGAGATAAAAAAGCCAGGGTCTTGAGCGGGATTCGAACCCACGGCTTTCGGCTAAATAGGCCGCTGCTCTACCACTTGAGCTATTGTGACTTCGATCCACTCGAGGTGGAGGTGCTAGAGCAGCGGCGTATTTAGGCGAAAGTTGTGGGTACGAATCCCACTCGTGACTGACTTTTTTATCTCAATCAATATCTTACATAAATTATGTATTATTTGGTATAATTCAATTGACTACGAAACTGTGGAGAGATGAAGGAATACAAGGCATACACACTTGGTGCACGGGCACCAACAGGCAATGTATACTGAGGGACAAATTTAACGCACCATTCAATTTATTTATTTAAAATTAAATCCATTATCTTTCTATATAAGTTACAATAATTAGGAGCTATCGTAGTCCAAATAAACAGTAGATAATGCTTTGTTTAATTTCTTCATTTACTTACTTTTCTGATTAATCCCATTTGCATTAAAAAATAGCATTATGTCCTCCCATTCTGCTACGCCTAAAGATCGCTTTCAGTTAATCTTTAGCATGTTAAGAAAAAATGTCAAGAAGATTTCGGAAAATGTACCTTGGTCGATATTCAGAATTGGATACTCACAGCAAGGTGCTCCTTTACCAGCAAGTTTTAAAGCCTATATGGACTTACGGTATCCACCTTTGAAGCTGTACCAAGAAAACTAATGTGAAGATGATACAGACGTTTCGAAACAAAGTGTTACGGAGCATTGTGAATGCACCATGGTATATTCGCAACGACGATCTACATCGGGACCTCCGGGTGGACATTGTTGGTGCTGCAATCCTGTGCTGTGAATCATAGGCAAAGGCTTCACCGGCATTAAAATGAGCAAGCTGTCCAGTTATTGGATAACAGCGAAAAAGTAAGAAGACTGAAGAGGACGAAGCCTTGGTGCTCCACTAGTTCAGTGTTTTATCACTTGTGTTCATTATGGCAAAAGTGCAGTGAGAATTGTCTCTCTTGGAGACTCATGAAGACTAATGAACTACTCCTTTATGTGCATTATGCATTAAAGTGAAGTAACCAGATAGGTATGTACTCAGTTATTATCGTCCAATAATAAAATTTAAAAAAAGTTAATCTTTTTCCTTCGTTGATTTCATTTGATATTATTCTTATTCTTAAATCTTTTGCAATAGCTCCAGTCAGGAATTTGAGTGACATTATTAGAGGAAGGATACAGCTAGCGCGGAATCGCCAGGAGACTGACAATGATTGTTCGCATATGTGGTGAGAAATTGGCTTCAAATCTTCCGATGGGCGTAATTTCATATTGAGACGCCAAGGAGAAAGTTACGCCCCATGCTTTATGGTACCTCAGGCGGCATTCTACGGCGGGTCATTGATGTTTTCGGGTGGCATTTACTTGGGCATCCGCACTGAATTGGTTGTTAAGTGAGGAAGATCTCTAACTTCACCGAGGTACGTACAAGACGTAATTCAAGAACACGTAGTGCCATTTGCCCCACATCGGTGAGAGATTCTTGCTAATGCAGGATAATGCCAGGTCCCATAGAACACATATTATGAATGACTACCTTAATAAGTTGGAATTGCGTTCTTGGTGTGTCCAGCTCGAAATCCAAATTTGAACCAAATCGAACACATTTAGGACCAACTTAAGCCACGAGAACGACGGCGAAACCCAAGTCCTAACACCCTAGAAGAGTCGGAAACGGCTTTCTTGACGAAAAGGAAAGAATTCCTCAGGATTTTATCAGAAATCTTTTCCAAGGAATGTAAAGGCGTTTAACGGACGTATTTCGGGCCAGAGGTGAAAATACTCTGTAATAAAAGAACAAAATTTATTTTTTTATTTTTTTAAAAGTTGAAAACCGTCTTTACAAATTACCTTCAACTGTGAAGCCACAAATAGAAGAAAGGGTTTAAATTCAAAACTCCTTATCATTACCAATTAACACCCCTCTTAAGCCTTATAAAAAGGTATGATTTAATCAAATAGACAAGCTTAAACTGCTGTTGTGACAAACATTCACACTAGATCAAACCCTCGTACTAAATAAAATAAATAAATAGTAATAGGTCAAGGGATGATAAAACAATAATCATGGATATCAACTGTTTCGTCCCTGATCATCCTGGTCCTCTTATTGTCGATGTATATGTCCGAAAAATTTCGGCATTCACCATCTTCAGGGGGTGTAGGCTCGGTTTGTAGAAAAAAATTGGTAAACTTTACATTTGTTCTTGTTAAATGTTTCAATGAGAATTTATAACAAAAGAAATTTTATATGCTTTAGAATAGACAAATCGTCTTTAAAAAAACAATAAAGAATCCTATATTGTCGTTTTATCTTTACGGTCCTTCCTCAGCCCAGTGATTTCACGACAAAATAGAGTAACAAAATAAAAATGTAATGAATGCATTGAAGATTAGTGGTCTGACTATCGAATGATGCCTATCCTACACAGAAATCCTCGAAAATATCGGCGATAGTCTTAATTTTATAAATAGCAAACAAGTTTCACACCATCCGCAGAAATAGAGAAATAGGAAAGACAGTGTAGGCTTTCGAATGGGAAAAATCCCACTTCAATAATAGTTTAGTTCAAAATCTACACTAAAAATTATATGGTGTCCGAGTGGATCGAAATGCAACAGCTCAAGTGGTAGAGCAGCGTATTTAGCCGAGGGTCGTGGGTACGAATTCCGGTCGTGGCACTAGCTTTTTCATTTAAACCAAAACCTTACATAGATTAATTAATTGAAAGAAGTAATTTGGTCAATAGACCACGATATGTAATGGATTTAATACCTAAAAATATTTCCTAAAATTCAAATTAAAATATACTAAACAAGATACCTGTGTAAGTAACTGCGTAATCCATTTTTAGAAAGAGCATTCGCTATGTTAACTTTAATTAAACGTTTATCTAATTATATTTTGTAAATTACATTGCACTTATTAAGTAGGTGGCCGAACTTATTTTTTTAATTCAATTTTTATACACTATATGGATCAACTTTAGGTTAATATGTTAGTATATCAAGTCGGTGACTGGGAGGAAAAGTGTGTTCTCAACGTCTTACCGGTGTAAACAAAACTTATTAATTTATTTGAACTGCCGAACAACATTAATCTATTAAGTCCAACAGGCATGCCTTTTGAATAATGACTGTTTTATCTGCTATCTAAAAGCCTTTTATCGCCGTTCAACTGAATCCATAACTGTCCGAAGTCCACCTCTGACAACGTTCGCGTGCAAAACGCGACATATTAAGTTCTCTTACATTTAGAATTAGAATAGCAATTTACTTTTTTTCTCAAAATTAAATACATAAAGATAAATTTATCTCGTTAAACATCACTCTCATGTGTTGTCTCATGTTACATAGCGTGTACAGGACGAGCAGCGAAAGTAGTCCAATCAAAAATCGCAAGATGTGAAGTTTTTGTTGACGTCTGCAGGATGTAGGTTTGCTCTGTCGGGTGCCATTTCGCAATATACAATGTTTGAACGTTGCACCGAGTATGTAGTTTTTGTATGCTATCCAATATACATATCGAAGTACACACACGCTATTTATTAGTTATATTTTTACTTCATTCATTCGCCTACAGTACATTATTCAGTCACGCGAACCTCCTTTCGTCCATACCTTTATTTTTTAAAGTAACTTTTATGCAATTTTGACTATTTTTCTTTTAGTATTACAATAGAAGCTCCCACCATTATTTTTTTTTTAAAGTATTCTCTCACTTTTTTACAAAGTCATTTTATTATTTCTGGTCTAATTTCCCCTGAATTCCCTTAGAATATTGCTTTTTTCAACCTCTACTGAAATAAGCTTATTATTAGGTTTAATGGGAGTTTTAGTAAACGAATTCTAGTATCACATACTTTTTGTTTCTAAAGCTGGGAACACACTTACAACGCTATGCGACGCTACCTGACGCAAATCCAAAGTCCATTTTTCCATAAGATTGTATTACCTCTGTGCACATCTGCCCGATGCCACGCAACCCTACTCTACGCTACGCGATCCCCACTGTCCAGATTTTCGTCGGGTAGCATCGAGTACAGTCGAAGACAAAAGAACCGGACACTCATATTTTTATTCAAAATACACGTATTATTGTCGTTATATAAATTACAACACACTTATGTTATTATAAACCAAATTAACCAAGATCAAAAATTCATTTTTTTTTTTAAATTAATTTCAATGGGTTTTGAGAAAATTTATCAAAACACCAGAATAACTATTTAAAACAATTAAGTTGAACAAACAATTTATTACAAGGTTTTGCTCAAAATACTGCATTAAGAACAAAATAGGCGTTGCGATTGCGATACTGATTTGTGATACACGCTGTGTGACTGTACTTGGCGTGCGCTTGACGTCGCATTCCCTACCAAAACGTGACAAGGCGTCGGGTAGCATCAGGGAGCGTCGCATAGCGTTGTATCCGGTAAGTGTGTTCCCCGCTTTAAACTTCTTATTTGATTCAATATCTCGACAATAGCATAACTGCCATAACTTAAATTCACTTCTTTTTCAAGCAATTTTGTCCTCTAAGTGGAATCCTATCCAAGCTTCCTCCAATATACAAAAACTTATGGAAGTCTGGTGCAAAAAGTGGAGGGCAAGGCTGAATGATGAAAAATGTAAGTGTACGTTCACATGAAAAAAAAACAGTCTTGTCCCCCACTGTACATCAACAAGAAAAAGATACCGACTTCCATTCAAGTCAAATACTTACGACTATAAATAGACAGCAATGACGTGGAACCCCAGGATTCTAGGACCGAAATCCGTCTTGACCGTCAATACTAACCTTAACAAAGCTTACTGCAACAAATGACGGAAAAGAAGTGTGGGGTTCTGCCAAACCATCCAACAAGCGCATTCAATCCTTCCAGTCAAAAGTCCTCAGAAATTCGTCGAAGCTCTTTGCTACATCACTAACCTTTCTATCCACACCGACCTCAACATTCCTTCTCCATCCTAACTCTACTGCTCGAGCCCTCGCTACACATTCCCATCCCGAAAACCCAGCCTTAAACGACGTTGGCCTCGAGACCTCCTTACCCCTCATTCCCTCATCCTGAATGGTAGCGTTGGCTGGATTCTCATGGCATGTCGTCTAGGTGCAACACTTGCATTAGTGTTGGTGCTTTTTTTACGAGGGTACGCAACAGCAGAGGTCATATAAACCCTCGGATGTCGGTGGTTTTGAAAAAAAAAAAAACCAGCCCATTGTAAGTATGTCGGGTTCGAATCCAGCGGTCCTCCCACCTACAGAGATGAGCGCCGTGCCAACGCTTAAACCGTCCCGATTTTATAATATACCATTTCCTATTTATGTATGGTACATGCATTACGCTTGTCTACCTGACTTGATTTCATTTTCGCAAATGACCTGCTTTTTGACGCGCCTTCCGCTCGACCAAAGTGATGGGAAATGACCGACTACGTTCTTCGATAATCCCTTCATCCTCCAGTAACAGCAACGATCATGTTGTACAAATAATTCCTTATTTGATTAACTGAAGTAATATATTTCAAACTAATATTACAAGATACGAAAATATGTAAGATACAATAAATAATACATCATCAGAATATTTTGTTAATTTACATATGATACAAATAAGCATTGTTTACATTGAAATATCATAAAAACATATTTAAACCAAAACTTTTGTTTTGAATGAAAATAGCGTTTATGTATTAACATGTATTATGCAAACAATCAGAAAACGTGGAAATATTCACAGTCTTTGCGACAGCTTCCATTGTAAGCTCTCGATTTTCCTTAGTTGGACGAGCAGGAGGAATTTTTTGAAATCGAGGAAACTTCGCCTCCTCCGGATGGATGTCGTCGCCAAGCCGGATTTCTTTGTCTTCAACTTGTAATTGTAACATTTCATGAGGCAATCCGTAACGTCCAACGTCTTCCTCTTGGTCGAAGAACGTGGGCCCATCGCTCGTTCTGCATCGAAACGAACCAAACATCAATGAACGTTTCGAGAACATATGGCGAAAAATAAATTGATTTAACTAGAATTTATCAATTGCATGAGCTGAACACATTAAGGATAGAACATATTAGCAATTCACTACCACACATGCAAAATTGCTTTTGACCATGTATGGATTAACTCGCAGATCAATCGAAAGGACTCCTCGGTAATAAATTGGACTTTTTATGCTGACTTTATTTCACGATAATTTTCTTTAAAATGGAAAATAGCACTAATTAGTTTAAAATACTAACTGTAATAGCTTACCTTATTTTTTTCTTTTCAACGACTACAAATCTTTTCCGTGAGAGAATCTACAAACAAATTATTTTTCAATATTTTATACCAAAATCGTTCATTCCCGGGCTGTCTCATAAATGTCAATCTGCAGAGTAAGAGTATGCACCGCCTTTGATAAAACATAAACGGATGCATTTTTAAAGGAACATGCCAAAGAAAAAAGTAGAAATTTATGCTCAAACAACGCTTTAAACCTGAACAATCTCAACAGACTAAGAAATACTACGCAACTGCGGAGAAAAGCAGATGTCTTGAAAGGGCTGTTGCCAAGCACAAAAGAAGTCCAACCCCCAAGAAGACCTTATTTAACTTGAAAAGAGTCTACCTGACAACCACGCTGCTTTATTTAAAAACCTGTCGTACAAGGAAAATAAGTCCAGATATGTAAATACAGCCATCTTTCGCGAACAACCATGTTATCTATTTATAAAATTAAAACGAAATCCGTGAAAAAACGTAGAAATATGCTGTTATTACAATACGAGTTTCAACTATGAACAAGTCAGTTCCATCCGAAACAAACCAAGACTCGGCTAGTCAAAAATATAGGAGCAGAGTTAACGAAACTAGCAAAGCGGTTAGGCTGACTTGATAAGCCTCCAATCTTTTTTTTTTTTGGGGGGGGGGATTAATTTTCACGGATGAATCTAAATTTAACCTATTTTGTTATTTTAATAATGTCAGAGCAGTTAAGCAAAAAAACGATGCCATGGAATTTCAAAAAATCTTATTTAGTGGGTAATTTTAGTTTTACGACAAGTGTAGGAACTGAAAATTATTGATGGAATAATGGATCAGTACATTCTTAATGAAAATTTAAAACGAAGTTACGAAACACTAGTTCAGATTAATTAGGTTTTTTATAACGGTTTTTTGATAGTTACTACAAATATTAATTATTCAGAAATCGTGGGATGCGGTCTGGTGTGATGTAGGTTTCAGAAAAACATTTTCTTTATCGTGCCAACGTTTCGATCTTTATTGAGATCATCTTCAGGGCTCAAAGTGTTTGTCTTCTGTGTAATTGTGCCATTCTTATGTGTCGTGTTGAGAGTGCCCAAATATTATACAAATATTAAGTAAATATGTTCATATATGCTGAATTTGTCATTTCAATATCCTGTAAAATTTGCCCAGTGGCAACACTCCTTCGTTGATTGAGGTCTCGGGGCCACTTTCGCTTCAATCTACTTAGAAGATTAGAGGATTAGAATAAGATTACTATAAACTATATATAACAACAAATTAACTCCAGCTCTCCCAATTAGGATAGTTAGGGAGCTTTCACACCTAGGCTGGGCCCAGCCGCTCGAGTAATACGACGTAATTACTTTAATTATAAGTTTATTACATTTACTCCTTTCCCCCTCACAAATAATTTCAACGTCCAAGCTCATTGTGTAACTGGTTATAACGTTTAAAAAAATGAAGGAAAAAAAATAAATGGGAGAAATTCAATAAAACATAATGAGGGGTACAAAATAATACAAAATGGTTGAATAATCTCAAAAAACTGGCCAAACCGCTTGGAGTCATCATAATTGACTCAAATAGTCAACTATTACGACAAAAATAAATAAATAAAAATCAGTTACTGTCATGTGCGCATAAAAGAAACTTAAGGGTTGAAAAAATAAAATAACAAATCCTATCCTAATTGTTGTTTAGTCGTTTTTTTGTTGTTTTTTCCGACGTGTATGTAGACTGCATAGTTGCAATTATTGGAAAAAATACATTTATTTGTTAATAACTCCATCAGAATGATCTACAAGAGAGTGCTCAAAAAAGCATGTAATAACAACAAGAAACAAATGAGTAATTAAGCAATAATAACAAAAACACATGGCTTAAGGAGTCCTGGCAAGTATACGTTTTAATTTAAATGTGCAAAATTGGAAAAAATAATAATAATGGCTTAATACAATTACTTATTTGATTAAATCTTATTTTCTCCTTTATTTGGAAGTGGTATATTCGCAACAGTGAATCCTGAGAGAAATAGAGTGAGAGTGAGGGGGTGACAGACAGGGAGAGAGGGTGAGAGGGAGAGAGGAGAGGAGAGAGAGAGAAAGGAGAGAGTGAGAGACAGAGAGAGAGAAGGGGAGAGAGAGAGGAGAGGAGAGAGGAGAGAGAGGGAGGGAGAGGGGAGAGAGAGGAGAGGAGAGGAGAGAGAGAGGGAGAGAGGAGAGGAGAAAGGAGAGAGAGGGAGGGAGAGGAGAGGAGAAAGGAGAGTGAGGGAGAGGGACAGGGACAGGGACAGGGACAGGGACAGGGACAGGGACAGGGACAGGGACAGGGACAGGGACAGGGACAGGGACAGGGACAGGGACAGGGACAGAGACAGGGCTTAGTAAAAAAGCATTGCTGAGGCTCAAGAGTCCAGTATCTAACTTATACATTTTGCGTGGAGCGAATCCCTTTGAGGTTTCGTCAAAAAAGCCGACTGTACGGGGCATCCACACAAATTTACGTTGTTTACGTTTTTTTTTCCTTGGCTTTGCATCAATGCATCGGCCATGCGTTTTCCTTCGGCGTCGCCGAAGTCTATATAATTTACTATGTTTCTTTCACTACACACTTGTGCGTCTTGTTCGACGCAAATTTTTACAGGTGTTGTCCCGGCTTTGCAAGAGTCAAGTACATGCATATAAATTTAAATTGACCAGCCGCTACGTTTAAATTGAAGTTCGTCTGTCATTTAGGTTTACTCACTTCTTTCCTATAATTGTTTTAGTCGCAATGAACTTTCGCCAAAAGCAAGCGTCCTGTGATTTTCTGAAACACCATTACATGAATTTTGACTGTGAGTACTTTCAGACGGTTCTCTCCGAGACTCTGACCGGGTACTGCGACTTAATCCACCCAAACAAAATCGAAACCTGACAAAAAACCCCTCAAGTTCACGGAGGGAGAGAGTATTGCACAAAAGAGCCGTCCCTTTCAACCGCCGACACCACTTCCTACCATCTCTCCTGACAATACGAAATTGCGCTGAGATGTGCAAATTATAAGGCTTGAAAGCATTAAATATAAGGACAGTAAAAAGAATTAGTTTATAAATAAGTAAACACCGTTTTTTGCTCAGCACTTCTCACCTTATCTTCTGTTCTAATTCTTAATGTTACTATCATGAAATCTGTTATCGCTTCTGAGTTTCTTCTTGCATACGGAAGAAACTGGAGATTCTTGGATTTCCTAGTTTTAGTGAGAGATTTCCTAGTACTTCTCGCCTGCATATTCCTTTCAACTCGTAAAAATTGAATGCATTGTCCATTTCGAAACACGTCCAACATGCAACTTAAGAAATTTCGTTTCTGCAAAAAAGCACCTGGCAGTTGCTGTTCACTCCTTAATAAGAAAAACAGAAGTGATTATTATTTTTCTGCCATTTGTTTGATCGATTGATGCAAAGTTGTACTACCTGTTAAAGCTTAATAGACAATCCTCGTCGCCTACAACACTTCTCCACGCTTCACATACTTTAAATTAACTATTATTAAAATTATATTTATTAAAAAATCCCTTATGTTTTTGTGGTCTAATTGACCAAATTACGTCTTTCAATTAATTTTTTTTTATGAAAGGTCTCGGTGGAGTTAGTGTCACGAGCGGGATTCGAACCCATGACCTTCTGCTGGTTTTTTCATCTCAACCGAGACCTTACATAAAAAGAATAACTTATTAAAAAGGTTGCTTCTTTTGAAAGATCTTGTAGGTTCCTTTTTAAGAAAAACAGATACGACCAATTGTTTTTTGCAAAACGTATATATTTCGAAGCAGCCAGTAATTCGATAATAATTAGAAAAAGAATAATTCTAGAGGCACACCTGAATTATTATGAAGATTTTTGTATCGTGAAAATAAGGCACGACTGCTTTCCCCTTTTGCTGGGGGTTTAGGCACCCCAGACAAGTTTTTTAAAGTTGAAAGTATACTCATCTTAGTTATGATCTTAGCCTTTATGCCTGTCTGAAAGTATCTGTGCCCTTTCATATATATATAAATTAACTCCTGTGCACAGAGTTGTATTGCATGGATTTCAGTTTGGAAAATATTTAGTTTGTGTTTATGCTTACAAAAAGATAATTTAGAGGAACACCCAAGCAGACATAGGAGAGGACGGGGTATTGCATGTCAAACCACTTTTCAAACAAAGTTAAGTAATTCGTCATACTGGAGGGCTTAATGTCAAACCACTTGTTTAACATTTTACAAACATTTTTACAATAAAAAAAAAAAAAATGTAGCGATTGAAATGAAAAGCAATAATTTAGATAGCAATAATAATAGAATAATTTTTCTACTGAATCACAGTAATGACCACCATAATAATGTCATATTAATATAACAGTAAAAATATATACATATAGTTTGAAATAAACAACAAGTATTTTGTTTCCCTGAGTGTAAATACTTTCTAGTAATCACCAATTTCGTTCTAAAAGTTGTGAAGCACAAAAGAACGATCGAGTGTGATCATGTTTTTTTTCCCAGACACATAACACAATCATCCATTTCCTTTTTACATATTATAGTTTATATAGTTTTGATTATTCTTCCACAAGATTATGTACAAAGCTTTCAACGTAAACAGTTTACAAATTCATCAAGCACACGAATAATAAAAGTATGACTTCTTTTAGTTTATGATCAAAAAATTTGGATTTAATAATTTTAATTTTATTTTTGAACATACTAAAAAAAAAAATAGTTCTCCATCAGTCATTTTCATCCATAGTACATTTATACACATTCATCATTCACTGCTTATTAAGCTGCTTTCCAATGTAGCATTCATAGCATGAATTTAATTAAAGAATTAGAATGTTTGTGACGTTTTCACACATTAAATTCATTTTAATTATCGGATAAATTTAAATGTGAAAGATATTAAACTTACTGCAAAGTAGGGATTGATTGATCGGAATCGCATGAATCAGATCACAAGAAATACGTAAATAAACAGTATAGGAAAAAGTATGTTCTGTAGCTGCCAGCAGATGACTCAAGAAGAAGCATCAACAAGCTGGTGAGACTGTAAACCTTAGATATATATAGATAGATATAATATTTCAGGGTATGGTATACTGCGCCCTTTAAGAGCTATTGTATCCCCTGTGCTCTGCCTAAAGCACATCGGTGAGCCCTATTTCATCAAGAAACTTGTAGTTCTTCTATGGTCACATTGTACATCCCAAAACACTTCTAGTGTAGCTCCGCAGTTTGTTAGTAAATGTGTTGGTGTCTCTTCTGCTTCTTTGCAGAATCTACATGTGCCATCTTGGATTATTCCAATTTTCTTTAGATGTCCATTTAATCTACAGTGTCCTGTCAGGAATCCTGTTAGGATTCGCAGTCTATTCCTGCTTCCTTTGACACATTCTGTGATTTCTTTCTTGCCAAAATTGGTTAGAAGATTCTTAGATTGTCTATGTCCAATAAGTGAATTCCAAAGTTCGCTCATTTTCTTTTTGTCCATCTGTCTGAGGTATTCGTTAATAGTGTGTATTCCTATTCCACAGAAGGGTTCGGGTCCTATTAGCGGTGTGGCAGCCCCTTTTCTTGCAAGGGTGTCCGCTTTCTCGTTGCCTTCTACTCCCATGTGTCCTGGGACCCAGCATAGGCTGACTTTATTCTGCGAACCTAATAATTTGGTTTTGCAGTTCAGCACCATCCTTGAACTAATGGTGTTTGAGCTTAGTGCTTTGATGGCTGCTTGGCTATCTGACATGATAGCTATATTCTTGTTTTTGTATCCTCTATTTAGATTGAATTGGATACATCTTTCAATTGCGTGAATTTCACCTTGGAAGATACTGGTGTGCTTTCCCATGGGTTCTGAGTATTTGGTTCCGGGTCCGAACACTCCTGCCCCTGTACCTTCCTGCGTTCTAGATCCATCTGTGTACCAAAGGATGGTACCATTTTTGAGGGAGTTATTTCCCTCTCTTTCCCATTCCTTTTTGGTGCCCAGATGTATTCGGAATTTTTGGTTAAATTCAAACCTCCTGACTGTAAACCTTATGAAGTCATATAATAACTTTGAACCTTCTTTGATTCATGAAATTATGATGCACTTACCTAATTACTAAGACACTTATTTAAATCACTGTTTTTTCAACACTGCTTTTTATTTCATACCGTTTAAATTTTAATGTCATCGACTATGTAGATATGATAATTAATAACAGTCTTTAAAACTCTGACAACACTTTAATATTGGTCCATGGATAAGACATTAACTTTTTATTGTAAAAATTAATAACTAACAAATGTCGCTTACCCTGTGGTAATGTATTTTCTTTAGAAAGAAATGTAATGGAAGAAATTAAAACAATTTGTTTGGATTCTTTTATTTCTTTTTTATAAAAATAACCACATTTTATATAACTGTCTGAAGATAATAAAAATCACATATAGCTATATTGCATAGACACACCCATTAAAAATAATATAATTACATTTTGTACTATTACACAACCCACAAAAATTCAATGTACATGAGAACATTGGTCCTATACTTTAAATCGCATATCTTTGTTAATGGAAATGGAATGTTAACACTAAGTCCTTAAATTAAATTTGGCATTGCTCAACCATTGTTGTGAAAAATAAAATTATGGAAGATTTGAACTCACTTTTAATACTACATATGAAATACAACTAATGAAAAAAAATGGAATTGCATTATTCCTGAGGCGGGATGTTAATAAAATGAATTGACAGTCAAGGAATCCCGATAGAAATTTGGTTTCTAAGCTTGCTCATGAAGAATACAAACAAAACATGGATTATAGAAGAATGCAGAGAAAAAACAGTCGGAGTTACTTTGCAATTTACTTCTTCTTTTTTTGTTTCTGTTTTTTTTTCTCTTCCCTTTTCTTTTCCTTGTCCTTGAGGCTCTGGTACAGTTTCCAGCCAAAGAAAGCTGAAAAATAAAATATAATATATTTCTCATTTTAATTAATTTTTAAACATAACAAGGATACAACGGGAAATTACAAAACTTCAATCATGCACTCAAAAGATACAAGAATCACAAATCAAAAAATCTACTAATACAAAAATTACCGAAAACAATCAAGAAGACGATGTAAGGTAAAATGTAAAGATAAGAACCTCCTCCTTGTTCCTCGTGAACCCTTCTCAAGAGGACTTCTTCAAGATCTTCCCTATCCATGAATGTGTTAATTTCGTCACCCTCGAGAATTCTTTTTATTCTATCCGTTGGGAGATCAGCAGGCTCTTCGAGTTTTACAAAAGGGACTTCAGGCAATTCCTCCGGTACTGGTGACAGCAGACTTTCATAATCTGACTCCATTTTGCGGTTTTCAATTTTAAAATGATGTCTACGGTAAAACAGTTTTGATTCGACTGATAGCGACTGACAGAGGAGAATAAGCTTGATAATGTTTTGTGCTGAATCGCATTTACTAAATGGAAATATTTATCAATTATGCCTATAAGGTTGTTGCATAATACAGGTTTTATTTACTAATAAAATGCAAGCTCGTTACTTTTTCCTTGTTATTTAGAAAAGCAAATTATAATCTCCCTTATTATAATCACATTTTAATCACTTCTGAAGAAACAGTGACATCTTCAACTGTTTATATTAATCAATCACACTTCAATAAAATTTCAAAAGTTTACAAATTAATTAATGAATTGCATTGTATTACAGTATTCCTTATTTGACAAGTTCTATCAAAACTTATTTCAATTAATTATTCTTTTTATGTAAGGTCTTGGTTGAGTTGAAAAAGTTAGTGTCATGAGCGAGATTCGGACCCATGACCTTTGACTCAATACGCCGCTGCTCTAACTGATTAAGCTGAAGGTCGTGGGTTCGAATCCCACTCATGATACTAACTTTAAAGAAGTTAGTAAAGTAAGTAACTTGGTAAATAAGAAATAAGTAATATGGTCAATTAGACCACTAAACATGAATGGATTTATCAAAACATTAAAGAACAGCTGTTAAAAATAAAAAAAAATATTGCGAGATAGAAAAGACGGTCTGTTCATTCTTCTTTCCTTTTGAACTATGATTGTTTAGGTATGCAAGATTATAAACTTGTGGCTTGATAATCTCTGGCCAAATTGGTCTTGTCATATGCACAAAAAGTATACAGCTCAACTACCAGTGATGGTTTCATCAGGAGCCAATCAAACTACAATTTTATTATTATTAAATAGTTAAAATCAAATTAAAGCAAAATAAATCTAATTTTGAAAAATGTGTAGTTCACAAAAACAAGAGAGTACATTTTTTAGTTCAATGTTGATCAATTGGTCAAAAAATAGTAAAAACAAAATACTGTATTCTCCTTGCTTTAAATTGAGAAGTGTTAGGTTTTAAATGAAAAAAACACTTCCTTTAACACTGGTTGTAAATGATAATTCTACTCCCAAACTGGTTTTAACTAGCAAAATCCAGATTTCGAGGATAAAACGTACAAGCGCGTTTTTCAACTTGAAATTTTTACTTATGTTGCAAATGTGCTTGAACATATCAACCTGACAATGAGCATATATAAAACTCAAAATCCAGATTGCTGCTTAAAAATGGTTTTAATCTGGTTTGGGATGTTGTTAGGTATGTGGTCCTTCAATGAATCATACACTGTATTATACAGTTGCCAAGTTTTCGGCTCTATATTTGGCCTTCCTCAGGGCAATGTACGACGTCCTAAATAAAAATAATAAAGTAATAACCATTTAAAAGTCAAAGATTTTTTAAATACACCTCTCTACACGTTTATAACAGAAATTGATTTCTGTATTTAAAAAATCTTTGACTTTTAAATGGTTATTACTTTATTATTTTTATTTAGGACGTCGTACATTGCCCTGAGGAAGGCCAAATATAGAGCCGAAAGCTTGGCAACTGTACAATACAGTGTATGATTCATTGAAGGACCACATACCCAATAACATCCCAAACCAAATTATAATCAAAGTTGGTCGATAACTGAACAACCTCGTAAAAATGGTTTGTGAGTTGAACTATTCTTTCCAAACCAGTGAATTGATGTACTTCTCAATTATTTCTGCCAGTACCTTTAATGCGTTTCAAAGCTTAATTGGCTTCCTCTTCAGAATTTTGGAGTTCAGAGCTTTGAAATGCAATAAAGCATGCATTTATTTGAGCCTGGTTGTTTTTGTTCAATAAAACCCCATTCTACATGTCTGCACAACTACGAAAAAATAAAATTAAAAAGATTTTAATGTTTCAGATGTATAAGTTGTGTTATCAAATACAACAAATTAGACAAGATAACAAATGGTAGTGTAATTTAATCAATAGCACGCAATCTTAATTTTTGTTTTTATGACAAACTATTAGTTTAACATTCAAACTTTTGTTTAATAGTAAATTTAGCCTATCAACTATCTAACTTTCCATATAAGAGAAACATCAGACATCTACTGAACTTAGATAAAATAGACCTGAATTTAATAATGGTGAAAACCAAGCTTAATTATTAAAATTATTTAACAACTGAGAATAGGCCTGTATCGATACCCTGTGCTAAATTGATTTAATGGTTTAAAATATCAATGGCCATGTTAACACACTGCATGCACATCTTCATCAAAAATCACATGAATATCTTATTCATTTTATTCCTATTCTAAAAAGTACTTTTGAATGCTTTCTTCAAATTGTATTTATCGGCTTAATCGTACTTTCCCAATCAGCCATACAATACAAAGTGAAATGATAGTACTGTCAATGAATGGACATTCTAATTGAAATAATCCGAGCCTATCAGAGTGTCAGTCTTATAAGATCTATTTTCACATCAGGATAGCATAATTAATGAACTGGAAATTAGACATTGGTGAAAGTAGATAATAAATGTACGCCTAAAATAAACAATTATTAATAGACAAAGTCACAGACATTAACTTCATTGTCTGTTAGTGCCTGACATATCCCCGATATTGGGCCAATTAGAAAAAAAAAGAAGGAAAAAAACAAAAACAAGAAGAGAGTGCCAATACAAGTTGAAATTGAAATTAACTAAACGACAAAGTTATATATGATTTGCTGATACTTTTCAAACAAATCAACTATGAAGAACAGAGAATTTTCAAATAATTAATCTTTAAGAAAGATATTGGTTGAGATAAAAGTCTTTAAGTAAAAGTGGATCGAAGTCACTTTTACTTAAAGACATTTATCTCAACCAATACCTTACTTAAAGATCAATTAATTGAAAAGAATTTGTTTGGTCAATCGGACCATGAAACTTAATGGATTATAGAGAATGCTGCAAATGAAACTAAATAAATAAAATTTTAAAAATTTTTTAAAAAACCTCATCTGACAAGGATGTTACCAAGAGGTTGAGATGGGTAGATAAAATTAAACTATATCTTTGAAATCACAAGCTCACACAAGTGAAATATGTACTCAATTTGGAAAAAGATACAAAAAAATTAAAGGTTAAGCTTTCGTGTCAGATTGCCAAAACACAGGAATTGAGGAAATTAACCAAGCAGATTATTGCATATTTAAGGCAGACCTTGGGCAACATCGGCTCAAGACCCCCTCCCGAATAGGATTTGAGCACTCTTCTGGACCAGACAGAAGAGAATGGACCTGCTTTTGGAATCTCGATCCGCCTGTACTAAATTGTTAAATACAGAAAATCATTTTGGTTTCTTTGTAAGCGGAGGTGAGCTTCTTTTTTTAATTTATTTATTGTTGGAGTTTTATATCCTTTTCTAAATAAATTATTTTCTATGTGCTAAAGTGTGAAAAGGACCATCATTATTTGTATCAACTTTCCATTTATTTTAATTTAATTTATTTTATTTATTTATTTTTTAATAATCAATTTGAGGCTTTTCATCCTTCTACTGGGCCATCGCCTTTGTTTCAATCAGTACAGATTTGGAGAATTCAAGTACACATTTCAAAATCTTTCTTTAGAAAGTAGTTGCCACACAGTACCTTTTTATATGATAGTAATGCACACTGTCGAAAAATATGTACAATACGAGATATAATCAGAATTGAGTATAAGCATCAAGCCAAGAACTTTGGAGTTGGAGGGAGGGGGGAAAAATGACCTCCCCATTTTGAAAGAGAAAAACAGGTCATGCTCATGAACAGGGATATGCCTGCAGCTTACAAATTTACATATTCTAAAATAAACAAATAAAAAGTACGCTGATTTCTAGATATTTAATACATAGATGGCTTTAAAACCAAGAAACCGACCAAAAGAGTTAATTCTACATATGGATCAGGAATGTGGTTAAACGAACAAAACTTTTATAAGTTCACCAAGCTTTCAGCATATATACTTCGCCTTCCTCAGGGCAAATTTGTAAAAAAATAAAATAAAATAAAATAAAAAATGGTAAGAGATCTGGAATCCATAGATTCTTCGTCAAAAGTCCTTAATCTTGAAAACTATATATAACAATTATAATAAAAACCATTTAGAACTTTTAAAAACTTTACCAACCAAAAATAATTCGTAACTCATTAGTATTTTTGGTTGATAAAGAGGTGTTTTATTAATTGTTAAATTTCTAAATGGTTTGTGCAAATAATTATTATTTTAATATATGTAATATAATCTTTATATATAGTTTTCATAACTAAGGTCTATTAATGAAGAGTCTATGCGGACTCCAATAGATTGGAAAGATAAAGTAGAACAGAGAAAAAAACATAGAGAACTGACAAAAATACAGAAACTCGTACAATGGGAGCGATGAGAACATGTCCCACAGCTGGTAGGGAGAAAATATTGGGATTAACCACCCCCTCAACCATATGATAATAAGGACAGCACAGAAAACCATCATCAAAGATGTCTCCAACAGGACTAAAACCAAAATTAAGGGATAGAAACAACCTATGAAAGAACACCCAATAATGAAGGCTTCAAGAAATTACACGAATAGGATGTTTGAATTCAAACAAAATTTCCAAACAAAGTACCCAAAAAGAATGGGAAAAAGAAAGAAACTCCTGCTTTAAGAATGACACCATTTGCTGATGGATCTAGAACCCAAGAAGGTATGAGGGCAGGCATATTCGGTCCTGGCACCAAACTCTCAGAACCCATAGGAAGTACACCAGTATCTTCCAGGAAGTACATACAATTGAGCGATGTACCAAGTTCAATCTGAACAAAGAGTACAAAAACAAGATGTCATGTCAGATAGCCAAGCAGCCATCAAATAGCTATGTTCAAACAACATTAGTTCAAAATGGTGCTGAATTGTAACACGAAACTAAACAGATTAGGTCTGCAAAACCAGGTCACCCTCTGCTGGGCCGCAGTAAATGTGGGTGTAAAGGGCAATGAAAGAACAGACGCCTTGCAAGGAAAGGGGCTGCTATACCGCTGATAAGATCTGAGCCTTTGTGTAGCATAGGAACCCACACTATCAATGAGTATTTTAGACAAAGGACAAAATGAAAATGAGGAAACAATGGAACTCACTAACTGAACATAAGCAATCCAAGAACCTTGCAAATTTTGGAAAGAAAGAAACAACAGAATGCATCAAAGGGAGCAGGAAAAACTGTGAATCCACAGGATTCTTAGCAGGACACTGAAGACTGAATAGGCATCTGAAGAAGATTGGGATTTCACAACACTGCACATACAATTCTGCAAGGAAGCAGAGTAGACACCAACACACCTACTAACAAACCGTGGTGCCACATTCACACAAGACAAAGTGTTTCGAGATGTAAAATATAACCGTAGAAGAAATTCAGCCACTGAGACTTACTAATTAAATTCCTAGCTGAACTAAAACTCACCAGTGTTCTATAAGCACAGAACGGGGATACAATATCTCACAAGGGCACATTGTACCATACGCCCTGATTATTACATCTACATCTGAGTTCTAGATCTCTTATAAGTTTTAGTTTTTTCATAAATTTTCAAATGTCGTGTAATCAGGATTGGATTCTTGGCAACTTATGACTGACCACAGGGAGTTATTAGTGAAGTAAGTACTTCTATAATATCTGAATTTAGTAGTCATAATTGACCATATTTATTATTTTAATTAATTCATACTTTTTATTTAAAGTCTTGATTGAGATGAAAATATGGCAAAAATTATTCTTTTTATGGTTTTTGGTTGAGGTAAAAATTAGTGTCATGAGCGAGATTCGAACCCATGACCTTCGGCTCAATACGCTGCTGCTCTAATCACTTGATCTATCATGACTTCGATCCCCACAGACTCCAATTCCCCATTCCTCAACCTACAACCGTTCAAATTTTCCCTCTTTTTGCCATTGTTTCAAATGTCGTGTGATCAGGATTCGATTCTTAGCTACCAATAAAGTGGCCATGGGGAGCTTTTTCTTACAATGGATATCAGGAACTGGAGGAGTTCCTCCTGAGCACTGCAGCTGTACAGCTTATTGTACTTTATTCCTGGCTCCATTTTTGGGAGCTTGCAACACACATATGAATTGAGCCCCCCCCCCTGGTCTTCCATAGAAGAAACTCATTTTTGAAGGGGGTTGAGACCAAAATCAGGGTCGCTGAGATCCGATCCCACCCCAGACCTTCCATTGATGAGTGACATGTCAATTTCTTTCAATTGCAGCCACTGGTCCTCTTAGGCGTCAGAAAAAAGTCCACAGGCGACAGTGGGAATCGAACGCACGACTACAGGATCTACTATACGAGAGTCTGACGCCTTAACCACTTGGCTACCACGGCCCCTGGCCAATGAGGAACTGTAGGTGAAGTAATTACTTCTTTTTAATTATTAAATTAATCCATAATTGCTTGTGGTCCTGCTTGTCATAAAAAATTTTCATCTCAATCAATAACCTTAGATAAAGAATGATTAATTTGAATAATTATGACCACTAAGCAATTATGGATTAATTTAATATGGCAAAAAGAGGGAAAATTCAAAAGGTTGTACGTCGAGGTGCGTTGTGTCTGAGTGGATAGCTCAAGTGGTTAGAGAAGGGGCATATTTAACATGAGTCGTAAATTTGGAATTCATCGTTCCAATTATATCGTGCATGAACTGTACCTTTTGAACATTTTTACTTGCAACAATTGCCGATTTCAGCCTTCTTTTACAGATGTCACGGGGTCGAATCCCGCTCGTGACACTACTTTTTCATCTCAACCTTGCATAAAACGTGTAATTAATTAAAACAAATTTTATGCACTGTTAGCTTTTAAAACTTATAGTCTGACCTCCGGCAAACAGACGTAACCCAATTGCCATGCTTTGTATTACACTATACATAGTTATGTCGTAAAAAATTTTCCATTTGTTTATTTAAAGACGTACTTATTTCATTCATTCAATCATTCATTCATTCATAGTGGGGAACAACAGTGAATTTTGACACAAAGTACATCTGAAAAAGTAGGCTGAAATTGGTCCTGATTGTTCAAATAAAAATATTCAAAAGGTACAGTTCACGTACAGTACAATTAGAACGATGAATTCCAAATTTACATAATTTAAATAAGTGAATTTTTAAAAGATAATTTATTCAGCTTGTTGATTTGTTCAGCAAATATTGATACTAATGTGACCTAGTTGAACGAAAACAGCTGTAATGGGTTAAAAAACAATTATTGCTTTTACATCTTTTTAAAATTAATCTTTCTTATACATTATGAAATAGTTTTAAATCTAAATTAACTGCATATTACACTAGGCCACATATAAATGTAGTTGTTTATTTAAGAGTAAAATGTTTATTGTTATTGATCAATTTGTCTCGTACAAAAAAAAAGAATATAAATAAATAAACGTAAAAAAGGCTAAAGGCTTTCTTTTTACCTGAAAGGCCAAAAATGATAGCTCCAGGAACGATAAAGACGGAATTGCTGAAACCGTGTTCGATGAGGCCGTCGGGGCCACCGCTCAAATCGACCATGGCGTACCGCTCGAGTCTGGGTCTGCGACTTGCCACTTAGTGAAAGGGGCGATGCCACGGAGAACGAGCGTCGTCAGACGGTTAACAGGAAGAGGCGCGCCCCACGGCTCGGCCCTCGTTTGACACTTGACAGGCGAGTTCAACCTCTCCGCTTTCCGTGGTGTTCCGTCTCCGTGTAGCAGACACGTAGGTTCGCACGCCGCACGGCATCGCCGCGTCGTCCCTCTCGACTTCACACGTCACGTGACACGTCAACGGTGAAACCAAATTCTACACGTCAATTCGTAAAATATATTTCCATATACAGGGTGTTCTGCTACTCGTGTTACAAACTTTGCCCGTACAAAAAGGAACCTAAAAGTCCTAATGGTCCTAATCTCCGTAGTTTCGGAATTATTTCACTTTTTCTGATTTTTTAAAATTTCACGACCTTTCTTCAAATAAATAATGATAACTCCAAAACTAAAAGGTTTTGGACAAATCCATTGATACCATTGAAAACTACATTAAATTTCCAATAAAATGTGATCAATACTAAACTTGTAAAGTTCGTGAAATAAGCGTTTTGATAGCGAGAACTTTGAAAAAGAATTTTTTTTTCAAAGTTGAAAAACTTACTATGGTGATTCTAAACTACTATTTCCAAACCTAGAGACCAGCAAATTTCAGAAAATGTACTCCATTTAATATCCTTTTTAGTGGTGCAATTGCTTTTTTAATTACTTTTTTCAAAGATGAAGAAATTGATGAAGGAAAAGAAAAACCCGTGGTTGACGGATTGATAAGGTGGAAAGATAAATAATAAAAAAACTTAAGGAAATTTTGAATTTAGGCCTTAGTACGGTTGTTCTGGGAATACGCTTAACTTCTTTCATCTTCCGACAATGCTATGTAGAATCCCGGGCCTGACACGCCACGGTCACTTCACTGCGTTGTATAAATCGACCCTAAAGCATCATCATCATCGGGATCTTTCATAAATATCGATAGAATTATTGCTTTGAAAAATAAAATTTAAGGACTAAAAAAAATTAATGGATATCGATAGTTGACTTGAATGATAGGTAATAAGAAGTACAGAACCTACTTGGTCTTTATCTCTCAGCTCGGGTGTGTTGTTAAAAACGAACTAAAAAACCATTTCTCTGCAAACTTTTTTACAATTTCAACTTCGAGGTGAGTTGTTTTAAATGTATTAAAAAAACGCAATTTATTTTTAAAACGATGGTGATTAATCAAAACATTACTGATGAAATGCATTATTCGACTTAACGTAAAAGTGGCAATGATTACATTAAAATTTAATAATTTCGTCTGCTGTTTTTTTTTTAACTTTTCATTTTTTTTTAAGTAGACTGCAAACCTAGATTTATGCTTTTTTTGTTGTTACATGAGGGATCTCATTACATCCCCCAATTATTGGGTTAAAAACAACTTATTTAAAATATGTTTCTAAAACAAAGCAATATTATTAATTGCTTAAGTGAGTGTCGTGGAATGCTCGATGTGTTTTCCTGCGTAGACTGGCTTGACTCACCGTTTATCGGTTTTTATTTTCCATACACTATAGTGGTGACATACCTTTGCAATTTATGTGTTAGAAAAAACAACTATATAAAAAAAGCCATGATTTCATGTAGATTTTAATTTTGTTATATACGAAACAATTTTTTGTTTAATTATATATTTTTTAATGCACTTGGTTTTCTTACGGACTTTTTTTAACTAACTGTAAAGATTAGTAAAACAATTAATATTATCTATTTGGTTTATGCTGATAAGGAATACCTTGGCATTTTTTTTCTCTCCTAGGGTCTCACCTAAATTATTGCCCATTCACCGTTTTAAGCTTTGCAAAGACAGAGTTCGGACACTTTATAAAGTGAAATTATTCATTCGATTAGACTTCGTTTTGCTTTTCAGATGGATAAGGTCATTAATGTATTCAAAGAAGTCATCAAAAACTCGGTTCCTGTATCAGGAAAGATTTTGAAATCGCCAGAGTCTGCATTGTTAGTGTGTTCAAAGTGGAGCCAGAGAAATGTTGAGAGGAAAATGTCTGTCTCTTCCGAACTGCTCCAAATCGTCGATATGGATACGTCCAATGTCACTTCTCTATCGTCAGTCGACATCACTTCAGAGTCAGTTTTCAGCCTTTAATTTGTAATTGACATTTAATTTTTTATTAGAATCGTCTTTTAGGTTAATTACCAAATATTCACCTTCGGGGAAGTACAGAGGATTGTTTCGTGATATACCCGCATCCGGAAAATATCCGAAAAAACAGCATTTGGAACTTTGGTACAAAAATCGAATGTATAGAAATTGTGATGTGTCAATTTTTGATTTGCATGGAGATGTTTATAATGACAGTAAGAATATTTTTACCAGGTAACGATAATTTAATAACGCTCGACCGATTGTATTAGGTGAGTTTGCGTGTTTCGAGTGGTCTCCTTGTGAGAAAAAAATTTTATACGTGGCAGAAAAGAAGAAACCAAAGGCCGAGCCATTTTTACCCTTGCCTGCTAAGAAAAATGATGACGTCCTTTATGTAGACAATATTTATCTATTTGGCTATGCTTCTAAACTTGATTAATTTGATTTTGTTGAATTTAGGGTTCTGAATATTTATTTACTGAGGAATGGGGTGAAGCCTTGGTCGGAAAATCCTCACCTGTTCTGGCTATTTATGATGTAGAAACAAACACAGTAAGTTTATTAAACGGCGCTCCACCCGATCTGTCTCTTGGCCAGGGAGTATGGGCGCCGGATGGCGGAGTTGTCTGTGTTGCCTGGAATACCTTGCCACGTCGTCTGGGACTTGTATACTGTACAAACCGACTCTCTTGGATTTGCCACATATCCCCAGATGGAAAATTCAGTAAGAACATTTTATTTTGTCTTGTTATATTTTTTCGTGGAAAATATGACCTTTGGTCCCTTAGCTAAACTGAGCTCAGACGGTTTGGCTGTCAGGAGTCCAAAATTCTCGCCAAATGGAGAATCATTAGTATGGCTTGAAAGGAAAGCTGGTGGACCTCATCATGCCTGCCATAGCCTGATGAAATTCGATTGGGTTAATAAAAAGGTATTCCAGAAGGCTGTTCAGAAAATATACAGAATAATCGCTAATATTCATTCACTTTTGTTTTAGACCAAAACAGTCATCGACATTGTAGATGAGTACAGTGAAACAAAAAATGGATCAAAGTTTTATGGTCTTTACAATCTAAGCCTTGGAAATTGTTGGCTTTCTGATAACAAAACAATAGTTGTTTCTACGCCACAGATGTCCAGCGTGCGGACATTTTCTGTAGACACAGGTCATACAACAGATTAATTTTGTTACAACTATTTTATAACAACTCGTAGCTTTTGAAACAGATAGTCATGAATTGGTTGATTTGACTGGCTCTGTGGATGAAGAAAGTTACAGCCTTGGAGTGTTGGATGTCAGCAATGACATACTGCTTTGCTATAAATCGTGCATCGCAGAAACTCCCTATTTGGTAGTCGGTAGGTATCGGCAAGACGAAGAGGTCACTTGGATACCGTTGACAACTCCTGAAACTATTTGTAAAGATTTCACGTTTAATGTGTTAAAGCTGGAATCTGACGATTCCAGTAATGTCAGTAAGTGCCCGTAATATGACGATTCATATTTCCTTGGAATTTATTTATTTATTTTTTTTAAAGAAAATTTTTCTGCAATTTATTATGGGCCAAAGAATAAAAAAGATACGCCTCTTCTTGTATGCCCACATGGTGGACCTCATTCAGCATATACTAATTCTTATAGCATGATTGTTAATTTTTTTGCTCAACTAGGTTTGTAGATTTATTCAAAACTTTAATATTTAATAAATATATTATCATACAATAAATTTATATGACCTTTTTAAATTAATTATTATTATTTTTTTTTTTAAGGATTTGCTTCATTGTTAGTCAACTATCGTGGTTCAATAGGTGCAGGACAAAATTCAGTTAACTTCGTTCTCGGCAAAGTTGGAAACTCTGACGTCAATGATGTGCACCAAGCCGTGCAAAGCGTGCTTAAACAGTATTCTCAGGAGCTTAACCAAGACAAAGTAGTCCTATTTGGTGGTTCTCATGGTGGTTTCATTGTTCTTCACCTGGCAGGGCAGTATCCGGTGAGAAAGGAATGCCCTTTAACATAATATAATGCTTTAAATCTCTACTTACTGTTTTCCAGAAAAATTATTCTTGTGTTGTTGCCTTAAATCCAGTGTCAGACTTGTCTAAGCCTTTTGGGTCTGATATTCCCGACTGGTAAGTCTTGCTAAGCACTCTTTTGAAGATGTTCTTTTTTTTACAGTCATTTTACAAAGGGGTATCAGCTAGGAACCCAGTTGTTGACATTGAAGCATTGTTTTCTTTATCAGATATACCAGATTGGTAAGTCGCTAGTTCAAGTATTAAGGAAATTAGGTCAATAAAAAATTTAAATATTGCTTTTTTCTCAATCGAACATTATAATATTAATTATTACATTAATATTATTCTTTACCAACAGTGATAGTTTAATAATAAAAAATTAAACTCTCTGCTAGATAATTATATGCAGCAATAATTTAAAATTTATGTAATTAATTAACTGTTCCCACTTGACGTTTGATTCTTCCGTGTGTCAAATCTTTTGAGTAGAACTCAAGAATGTTGAATTGTCTGCCTCAAAAATCACTCTAGAATCGAATGTCCCAGGCCAGACCATGTTTATCTTAACTAACATATGTAGACTTCTGGCATCACTAGGTCACTCCCAAGGGTTTACTTTTTTATTCCCACCAACCCTAAACTAGACCGCATTCGACTTGAGATTGTCTCTTTCAAGCGGCCGCCTCAAAATTACTACGCAAAAACAACTGTCTTCCTGACAGCCCTCAGTTTAAAATTGGAATTACCCCTGCTGTCATCTTCAGATTTACTCTCTGTAATCTTGAGATTAGTCCGTAGGCTAGACTTTTGTAGGTCAGGCCATTCTTAGCTTAAACTTTTTGTTCTGATTCACTCGTGTCAACGTATGTTGACTTGGCTGCATTTGCATTGGGTCCTAACCGCCACCAGATAATTCCTTCGAATTGACTGTGGCACCTACTTTATGCTATCCATCAGAATAAGGATTGTGTACTCCTGAAGTCCTGATCGTTGTCCCCATTTTGATTCAAGTTACAATTTCACTCGTAAGGATTGAGTATCGACTATCCAGACTGCTCCCCTTTCCAGAAAAGCCAACACATCTGATTGGGTTTCCATTAATTTACCCTTTAGACTTAATTGAAAATTACAATTTGGTTTAACTGGTCTGAGGGAAAGTGTCAAATTGCAGGATTTTAGTTTGTTCTGGATTTCTGTTATTAAAAACTTGTACCAAGCAAAAAACTTAGATTTTTCTTATTTTGTGTTATATTTTTGAACACAGCCTTATGTTATTAACCGATTATACATTTTCAGGGCTTTAACAGAAGGAGGGTTCAGCTACAGCCCACTTACCGAAATGACAGGCGAGGTCTTTGAATCACTTAGGAAGATGTCACCATTGTACTACATAGACAAGGTAGAGAGCCCGATACTGTTGCTAATGGGGAAGAAGGACTTGAGGGTTCACCCGACTCAGGCTCATACATTCTTCCAGAGTTTAAAAGCCAGAGGTGTCAAAACAAAGTAAGATCTTGTCTAAACAAAATTTATTTTTATTTTTAATACTGTAATGCTTGTTTTAAATATTTTCAATAGGATGCTTTGCTACGATGATAATCACAGCCTGAGCCAGACGCCCCACGAAGTCGATTTTTGTATCAACTCAGCCCTCTGGTATCTCGATATTATCGATCATAATATTGATTAGGGTGTGTTTAGTAGATTAATTTTGTGAACTTGAAACAGTAATGTTACTTATAAATAAAAAGAAAACTGATTTATCTCAATTTTATACTTTTGTAAGTAATTCTTATCATACAGGAGACTTAAATGTCCAACTACCAATTGGGGACACACTATTTTTATTTATTTATTTTTTAAGAGATAAAATGTGTGGCTGAATCACATTTAATAGTATAAACCAAAAATGTATAAGTAGACCAGGTGTGCGCTTCCAGCTGTATCACTGATGAGGCACTACAAGGGGGTTCCTCTATATTCTGGGGGGTTTCTAATGGGAGGTGGTAACTGTAAAATTTTTTCTTATGTTTTCTTGTTCTTTTAATAATAATTTGACAAACTGAAAACTACGAGGTTAGAAAGTTAAGAACGTGGGAGATAAAATATGAGAAAGCCAGTGTCAAAGATTGACAGAAAAACCCCAAAAACTGAAGAATTTTCTGTTTAAAGTGTAGAGAGCCAGTGATAACACCTGAATGTTTGCCAGGGCCCATAAATAATACATACTATATACAGAGTGAAGTGGAGATGATTCTGCTGTTTGGATACGTGGAGTGAAATTTGCACCAGGCTGAATCATTCTTTAACATGTTTGTTTCGGTGTCGTTCTTGGCACAACATACTAAACCATTTCCCATATTTGAACGTCCTTCCAGAATGACGACCATACAACCTTCTTCTAGAAAACTGTTTTTCAAAGCTTGTTGTACGGTGTTGGTGGTATTTTTAGAATCAAATTGGTGTCACAGGCCTTTGATATCACTTTATTAATCTTTACTATGAAAACGTTTTTAAATTTGACCTGTTGGAATTCTTTTGCATATTTCAAGTGTGTCTTTTCAAATCATTGCTGTTACAAATGTTTTAATGAGTGACAACCAGAGCGTCCTGTTAATTGATATTATTTAAGGATACAAGTAATTTACTATTAATTAAAATTACAAATAAATAAATTAGTAATTTGGTTGCAGAATTTGGAAAAATATTCATATGAAAAATTGTAAGGAAAAGGTTTTTGTGAATAATCTGAGATTTTTTTGTTAACATGAAAAAAGGCCAGGGGCAACGGTGGGAATTGAACCCCCGACTGCGGGGTCCAGATGTCTGGTTAACAAACAAGTTAACCACTCAGTTACCAGTCCTCTCTGGGACGGTTGCTCCAAATTAAAATCCATTTGCATTTGAAATTCTTGCAAGAAACCTTTTAAGAAATGTACATTAATGCAAATTTGGCAATTTGAAATACTTACGTTCCTCTCAGTATTCTGTTATCCTGGAAAGTTAGATCAAAATATTTTGAATCATGAGAAACTGTACAAAAAATAAAAATTTACAAGTCTTGGGGTTTTTAACAAAAACACCCCAATAGAAAAAAAAGGGAGGAAAATTTTATAACACATTAATGTACTAGTAGAAAATATTGGGTTGTCCGGAAAATAATGCAGGATTTTGGTATTAAACAAAAAAAAAAGAAACTAGTTACTTTAAAGCAATGTTCTTTAATCAAAATAATTTCCCATACTCTCAATACATTTCTCCCAACGTGTTGGTANAATGAGTAATCCTGTAAACGTAAACAGAATATTTTATATAGATTTTTTTTAATGAAAACTTAAAATCCTGCATTATTTTCCGGACAACCCAATAGTAAAAAAGCTGTCCAACTTGTGTTTCCACTACTCTGTAAGGAGTCTGTTTGAATCTGACGAATAAGTTTGTTATATACATGTATACAAAAGAACAGGACCAGCTCTTATTTATTCCTGAGCTGTCTGACAGTCAACATGCAAAAGTAACTAGGAAACTGCAAGTCGCTTAGTATAAATGTCTTAGGCTTTGCATTAACTCCTTGATCTAATGAAAAATGCACCATAAATTTTAAGAAAGCTTGTGCCAATAGTCCTAGTTTTATGATTGCTAGTATTGGAATCATTGTTCCTAAAACGGGAAGACATAAATCCCTATGATAGGGGGGGGGGTGCTCTTTCCAGCCAGACTGAAAAAATTGGTGCTTTCCTGTCAAATTAAGTTTGTACCAATCAATTGAGATGAAGACTGAAAGTCCAGTGCATACTGGACAGTGGACACTTCCTTCCCAGTTTGGGGTTTTTCAAATTTTTTATCCCCTCATTAAATAGTTTATACTGAAGTTATTTATTTATCTGTTTATATGAATAGAGATTATTTATTTAAACTGTGACCACAAAATTTTTAAAAATGTTACAATATTATGCAAATATGTAGTTATCTAAGTGAAAATAAATATAAAACCAAAATTTGTTTTTAGATTGAATGAGCATTTAATTATACAAAAATATATATTTGGCTTAGATGTTAGCATATTCTTAATAATTTGTAATCACAAAAATCTTTAATATTAAAATATATATATTTTTCAATATTTATTCAGAAATCGTGAGATGCAGTCTGGTGTGATGTAGGTTTTAGAAAAACATTTTCTTTATCGTACCAACGTTTCGATCTTTATTGAGATCATCTTCAAGGTCTGGGATTTACAAACATTGTTTTTAACAAATACATTTAGGATGTGGAAAAAAGTAAATTTATACAATGCAAAATTTATTTTTTATATTCAATCAAAGTTTTTCTACTCACTCAGTGTTTGTCTTCTGTGTTATTGTGCCATTCGTGTCGTGTCGAGAGTGCCAGTGAGATTTTGCTATTTTGTGTTTATATACATTGGATTTTGAAGGGGTGGGGAAGGAAGTCGGTATAGAAAAGACATTTTTGTACAAGGCGTTGGCTTCTTTGAGGTGAAAAGAGCCGACAAAGGAAAAAAATGTGTTGGTAATGGTTCGGCCAGATTATCCTTTCAGGATTATATAGAAAGGGATAAATAGGAAAAGGAAAGCTAAATTGTTGGACAATTAGACTTTGTCTATTAAATATATTTTGCATTGTATAAATTCACCTTTTTCCACATCCTAAAATTTGTTAAATGTAAACAATGTTTGTAAATCCCAGGCCCTGAAGATGATGTCAATAAAGATCAAAACGTTGGCACGATAAAGAAAATGTTTTTCTAAAATTATTCAGAAATCGTGAGATGCGGTCTGGTGTTTTTCTAAAACCTACATCACACCAGACCGCATCTCACAATTTCTGAATAATTATCGATTAACGGTCACTAATCACCACACATTTTTCAATATGTTACAATCTTTTATCTTTTTGTCCTAATCTATCTTAAAAAGTAAATCTTAATTGATAACAACTGATTTATTCCATGTAAATGTTTTATACATAGTAGGGTTTACATTAAATAAATTTAAAAAACAACAGTATTATTTTCTTTGATCATTAATTATAAATAAAATTATATTTACATTATTTTATAATAATCAAATATTGCAACAGGGAATTCAAGCACAGCTCCACATATTTTACTGAAGAGAATCAGTATTTGCAATCCTCTCCTGCACAATAAATACATAATTGTTTTAACTATAAGCAAAATATAGCTTAAATTTATATAATTTACTAATGAATGTGGGGATTTTGAACCACTGATCTTATTCTGCCTATTCCTACTGTTATTATATATCAGATGCATTTCACAATTTCAGAGATTAGTTTTTGTTATATTATCATATGTGTCCTATTTATAGGGCTGTAACTTCTATATTTTTCAGTAATATAAAAGGAAATAAACAGATAAACTAGTGATGAAAACAGAGCAAGAGTATCTCTTGCTGGGAAGGTCGTTGATTAAGCTACATTTACTTGAAGAAGAAGGGGAAAAAAAACTTACTGTAACCTTTTAAATTCAGCTAAAAATGATCATTCTTGATTTCTATCAAATATTTTACTTATAAACATTGTTGGGGGAGTTAATTCTTTGTTAAAAGATGTATTCAGCTTTTCAACAGATCGCAGAAGGGCACTTGGTGTTACTGCCTGTGAAAGTAGAAAACAAATCGAGCGTTAATTACTAGAAATTTTTAAATTTGGTACATATCAAAATTAATTGTTACTTGACAAGTATGGACAAAAAACTTATCGGATAACTGAGCATAAATTTCTAGAAGCTTACTCTATTACACATGAAGCTATCGTTTTCCATGACTTGCTCAAATATAGAATTTGTAATTTTTTTGGCCTTCATTCCCATGTCTTGATGAACAAATAAAATAAAGACAGATTTTATTAGTAATTACAATAAACCTTACTTTCACCATATAAAACAATTCAACACAAAAATTACCTTCGTTTTTTCTCTCGTTTTTAGAAGTTTCCTATAGAAACATATTTATTATAATTAAACTTTTATAAAGATGTTCTTTCAGGATAAAAAAAAGGATTTTTAACTTGATCATCTCTTAGCATACAAATTTTGAAATCTTGAGTGGATGGTCTGCATGTTTTCTTGAGCATTTGTTCTTTTTTATAGAAACTTTTCATATAATGACTAAGAAGCTGACCCATCCAAAAATAATACCAGGATAATACCATAGGATCATCATCAGAGGCGATCAAGTATTCATCACAATATTTCACATTCATGAAGTAAAAAGTGTTTATAATTACCTTCATAACAGGAGTTTGTTCTTTGCTTTTTGGATCTAGAAAAATAAGTGAATATTAATAAAAATAAAAGGTTATTCTATTACGGTTTAAATAAAATTTTCTATATTGTACCCAATGATTTCCAGAATGTTAACAATTTCTTCCACTGGCTGGGGAAGCCGTTACCACACAATTGTTTCACTTCAGGAGGAAGTTCTGCTTTCAAATTAAAAAATAAAATTAGAATAACATCAACAGCACAAAAACTTAAAATTGCTGAATGCTGACCGTTTTTATAATCGTTAAGCTCTCCAATTAAACAATAAGTCATTTTGCTTGCTTTTACAATTGAATTCCCATCAACCTTCTTTACAGATTCAATTGCACCTGTTATAAAGCTTTTCTCCAAAAGCTTTAAGTTGTCTCTGAAAACAAATTCAGCAATAGCTAAACATCAAAATAATAAAAGTAAAGTAAAGAAAGAGTAAGAGTTTATTATGATAAAAAGTGATTCATAAGATTAATACATGCAATAGCCAGTTCTTATTGAACTCATATTCAACATCATATTGAACTAATGACCTTTTTTGCATGCTTTACCTATTAAGATTTGACTGAATTAAAATAAAATAAATTAAAAATTTAAAAAACGACAACTTACATAGAGTATTTATTTCCCATTAGTCTTAGACAATTGTTAACCAACAGAATTGTCCAATTTTTCAACAGGAAATTAGCAATAGGGGAAGTTGATTTTTTGTTTGCCAGATCACTGGATGGATCTTTACTTAATCTCTTTCCTTTTTTAACATCTGACACTTTACTTTTCTGTGATTTCTTTGTTGGGTAAGGACTTGGGGTTTCAAACCCAGAAGAATCTGCTCTCGTTTTTGAATTATCTTTGTTCAACTTTTTTGCTTCTATCGATTTACTTTTCTGTGATTTCTTACTTGGGTAAGGACTTGGGGTTTCAAACCCAGAAGAATCTGCTCTCGTTTTTGAATTATCTTTGTTCAACTTTTTTGCTTCTATCAATTTACTTTTCTGTGATTTCTTTGTTGGGTAAGGACTTGGGGTTTCAAACCCAGAAGAATCTGCTCTCGTTTTTGAATTATCTTTGTTCAACCTTTTTGCTTCTATCAATTTACTTTTCTGTGATTTCTTTGTTGGGTAAGGACTTGGGGTTTCAAACCCAGAAGAATCTGCTCTCGTGTTTGAATGAGTTTTGTTCACACTCTCTTCTTCTATCAATTTTCTTTTCTTCGGTTGATTACTTCGAAAAGGACTTGGGGTTTCAAATCCAGAAGATTCTGTTCTTGTTTTTGAATCATTTTTGCTCGCTCTCTTTACACTCTTTGTTTCTTCCAATTTACGCTTCTGTGATTTTTTGGTTGGAAAGCAGTTGGACAAGTCAAATTCTGAAAATTGATCTGTCTTTTTTTCTTGATTTACTTTCCTTTCTCGAGCTGCATCAGTTTGTTTACAGTTTGCAGTCTTAACAGATTGTTTGTTTTTTAATACTGGCAATGGCTTAAGAAAAGTACCTTCTGATCTTGTCAATTGATTGCAATTTGATTTTTGAACCTCAGCAGAACCATACTGGATTGTTTGATCTGTAATATTGTAAACATAAAAAATGTTATTGTTGTTTATTATTTTGTTTTGTTTTCAATTACTTCATTGATTATTCTCATTAGAAAAGGTACATACAAACCTCCAGGGTGTGTGAAAGCACTGCATCTTGTCAAAGAACTCTGGATGACTGGAGAAGCAGGTTTCTTAAATTGTGGCTCAGCAATTTCATTACTGGGAAGAAAATCTGAAACCAAAGCAATTACCAATAGTTCATATATATATTTAAAATTGTCACAGTTTTTTAAATATGCATTTATTTCACTGTTGAGGGAAAACAGTGGGCTTGTGAAAACTACATTAACACTGATGGTATGAACATTGACCAAAATATCAAAAAATTCAATAGTTTGAAGTAAATCTGAACTGTATTATTTATTATTTATATTGGGTTGTCCGGAAAATAATGCAGGATTTTAAGTTTTCATTAAAAAAAATCTATATAAAATATTCTGTTTACGTTTACAGGATTACTCATTTGTNTGGGAAATTATTTTGATTAAAGAACATTGCTTTAAAGTAACTAGTTTCTTTTTTTTTGTTTAATACCAAAATCCTGCATTATTTTCCGGACAACCCAATATATTATGCAATACAGTGCTATGTATAAATAAAATCTTATCTCTAACATAACTTCATGCACTTGAAAGATATTTTTTACTTCTTTTATCACAAATATGAAGAAATGTCATTTACTTTGTACAAACTGAGGAAATTGGAAGACCGAAGCTGAATATGATGATGAGTTGTGGTAATCCTGAAACAAAATCTTCAATCAGACTATATTTAAATATTATAGTTTAAATTTAGCTTCATTTTCCCTGATGATTCTGGTCTGCTTATTCTTGTTAATTATGTCTGGCAGGTGTGCTGCAGCATTTTGCCATATTCAACAGTTGGTCTGTGAGCTTTCTTGTGAGTTTGTCCAATTTATATGCACTTTAGAGACTAAAAAACATGTTAATTTTGAAATGTAGATTTACCCCGATGTTTCATAAAGAATTTAAATGGTCATTTAGAGAAGGGATCTTTGTGAAGTAACAAAACAAAACAAGGAGCAGTAAAAACCTCAACATGTGCACACATGTGCAATAAAAAATTTAAACTGTGAAAAACGTGCATGTAGCACCTAAAACTTGCAATAATCCTATTTTTGTTTAATTTACAATAATAATATCTGTAAACTTCATCTAACCTTGTTTAAACAGAGTAAACAAGAAAAGCGTGTTTTTGCTTAAAAAATAAATATAAACAATTAATTAAGGTTTTTAGTTGAGATGAAAAAAAGTTAATGGCACGAGCGGGATTCGAACCCACGATCTTCGGCTAGATACGCCGCTGTTCTACCACTTGAGCTATCATGACCTCGATCCACTCAGACATCAACTTCCTATCTCAACCCCACCTTATGAGTTTTCCCTCCTTTTTCTCCTTGATGAGATAGGAAGTTGATGTCCGAGTGGATTGAGGTCACGATAGCTCAAGTGGTAGAGCAGCGGCGTATCTCGCCGAAGATTGTGGGTTCGAATCCCGCTCGTGCCATTAACTTTTTTTCATCTCAACTAAAAACCTTAATTAATTGTAATGTATTAATTGGTCAAGCGGACCACGAAATTAGTGAATTTAATAAATATAAAATTGCTCCACAATGCACAAAAATTTATGGACATAATGAATAAATACTGTTTAAGCTCTCTTCAATAGTTTCAAGGGCTTCAATTTGTGAATTTTTTTTTATTACCATTTTTACAACTGTAATTTTTTGTTACAAGGCAAATGAGATAAGACATAGTGACAATCTAGCATGTTACACATGATAGGAGATAACCCAACAGTGACACTGCCTCACATTGAGCCAGTCAATCTTTCAAGAGATCTCTCGGCCACAACTGCTTCAAAAAATATGAGGGATTTCCAGGAATGTTGGAGATAAGTAAGCTGTTGGACAAGTGGATTGGGGTGAGGGGCTAAATTTTTGTGGAAATTTTTGTAATGGGATTTAATAATGTCAATTGCAAATGTGATTTGGAGGTCATTGCGGATTGTTAGATTTTTTAAGGTACAGTTTAATATTTTTGATTGGATCAATTAGTTTTGTAGGAAATGTTTTTTTTGTCTCAGGAGGGTCTTGTTGACTGCTAGTAAGCTGTAAGTTAGATATATGATCAAGCAATCTAAGGAGTAATTTGTAGTGTCGGTTAGTTTCCTGCCTTTTTGGTCATGTATGGGGATTCCACGTTAGTCTTTTTCCAATGTATAGCCCCAGGTGTGTGAATTTAAAATGAGATTTCTGGATTTCAATGTTATAAAATTAAGACTCAATTTAGTCTAATTTATTTATTTACTGTGTAAAATAGTGCTCTATTTGAATTCCGTCCCTCACTGCATGAAACCAGGATATGCTACACAGTTCACATAACATATTTTTCCCAAAATAAAAAACTGATCAAATTTGCAATGTATGCAATTTTCATCCTCAGATTTTTATGAGGTACAAAATATATAAGATAAAATAATCCGTCACTTACATTAATCTTTGTTGTTGTGTTTTGGTATCTTTTCTCCATATATCTTTCAAGTTCTTTGGTAATTTCACAACATAGAACAGCAAATGCTGTCTGAAAAGTAGGGAAAAAAAATGTATAAATAAAAACCGAATTTTTGAGTGATGACAAGTATACTTACTGGCCCCATGACTTTTTGTAATTTATCCAACTTGACCAAATTCTGTTCCTGCATCTGTGTAATCGAATTTTCGCATATTTGCTTGCTAATTTTTGGTTGCCTGGGTTTGGCCTCAGTTGTCTCTCGCATTACGGTAGGACTATAAACAAAAACAATTCAATACAACCCTTCTTACATCAGTACATACAATTATCATTAAATATTATGTAAATTATACAAAATTAAATAAACTTAGTTTATTTTTTATTTTTAGCTAGTTTAATTATCTATAATGTAATGTATGTGGTTGCGATTTTCCCAGGAGTTTTTCCAGTCTTTATTTGTAGCAGATGAGGTTTGTTAAAATGACATCCTTGATTAAAACTGAAAAATGTTAAATACTCAGAATTAATCAAAGATCTTATTTTAACAAATCTCACCATACTAAATAAACGTTTAAAAAAATTGAGCAAACCTGTTCTTATTTATTTTATAACTACATACAAAATACAACAAGCAAAAATGATGGTATTTACAAGGATATAAACACACAATACTGTATGCCTGGCATGATTGATTTGAATGGTCACCATCCAGTGAAAGTGATTGTAATTGGCCATTATGGCATGAAGTCAACAGCAGACCCAAGAGTTGCTGAAGTTTCACAATCAAACAGTCGTGCAACCACTTGCATAAATCTTTTATTTATTTATTTGCATGGGTAAATATACACAGTTACAACTTTTCTATAAAAGTTTAATCTATACATAAGTAATAATTAATAATTGAAGCATACATAATAATATATATATAACAATAATTAAAAATATGAACATATTCAACATAACACAAATAAAATATTTTGTTATAATCCACACGCGTATAAAAATATAATAGAAATGAGAATGAATGATAAAAATTTAATCAAATAACAGAAATATATAAACAAATATAAAGGAAATGAGAAGAAAGAAAAATTTAATTAAACAACAGAAATATATAAAAACTATAAAGGAAGTGACTAGGAACGATAAAAATTTAATGAAAACAACAGATATATATATAAACAAATCAAACACAATTACCATGATTTAAAAAAAAAGTCTCAATCGATTTAAGGAAATATAAAAAGTATTACAATGTAAAGGAAGTTTATTACTATTTTTTCCAAGAGTCGAGAAATCAATCTAAATTTTAATTTGATTTTGAAAATATTTTTTGTCCAGTGTTACACATGGTAATTTATCAAATCGATTGATTGGAGGTGCAATGCAAGTTAAATGTCAGGTTGTTAGAGTAGGTGATTCCAAGGTCTTTCTGGTAGTCTGCCAGTTCAATTGGATGTCTTGCAAGGCAAAATTTTGTGAATTTCTGCATTTTATATGTAAGGTTTGCCAATTTGTTTTAGTCTTGTGTATGGATTCCATGTAGGTGTTTTGTCCAAGTAAAGTCCGAGATATTGTATACTATTTGCCGGAGGAATCGGAGTGCCATATGAGTAGACAGGTGGGAGAGTTTTGCGATTGAGAGTGAAAACTATATATTTTGATTTTTAATTATTTATCTTGATTCTCCACTGTTGAAGGCAGGATTCAAGCATATGAAAATGGGATTGGAAGTTGCAGATAGAAGTAACAGGTAGAGTCAATGTTTGTAGAGAGATTGGTGTATGTGAATGTTAAGGTGCTGGAATGGAGAGTGATAAAGGAGTAAAGCAAGACAGCAAACACGCTTCCCTGAGGGACACTGACTAAAATAGTAGAGGAACTTGGAAGTTCAGTTTGTTAGGAAGGGTTTAATGATAAGGTAGTATGTAATGGAAGTATGTCCTTTACCTTCTAAAATAGACCCTCCTCATGCTGTATGCAACCAAAGGCCTGGGGTATATATGGGAACTACACGAGGACAGTATAACATTTAAAGTAAACTGCTCACAAATGAATAGGGATATTACCAATTTTGTAATATTTACTTTTCTGTAGCATTAGTAGTTGGAAGTTGGTATCTGAATGGATCAAAGTCACGATAGCTCAAGTGGTTAGAGCAGCAGTGTATTGAGCAGGTTGTGGGTTCAAACCGCTCGTGACGCTAACTTTTTCATTTGAACCAAAATGTCACATAAAAAGATTAATTAATTGAAATACGTAAATTGATCAATCAGACCACTAAATATAATGGACTAATTAGTACCTTGCTTAAGTATTCTTTATTTTTATTACAAATGTATATATTGATATACATACACTTAACATACACAATAGTTTTTTTATATAATAAACTGCTCAAAACTAAATTTGGTTATTGCCAATTTTGTAGTATTTAATTTCCCTAGCATTTTTATTTTCAATTTATTATAAATTGCCTTAAAATTTATTAGAAATTATTGTTTTTTACTTAAGAAAAGTTTAATTAAGGGGTTTTGAAAAAATAACAAAATAAGGTTTTAATTCCATAATTTTGTTTATTGGTCACAATAATTTTTTTTAAAACAATTAATGCCGCGTATAATGTTCTCTGTTAACTAAAACCTCTGTGCACCTGTTAGGCCTTCCGTCAATAAGGTTGTCACTAATTTCATAAGGAATTTCACTCCATATATGTTGCAGCGCTGCACTCAGTTGTTGCAGGTTGGATGGTGATTGAAAAACCTTCTCTGCAACACGTCCCACATGTGCTCAATGGGACTGAGGTCTGGAGACAATGGGGGAAGGTTCAGATGGGAAATTACCAGGTTTTTCAAAACATTGATGAACAACTTTGCCTCTATGAGGTCTGGCATTGTCATCCAGAAATAGAAAATCCCTACCAATGAGATCCCAGATTTGAGGGATCTTTTCCTCCATTTCTTGGACATAGCAAACTGCAGTGAGGTTGCCTTCAACAAATGGAGTCGTACATTCTCCAGTGTAAATCCCAAACTAGTCCATTACGCCGCCTCCTCCAAATTGCAGCATTGTACTCACTCCCTATTCTTGGTAGACTCTTCGGCACCTGCTATACAGATATAAACGCGACTAATCAGTAAACATAACAGCATTCTCTTCTACACGTTCATGCTACACCATATTCTCCTGAGTTGCTGATGGCGGGCTGTTGCTGCAGGTCGTCTCAAAGGGGCATATAATGACCAACTCCCACAAACGAATCATTTGTATTGATAAAGGCCTTGCCCAAACATCTTTTACTTCATTTAGGATTTGGCAGGCACTTCTGAAAGGGTTCCGTCTTGCAGCAATGACAATATTTCTGTCCTCCCTTAGCACTGTAGTGTGCTGAGATCCACTACCAGGCTTTTTTTGGGCACTTCTAGTCTCTCGGAATCGGGCTTAAATCCGGGAGATGACGCACCTAAAAACGCCAACAGCCTCTGCGTTATCCACTTGCTGGTGGCATCGATGACTCATTCTCATAATAATACTGGGAACTTCTTGTTCAAGATGATGTCTTTCCATGGTAGAAGAGAATACAATTGGATTAAGATGGAGAAAAGACGAGAAAAGTGTTTGTTTACAAAATAGTAATCTTCATATTCACTATTCTTAAGTAAATCCGTTATTAAAAGAGAAGATTAACATTTGTTTGCATTTTCTATTTTGTTTTATCTAACTAGCAATTAATTAAAATTAATAGAGTAAGAAATAAATTACAAATATCCCTTTTCATTTTTGAGCAGTTTATTAATGATTATGAAGACCAAGGTCATCAATACTAAGTGAAGCTTTTTTGAAATATTAAAACATTAGATCTCAAAAGGCGATTACTTAAAGATACTTCTGTGTAGATTATGTCATGCGGACAGACGTATTTATCACTCACTACAATAATATAAAGTATTGTTTAAAAAAGCTCTTAGAAAGGTGTTTGTTTACTGAATAGTAATCTTCATGTTTACTTCTTAAGTAAATCCGTTATTAAAAGAGAAGATTAACATTTGTTTGCATTTTCTATTTTAAACTTAGACGATCCAAGTCAAAGGAAATTGCCCAAATATCAATTTACAGCATATATTTATCGAAATTATTGTCCTCAGTTTTTCATAATAAACATACGTACATAAATCAGTAAAATTATGTGATAACTCACCAAACAAAATAGTTCATGTTGTATTTAAAAATTCTTACAATTTACAAATTACAAATAAACTTGTTAAATCAAACAAAAACTTTAACAACAAACTAATTTAGAAGTCAGAATGTTCACCTTTGCTTTGCCATAAGCATTAAATAACGGTTTTGCTGTTATAAATTATAACCCCGGGAAAATCATGGGATCGTACTGATCATGATCTATCGATGTATATCGATTCTACTGGTATGACTATTTATTCATACTAACTATAATGTACATAAATAATTGAAAAGTATGTTTTTTTACAAAAACGAAAACTATATGTCTAAAAATACAATACGATTTTAAATATGGTTTAGGTTTTTTACAAATCTACTAAATTTATATTAAGGTTAGATTATTTATTTTTCTTACAAATTAAGTCATTTTTAAATATTTTTTATAATAAAATAAGGTAAAAAAAATAGAAGTGTTAATTTTTTTATATTGTTACGATTATATGCGAATGTATAACAATGTTTGGTTTATTAAACCAAACATTGTTATACATTCGGTTAACCTGATACCTGGTGCTGATACTGATAGTCTTTCTCTTTCCTCAGTGATTGGATGTAAAAAGTGAGTAAGGCTGGACCTACAGGAATTAGGAATAGTCAGTAGTCTGTAATATATAGACATTGGACTGTGCCGTATATCATTTTTGCCCGTAATATCAGGCCGTAGTACTTAATAGATCGGGTATGGGCATTGGCGATGGAAATTTCGACTGAGAACCAAGAACAGCCGGCCGCAGAAGGTTCATCTCACATATCTGTTGACGATGTTGACGTTGACTTTCTGCCAATAATCTACGATATTATTAGAGGGTGAGTACGGTTGCTTTCTAGGTCGATTTGGTTTTCAACGTTGTGACTTTTTTTCCTCTTTGACCAGGCTCGAACGGGACCCCTTGGATTCGATACAGAAGACCAGCGGTGCACCTCCGGACATCAGCCAGAAAGTTATCGACCTCCACAAGAAAATCGAAAAAGCTAAAGAACAGGTAGATCTGGCCAAATCCTGCTATCTCTTTGTCCTTAAGGTTTATTTAGTCAAAATGGAAATTTCATTGATTCATGAAATTTAAAGGCATTTGGACTATTTTAAATTACATATAGTGTTCACATTTTCATTTTTTATTTTATTTTTAAATTTAAATTATTTTCAAAACAAGTATCACAAGAAATATATCAGCTTCCTTTAAAAAAAAGTGCTTTTGTATCAATGCAGAGCTTTCGACGATATATTGCATCTACAATACATAACATTAGTTTTTTTAGTAGAAGTTTTTTACATTTCAATTTAGTATAGACGTTTTTTCCTTTTTCGTACCTTGTTTTTAAATTTAAATACTACTTCTATGTTATCATTCATTTCGTAAATTGTGTGAAGCTGTAACGGAATCTTTATATCTGAAATGAAATTATTAGAGTTAGTGGGTTAGTAAATACGCTACCCAGCGGGACACACAAATATTACAAAAGAAAGTATTGTAGACAATTTGAAAGTGAGAGTCTGTAAGATATGATTTTAGTATGAGGTAATGCATATAGAAAGTTAAAAATTAAAATTAGATTAATTATTTGGAGATTGTGAGATGCAGTCTGGTATGACGTAGGTTTAGAAAAACATTTTCTTTGTCATGCCAACGTTTCGATCTTTATTGATATCTTTAGGGCTCAGTGTTTGTTTTCTGCGTAATTGTGTCGTTAGTAGAGTGCCTCTCAATACGGCACACAAGAATGACACAATTACGCAGAAAACAAACACTTGTTGCATACGTATAAATGTATGTATATATTTTTTTGCTCTACATATTTCAAAGGATCAGGATGAGACATTGGATGAAAAACAGAAAAACAAGTTCGTGGCATTTTCTTCCTCTGACTCCTTTCACATTTTACTACCTACATGCAAATCGAACCATTCAGAACAGAAAAATGCACTAACTCAGGGGGTTAAAAAAGCCAGGCTAAAATAACCAGGATAACTAGACCAAAATGATCTTAAATGACTGAGTTGACACTTTTAACTCAATACGATGGTGATACGAACTCGTGGCCGGTTTCCTAATATTATTGGATTTACATATATTATTAGATCTGGCAATTGTTGCAATTTGCACAGTTTCTGTATCAAATCCTCTACTACAATTGCCCAGCACATAGTTAGGCAGCTGGCCACTCATTTCCCATATTCAGACATCCAGGATTGTGCAGTTAGAATCTCAGAAGTGTGAAACAGTCGTATCAGTCTTCTGTAAAATATATATACAGGGTGGCCCCGATCAATTCAGCCACACTTCCAGATCTTATAGGAAATTGAACGCTGAGTAAAAAAGATCCTATGAACCTGTGTCTGCAAACGCTTCAGTTCCAAGCTACAGGCAAAAAACCATGAAAACCACGTTTTTTGACCTTATTTATGAAATTGTTAGTAAACCATTAAATTGTTAGTAGCCTTGACCGTTAAACAGCTCGAAACAACATCTGCAAAGGATTAATTTCTGTGTCGAACGAGTTTAAATCAGCCTGATCGGCCGAAAATTTCATTATTGGCGATTTTTCGAAGTTAGGAGGTGTGAAGGGGTACGCAAAATTCACCATTTCTGACATTTTTATTGAAAATTCACAACTTAAATTCTCCGTTACAAACCTCGTTTGTTGGTGATCGAATTCTCCGTCACATTAGACCAACCCCAGTCCGATTCGAATTTTGGCTAATTTACTGCTTTTCACCCAAATCGAATGTTACTGTTTCCTAATGTGACGGAGAATTTTTTGATAGGCTTCGAAAAATGAAATTTTCGGCCAATCAGGCTGGTTTTAATCTCATTCGACGCAGAAATTAATCCTCTGCAGATGTTGTTTCGAGCTGTTTAACGGTCAAGGCTAACGGTTTACTAACAATTTCACGAATAAGGTCAAAAGATCTGGTTTTTCATGGTTTTTTGCCTGTAGCTCGGAACTGAAGGGTTTGCAGACACAGGACCTTTTTTACTCAGCATTCAATTTCCTAAAAGATCTGGAAGTGTGGCTGAATCGATTGGGGCCACCTTGTGTATATACATATATATNATATACATTTTTTTTTTGGAAAAGGGAATTCGTCTAACTTTTTGGTAGCTCTATTTATTTATATATAACAGGCACTTTTGTAAATTTCAAATGACATGATCTTGTTTTGTTTGCATCTTAAAATATAATTTGCTCAAACAAAAATATGTTTTTCGATGGACCAATATTTTTGTCTGTACAGATGAGATTTGTTTCTATTTATAAACATATGACATATGTCCTTGATTATTTATACTTTGAAGTTTTCTTGTCCACACAAAGTTAATAAAGATTGTTTTCCAAATTGAAAAGGCTAGGTGATTACTTTTTAATCTTTTAAGCCAGGTAGAGTGTATCATTAACCTTAGTATTTTGTTCGTAAAAGCTCATTAGCAATAGTTGCTTGATCGTCTCTGATTAGGCTCATCTGCCTGTTATTGCGGTTTTGTCTTACTTAAAGTAAATTACAAAAAGCATAAGCGTACTTACTGACCTCAGAGTAACCAGTTTGAAACAAAACCAGCAAGCTAGTCAAGCATGAGCATGATCAAGCTACAGGTTTATCACCTTGTTGACTACACCATAACAAAAATTTATGTATAATAAATGCATCTTTGTTGTTAAATATATCATTGTTTGTTAAATTTTCAGATTAAACTTCTACCAGGTGTGGAATATAGCAAAGAGCAGCAGTTGGACAAGCTAGAAGCTCTTAGGAAGCAGCTCAGACTTAAAAGGGAACTACTTTTGAAATACAGAACTATGTGTTCCTTTGACATCCCGAAGATTTAATTAAAATGTTAAGATTCTTGTTCAGACTGTTAATGAATGAAAGGCTGATAGAAAAGCTATCAGAATCGTACCCGATCCGCCGTGCTGCAAAGTGGGTCGTATACATAGTTCAAAAGTCGAAGGCGATACAAGAGGAAAAAGGTGGAAAGCTTTCGGACGGTAGTTTCAAAGGCCTCACACAAAAAATATCAAGTGCTTTGAAGGACGTGAGAAACAATTTAGAAAAACATTCCAAAAAATGAGTTGTATAAGATAATATTAGTCCTTAGAATAAAAAAAAAATCAAAATGAAAAACTATTCAGTGGTTTTTATAGAAAATTCAGATTATCAACGATTTGATAAGGATAAAAATTTCAATTTGAAAAATGTCGTGTCTACATATTTTACTCAATTCAAAGAACTCCCTAAAAGAATCTACATTTCTTTCATCCCACCCGTATTCAGTGAGAATTCTAAGAAAGTTTATGTGGATTTGGTTGGGCCTTTATTGGCTTTATTAATTTTGGGATTTCTCTTGAACCTGGGCCACTCGTACAAACATCCTTTGGCCTTAGCCGATACTCCACCTTTTCTGAGTCTTGTCCTCTATGCGACCTTTTTGCCCTCGTTTTGTTTTATTTTAGTCAAATTAGGAAAATCTAACCTCAATCCCATGGAAATAATCTCCATTTTGGGTTACGGCCTTTATGCTCATATATTTACCATAATGACTTGTTATCTCGTAGATTCGGAGTCTAGCAACTACTTATTTTTCCTGTCGATGATATTCTTCGGCGGGCTGAGCGGTTTCAGAATTGTAGTGATTCTCTTGTTGACAATACCGAAACCTGGAGCAAGACTTGTTGCATGTAGTTTGGTTACAATTTTCCATTTGCTTTTTCTTATATTTATTCACTTTGTCTACATGCATAAAACATTCAAATATGGCACAGGAATAAAAGAGCATGGATAATTATTTAAGCTGATTGTAAATTAAATGATAATATGTACATTTTTCTATTTTTTTTATTTCTCCATTTTGGTTTATCAAAGCCTGGCTGAAGTGAGACGACAGTTGAAAATTTATTGCTGAAACAACATGATTAATTAGAAAAGGTAAATATACAGATTACAAAAAAATCATAACATTCTTCTTCTTTCTCAGTAATAAAAAATAAATTTATTGCAAAAACAACTAGTTTGACAAAGACAAAATCAAATTATTACACAATTTAAACAACAAAAAGAAAGAAACACATTAAAAATTATGGTTTATGAGAACAAATAGAACAATTTACAAGCACTGTAAAAGTGTAAATTAAAAAGTCTTCAAAGTATATTTTGTCAATTATATCAAAAATATCACAATTTACTAGTACTGTAAAAAGTGAATTAAACAATCTTCAGGGTATATTTTATCAAATAGATAAATAATTTTGTTCTTCTTTAGTACTTATAAATCTCTATATAAAATTTGATAATTTTTTTTCATTCTTACAATAAAAAAAATACTCTAAACAAAACGGAGTAAGATATCTTCGCAACTTAAAAAAAAGGCCTAGACTCCTACGGGTAAGTAGTTCCTGGTTGTAAAGCTGAATTAATTTTTGCAGTTATGATTTAAAACCATGTATATTAAGTTGATCATTCATTTGTTTTATCTGAAAAAAGGTATAAATTGTAAAGTAATGAAGTTTAACAATAATTTAAAAAAATTTGGCAAATTCAAAATTATAGAAGCATTAACAGAAAAAATAAACTTGGAAAGGCACAAAGTATCCAAGTACTTGCTACTACAAGTTAATAAGCGTAAAAAGCCATCTTTCATACTATTGTCAAAGGTGAAAAGTTACAAGAGGTTGTTGCTCTCTGATGTGCACTATTATTATGCACGAATGACCGTATCAAAGAAAAATTGACTTGTTCTGTACTACCTTTTTTAAAATCTAAGTTTTAAAAAATTAATTAAGGTTTTTAGTTGAGATACAAAAGTCAGTGTCACGAGTGGGATTCAAACACTCCTAGATACACTGCTACTCTACCACTTTATCTCAATTAAAACCCTTAATTAATTGAAAGATATTAATTGGTCAAGCGGACCACAAAAACTAGTGAGTTTTAAAAAAATATTACTCTTGTTAAGTAATTAACCCTTGCTAAATGGATAGAAGTGGAATAATTTCATTCCTGGTAAATTGTAAAATCCAAAATTATGCAAAAATCAATTAAAATAACTTTTCTAATTTTTATAGAGATTTAAGTTAGGGATTGTTATAAACGTATCAACAATCTATACTTCATCATCTTGGACTGGCAGACCAAAACAGCCTAGAAATGCAGGAAATTAAGGCCTCTTTCACATGAGGAGGTTAGTTGATTCAACTAGTTGAACAGACGGGAAAGTGGAAAATACTTTGAACCCCTTCAAACGCAGTAAATTTGTCTGCCTAGGCGGGTCAGCAAGCACATTTGCTGTAACGTTCTCGTCCACACCAGTTGAATCAACTCAAAAGACGCTACTCAGCATTCGTCCTTTACACCGTATCTTCAGGTTTGGAATTTTTTCATGAACCCAAATAACATTTGGGCCCAGGAATTAACTAGTTGAGAGTCAACCAGGCAACTGAATTGAATAAACTAAAATTGTCTCATATATAACTAGCTTAAGTTGACTACTCTACAGACATCAAAAAGTAATTTCAAAAATATCATTTTCCTTAAAAGCATTTGTTTTCTTCCAAACTATTTTTTATTCTTGCCAGTAAATTGAATTTAAATTTACCACTCATGCTTGTATGAAGAAATGAATTATAAAAATGTGTTTATTTTAGGAGATAAGATAATCAATTACAATTTAATTTAATGTTTTATTAAATCCATTATATTTAGTGGTCTATTGACCAAATTACTTCTTTCGATTAATTAATATTTCTATGTAAGGTTTTTAATTTTAATTTCAACCAAAAACCTCACATACAAAAATATTAATTAATGTTTTATTTTGAGTATGAAGAAGACGATTCAGTTAGACAGCCTTAGAAATTTATGAGCCGAGAACTGTTGATATATAGAGGTCATTATGACAGTTTTTTTTGCCTTATGATCTATGCATACATATTAACCATGGTGACGAATTCTTATATGTGTGTTCATATTGGGGGGGGGGGTGTTATTGTGAAAAAAGGGCCAGAGGTGATGGTGGGAATTGAACCCACGACCGCGGAGTCTATGAGCCGAGTCTCCCACGCTAACCACTCGGCTACCGCGGTCCCCCATTATGACAGTTACAAAAATTAAATTTATTTAAGAGAAATAAACTGTTTAATTTTATGTATGTGCATCATCAGCGAAACAGATAATAAAAAAGTATTTTTGGTAGAGAGAGATAAGAAGGAAAAATTAACCTTATTTCACAACAAGTTAATGGAAAATAAACAACCACAAGCTCAAAAATATAAATGATTGAATAGGAAGGTTTGAAGTGAAACAGGAGACGTGACCCAAAATATATATAAAACCACTGCCTTAAGTTTAATAAATAAACCGGAAAAAATAAATTAGAGGTTATAAGTGCTCAAAAATACCTTTTTTATGTTCAATACGTTTTTATGCTTGCAAACGATGGGGGTTGTACTATTGATTCTGTTCCACCAGCGGGTTATTACCCCCGGACCGCCCTCTACCTCTTCGCCTGCCCCTTCCTTTCCTAGATCCATTTGTGAGACCATGGCCCCCTCCGCCACTGCTACAACTGGTAGGTGTGTTCTCGCGTTTTTCGGAGTTTTCCGAATCTCTGCCTTCCTTGGCTCCTCTGACCTGTTTTGAAAATCAAAGCAATCTGTTTAAAACCCTCGACTAATATGAAACTCGATGAGAGGCTTTTGCAAAAGTTGTGATGAAATTATGGTCCACAAAAAAAAAAAGAAGCTAAAATGCATTTTTATAACTTTTAAATTAATATGATTTTTATCATTTTTGGGGCTGATTTTAATATGCTAAACGCAACCGCCTGCCTATATTCTCATTCTGCTGCCACATGACTCCAGCTTGATTTTATTTTGCATTGTGTGATGAAATCCAAAGCGTTTACTTCAAATCGTTTTTACTCCTTTGAAGTGCATCAATTCCATTAAAAATTTGACATACATTTCTCAGATTGTTCGTTTTGGTAAGTAAATGGAAAGAGAAAAATGAACAAAATTCTATTTAGTTGAAAATTTACTTTTGCGTGTATATTATAAAACATAATAACAAAATAAATACCAAAAATCTCTGTAAACATAAACTGTAAAAGTAAGAGGGGGCATTTGGAAGACAATAGGGAAAAAATCAGAAAGACAACAGGGTAGATGGTTAGAGGCATGGAAGACCAATTGAAAACCAATATATCGTATCTTCAAGGAGCCGAAGAATAAGTACAATTATTATATAAGTACATGCTCACATTCATTGAGCTTATGGTATATCAAGGGTAAAAATGAAAAAATATTTTTTTATTTTTTTTTCCATCCATGGCTGATATATCCTCTTTAGGACACCACAAGTTTTGAAGCAATCCATTATATTTTGTGGTTCGATTGACCAAATAACTTTTTTCAATTAATTAATTTTTATGTAAAAGGTATTTATTGCTTGAAATGAAAAAGTTAGTATCACGAGCCATTCATCTATTGGTACATTTCAGTTGTTTTCTAAAGTCCAGTACATTAGGCAAAACGAACTTATAGTGTCACGAGTGGGATTCGAACCTATGAACTTTGGCTAAATAAGGAAATGGGAGATTGGTGTCCGAGTGGATAGAAGTCACGATAGCTCAAGTGGTAAAGCAGAGGTGTATTTAGTTGAAGGCCGTGGGTTCGAATCTCACTCGTGGCACTAACTTTTTCATTTCAAGCAATACCTTACACAAAGATTAATTAATTTAAAGAAGTTATTTGGTAAATCGGACCACGAAATATAATGGATTTAATACATGAAACAAAGTAAATCTTCACTAAAAGCTCTCTGTAGCCATTTCATTTGTTGCCAAGAATCGAATCCTGAGTACATGACATTTGAAAAATGGCAAAAGGAGGGAAAATTCGAAAGGCAGGTTGAGATGGGAAGTTGGTGTCCGAGAGGATCAAACCCACGATAGCTCAAGTGGTAGAGCAGCTATGTACTTAGAGCTACGTATTTAGCCAAAGGTCGTGGGTTCGAATCCCCGCTTGTGACACTAGCTTTTTCATTTCAACCAATACCTTACATAAAGATGAATTATTTTGAAGCAATGTTTTTATTCATGCTTCTTCCATGCTTTATATGCAATATTCATTGCAGTAAGCAATGTGGTTTTATGTGAGTCATTAGCATCGGGCGTTACAAACAAAATCTTGGAAACACCCACCACTGGTCACAATAGAACTTTCTGGTTATGTGACATGGAGCAAGGTCCCTCCTAGTGATTCAATGCAAAGACAGTAAGTTTCGCATCTAAGTGTGAACCGTTTTATTGTTCAAATGAAAAGTGTTTTTCATTGTGTAGTGATGTTACTGCCGCGTGGAACATTCGTGCACAATGTGAAGCATGGGCCTATCATACGTGTTTTGCTAAAGAATATACATCAACATTGTAATCTGGAATTTAGTAAAATGTAAAAAAAATTCATACGCAAAATTAAAACAGTTCAGTTAATAGTTCTTATTCTATTAATTAGTAATTATATGTTGTGAAAAACTGTTCATCAACAACATGCTTACTTACTTTTAATCGGGATTTCAATGCTAAAATAAAAATTAAAATATGTTTTGTCGACATTGAAGTGGAAAACAGTATGTTACTCCGAGGGGACTGAAATTCATCGATTTTATACGATTTAATGAGATTTTTTCAAGGTACTAGCTTTCAATATCGAGACTTCACCGTAGTTCATTCCCAATGAGACCTATTGCGTCCAAAAGGTTTTCCAGAAAAATAATTGTTGTGCAATTTCACAAGTTTGAAAGAGACAGATTTGAACAGAAGGGGGAGATAAGTGTGGTTCGCTGATGAAAAGGACAGAAAGGCGGATGTGTCATTTTCTACTGAGGTGTTTACTACAATAGATGCTGTGTAGCTAGAGCTCTTAAAATGGGGGAAAAACACAAGATTGAATAACTCGTCACAAGGCCTGGGACGAAATAATTTGTCACGAATCCCAGAATGGTTGAGAATAAAATTAAAGAGTTCGCAAAGATGGGTTTTTGGATTCTCAAAGTCTCAATGGTACAGCTTGGAGTAAACTAATCTGAATGCTGTGGGTTCAATACCTAACAGTGACTAACCTTTTCTTCTTAAAGTAATAATTAATTTATAATAAAACTCAAACATGTCCAATTGAGATAATGAAAATAATGGAAGTTGTATAACGCGTTTTTTCAGTGGTAAATTTACCTGATTGTGCAGAGACTGCTGAAGCATTTTGTTAGGCTTTATGTGACCCCGAATAGGTTGCACTGTAGATCCTGTTTGGGGTATGACTCGTACGACATCACCAACCGCCTTTGTTGTACCCTCTCGAAACACCATCCTTTGACCGGCTTTCAGGTACTCGGGATGTTTTATAAATCTAAAGTGTACGACAGCCTTGTCACCCGTCCTCAGACATTCCTTGGACATAGAGAGAATAGACGCCGTCTGCCTTATACTTCCGCAATGAACTAAAATCAAACATTAAATGTTATCGTACATAAGATACAAACTTCCCACAAGCGTACACCATTTGGGAATGAGATTGTCTGCTTAGTAGAAGGTCCTACTTAACAATTACACTACTTTGAAATGAAATTGAAGCTTGATCGTATACAATAAATCACATCAAACAGAAAAATAAAACGAAAGCGAGAACAGGCAAACCAGGAGTTTGAGGAACAATCAAACACAGTTTTGTTATATTGCAAATCACAATGTTACACAATTATTAAATGTTAATGATTAACCCACCCATTGCTTGGTAACGCGAACTAATTGTAGTAGGATGATGTAACACCAGTATTTCAGCATCAAATTCCCAACAAGCGGTTGGATTTAGTGCAGGAGATACCATGACCATGCCTTTTCTAATTTGAGATCTTTTTATCTGAAAACAGTTTATGAACAACGTCCAGTTTTATCGTAAGTTTGTTATTTTTGATTACCTTTTTAAGGGCGAAGGATGCAGTCTGAGAGGCGCTCACTTGCTTAACTGCCATCCTCTTCCTGTGAATACTTTTTACGGCAATGGGTATAAAATGTCCAAGAGGGTCAGGCCCAAGCATAAGGGTGTCATTTAATTTGATAACTCCTTTTAACGTTGTACCCGACACTACAGTCCCAACACCCTGTTTTAAAAGAGGACTGTTATTCTTAAAAAATAGAACTCAAACCCAAGAGATAAAGAATTTTTTTAAATATTTTAAAATTTACATAGTCTATACTTATACTTTGCACAATTATAATTAAAAAAAATAAAAATAGAAGAAAAATACTTTACCGTTATGGCACTGATTTGTAAAGACTATCCCGAGGTACAGTAAACATTTTGATTTAAAAATTTCTTTTTTTTTTAAATCGTAAAAAAATTCCAAAATGTCAAATTAAAAAACTGTTTTCACAGCAAAGCCGGAAACACACTTACCCAACGCCTTGCCACATTTTGGTAGGGTGTGCACATCTATCCAAGTCAAGTACAGTCCACAGCGTTTATCACAATCGCAACGCCTCTTTTGTTCTTAATGCATTATTTTGAGCAAAACCATGTAATAAAATGTTAGTTAAATTTAATTGTTTTAAATAGTTATTCCGGTGTTTTGATCAATTTTCTGCCTAACCATCATAATTAAATAATTTTTATAAAAACTCATGAATTTTTGATCTCGTTTAATTTGGTTTATATTAAAACAAGAATGTTGTAATTAATATAACGACAAAATTACATATACTTAGTTTGAAATAAACTACAAAAAATATGAGTGTCCTGTTCTGATGCTACTCGACGAAAATGGTATAATTGTACGAGCAAAACAATGAAATAAATTGTTAGTTAAATTTTACGAGCAAAACCATGTAATAAATTGTTATTTAAATTCATCAAAATCAAAAAATGGTATTCAGGTGTTTTGATCAATTTTCTACCAAACCATTAAAATTCATTAAAAAAAAAAATAAATAAAACTAATGAATTTTTGATCTTGGTTAATTTGGTTTATATTAAAATAAGTTTGTTGTAATTAATATAACGACAATAATACATGTAGTTTGAAACAAGAATATGAGTGCCCGGTTCTTTTGTCTTCAACTGTACTCGATGCTACCCAACGAAAATCTGGACAGTGGGGATAGTAGAGCATAGAGTAGAGTTGCATGGCAATGTTCATCGGGCAGATGTGCACGGGGGTAAGACAATCTTATGGAAAAATGGACTTTGGATTTGCGTCGGGTAAGTGTGTTCCTGGCTTAAGGTTGCCAAAGTGATACTAAAGGCTTTGATACCGATTCGCTTCCCCAAATACCAATACCCTACAAACAAGCTTCAATATGGGGTTTTCTAGATGAGGAGAGGAATTCTGGAATGACATCCATGTATGGAGAAGGGTTTAGTGCGTCGTTACAAAATGACAGCCTTAACGAATGTGTTAATAGACAACACCATTTGATGTTGATTTTTGTTTGTTTTTAATTTTCTAGTCAAGACTCACTGGAACTGAGTAAGTGTCATCTATCTGAAATTCAGCAGGTTCGTTCTCCTGGCATGTCATTCTTGTTGTTAGCAAGTTTAAAAACATTCTCAGGAGGTCAAGGTTTTCTCCGTTGACGTTTGAAACTTGAAATATAGGGCATAATCTAAAAAGATACAAATGCGAGTATATTAACGTGTTATTATTCGCCTATCAATTAAACAAACCTCTCAGAAACAAAGTTTGTAGCAGAGATGACAACTTCGTCTTTAGAACGGACCATGAGGGGAACCTTACGGCACCCTGATGACTTCAGCGCCCTTGACAGTAACCACAGGGTATCCTGGAGGATCATGGGCGGGCACATGTCAATTTTCGTCACCACTACAAAAACAGGTACCGAAAGGGCAAGTGCGAGGCGTAGATGTTCTTTAGTCATCCCGATAATACCTGCATTAGCACCGACCTGCATAATTTTTAAATTTTAATTGAAAGAAAATAAATTTTTAACAAAACTGTTGAATTATACCATTAGCATTCCAAAATCTGGAGCGTGTCCGGTCATCCCAAATACAGTTGTTTTTAGGTAACGCTCATGTCCAGCAAGATCAATGAAAGTTATGACTTTTGAAGATCTCTGACATATTTTGACCCAATCCAAAGAGCCATGATCTGGCTTATTAACCACATTGCCTAATAACATTTAACCTTAACATTAAATAATAATTTATTTTATTGTTGTTTGTAAAATTATTACCCATGCTGTCAAATCCAAGGATATCATTTCCAACAGAACTTGTCCTCCCTGATTCCATTTCATGCTTGTGTCTAAACAATTTCTGCCTTGCGTGTCCCCTTCCATTGTCCAACTCGCCATGCGTCAAAACTCCCAATAGTGTAGATTTTCCAGCATCGACATTGCCGACCACGGCAACTCTGTTAATTTAATAATAAGTAATAATATATTTGCCCAATTGTATTTTAAAGCATAATTTAATTATAAAGCAACAAATAGATTTACTTGTAATTCTAGATAATTTTTTTTATCTGCATGATTGGTATGTATTAAAATCGATTAGAAAATCTTGAAAGTTCACCTTATCTCAAGAAAATCTTGCTCTACAACCCTCCGTCGTACTAAGTATTGTCCTGTCATCCCCTGCTCACCCTTCTTGTTCCTGAGGAGGACACAATCGGCATCAAGTGTCGCTGCCAACGATTGCAAGGTGGCAACTGATGCGTCATACTCATCTGGGTTTAAACCTGTTTCGCCACCATCTTAAAAATAAATAAAACATTGCGAATTTATAAACATTTTTTGAATCCACTAGTTTTCTTTCTTTTTTTAAATTCATTAATAAATAATAAAACATTTTTTTATTTTAATGGTTGAATATTTTGTACTCGTATTTTTGAAAGAGAAAATGTACCTTCTCCTATACCAACTTCAAAAATTGTCTCTCCTCTTCCATTATCAACTCTCTCTTTCAGCTTCCTCTGGAGTAAGTCAAATTGTTCAGAGGTCGGGCTGACTAGGCTGGCCTGAAAAGAAAATTTAAAATTAATACATTTGTTAACTTCAAAAGCATTTACAATTAGAATAAATAATAATAATTTAAAAAAAGAAGCTATCATCAGAAAGATATTTTACATTGAAAGCCCAATAAATAAACAGTTAAGACAGATGAAAAAACACAAATATTACAACTGCGTAAAACAACTACATGCATCGTACTTGTCACATTGCTTCAGTGGGCACAAGAGTGTTGCACCGATAAAAGTTGTATTGAGCAATGAAAATCTCTTCATGTTGCATCATCTATCACATCTCTCCAGTGGGCAGCTAATGTTACGTTTGAATCGCTGAGATGAACGTCCGTGCAGATTGAACAATGCTCAGGTGTGAGCGTTACTAAAATCTCCAACCTTGTTGGAAATGCTATCGCTGAACGAAAGCTGACATTGTATGCATTAGAAAAGCTAATTTGGATTGTGTTTTTCTATACAAATTCATTTTGAGATGTGCTTACAAACAGCATGTTTTGAGAGCTTGTACAAAATAAGCCTTACTTCTGTTTGTCAGGTAATGGGTTGAAATAAGGTGTGACACAGGGAGCGCATGGGTAGAAATGAATTCTCCTAGAAGAAATACACCCTACATCTATGGATGTAATGAATCCTGAATGTTAATAGGACTGGATTTTTAGTTTTTTTGTGTGTCGAGTCAAAACACAAGTTTCTAGGTAAGCCTCGAAAAACAAATCAATTAATTTTTAAGGTGGTAGTTAAAACTTGAAGCTGGATAAAAGAAATGCAAATGTACGTTATAACCCTGATAATTCTGATGATGGCGTGACCCACCTTGGACCTGATGCTAGAGTAGTCGATCGTCGGCGAAGGGTCGACTTGGGCGTTGATCAGGTTGGACGTGGTCCCCGAAGAAGTCTGTGTATGGTCGACGACGCTGGCCATTTCCGAGTCCGTCCAAAGCAATAAATCCAACTGTGTCCGACTGTTTAGGTTGTTTCACGTATGTTTACCTTTTCTGCCATATCTAATAGGAAAAGAAAGTTAAAACGATAAAACCGTCGATTATGGACGATAATCCAGGGTTGTGATATTTACCAGGCCCACCAATAGGATTGATTTCCTTTTATTTTTAAACAGCCCTGATCTTCATATCAATGGTTTCCTCGATACTCGCCGAGCCAATCCCAGCTGTGATGTCCGGGTAGATCAGGTGACGGAACTCTTAACTCTACTCTACCGCATATGTGGCAACCGTTGGAGAAATCTGAAACGGCGAAAAGTTTTGCAGAATCAAGCTATCATTGGGAATTTGGGATGAACTTGCAGAATATTCCAAAAATAAACTAAAAACTCGCTTCTAACGATTTTCGATTCAACATAATTATTCAAAGGCATTATAAAAAGTGAAAGAGTAAAACAAACTATTCTCCATTGATTATCACTTATGAAATAAGTCTAAATTATAAAATAAAAACAAGAATAAAACGTTATATTTCTTAGAAAATTTCTTATCGTGTTTGACTACAAAAAGAAATAATTAATTGGACTTCTCAAATAATTGCAGAATGTAGGAAAAGATCGAATCGATTCGAGATGTCGTAGATCCTCTGATCTTTCGACTTGGACTCCCGCGCATTTTTATCCTATTTGATCCGGCATGCGAAGGTTATCGTCTATCGGTAAGCGCCGAGGTAGGATGAACATCGCAGAGATCGAGTACCTCGCCGAACAGGAGGAGATCACGATTATCCCCAAGTTCAGCGATCAGCGGGTGATCCACCTGATCTCCGGTGACATCGGGCCCTTTAGGGCCGGTGTACCTTGCGTCGTCCCGATCTGGGTCGCGATAAATCTACGCAAAAGGCACAAATGTACCCTCGTCCTACCGGATTGGATGGACCCGGCGGTCCTCGAGATCAAAGTCGAGGAGGAGAAAACCAGCAGGTAATAATAATAATAAACAATCTATCTTTCAACAGTACTTTGTTTAACAAACCAATCATTTTTTTCACCAGATTTCGAGTTTATATAAAAAATGACAATTTTTTACTTGACATGTTCATTGAACCTGTTTACAAATCTATCTTCTAATTAATTATACATTTTATCTGAGGTTTTGGTTGAGATGAAAAAGTTAGTGTCACAAGCTGGATTCGAACCCACGACCTTTGACTGAATATGCCGCTCCTCTACTGCTTGAGCAATCGTGATTTGGATATATACACTAAAACCAACTCCTCATCTCAACCTTTTCGATTTTTTCAATTTTCGAGCTTTTTCATCTCAATCAAGAACTCAGATATAAAGTATAATTAATTAAAATAATTAGCATGTCAATTATGACTACTAACCTTTATGGTTTAATGTAGTAATTACAGAAGTACTTACTTCGCCAACTGCTCCTCGTGACCACTTCATAAGGCGCTGAGAATCAAATTCTGATTACACAATATTGAAAATATGGCAAAAAGAGGGAAAATTAGGTGGAGATGTGTAGTTGGTGTCTCGGGGGACTGAAGTCATTATAGGTCGTCTTACAGCAGCGGTGTATTAAGTCAAAGGTTGTGGGTTCAAATTCTGGCTACTGACACTAATTTCTTCATCTCAACAAAGACCTCAGATAAAATGTACAATTAATTAAAATAATTATTGCGGTCAATTATGACTAATAAATATATACAATTTATTTATTTATTTTTTTTTACAAGGGTTCACAACAGCAGAGGTTATATAAACTCTTGAAGTGCCGGTGTTTTTGAAAAAAAAAAGCCCATTTGCAAGTGTGTCAGGTTTGAATGCAGGGCCGCTGGATTTACCTTACATGTAACCGTATCAACGCCTACATCGTTGCGGCCACTGACGCCCTTATATATGGTTTAATATAATAATTACAGTGGTACTTCGGTAACAGCTTCTCGTAGCCACTTCATAAGATGCTGAGAATCAAATTCTGATTACTCGATATTGAAAATATGGCAAAAAGAGGGAAAATTAGGCGGAGATGTGGAGTCAGTGTCCTGGGGAACCAAAGACACGATAGCTGAAGTGGTTAGAGCAGCGGCGTATAGAGCCAAAGGTTGTGGGGTTTGAATCCTGCTTTTTGCATTTCAACCAAAACCTCATATAAAATGTATAATTACTACGGACAATTATGATTACTGAATACATATATCTATCTTCTAAGTTATTGTTATAATTTCATTTAATCATTTTACAATAATAATAATAATATTATCAAAAACAATATGAAATTAATCATTCATAAATAAAATTACATATGTAAAGAGCTCTGATTCATAAAAATTATAAAATTATAATTATTTTGAGATCATGAGATGTGATCTGGTGTGATGTAGGTTTTAGAAAAACATTTTCTTTATCGTGCCAACGTTTCGACCTTTATTGAGATCATCTTCAGGGCCTGGGATTTATAAATATTGTTTAAATTTTACAAATACATGTAGGATGTAAAAAAAATGAATTTATACGATGTTAGAAATTTTAGATTCAATCAAAGTATTTGTGCTCACTCAAAGGGATTGTATTCTGTGTGTGATTGAATCAAAAGGCCTTTTGAATGAACCACAAGATCATTTTATTGAATTAGAAAAACAAAAATTGATACTGCTATCAGAAAACTCCGCTCACAAGCAAAATCCTGGTTATCAGTGTCTGAAGAGTCTCCTACCTTTTATGATGAAGGTTCCGGAAAATAGGAAACTGATTGTTAGAAACCAACTGCAGCAGGTATTAGATGACGAAGAAAGCGGAGAGATTCCGCCACTGCTTTCAGATCAATGTTATGAGGGGGCGTGTTCTTCTTCAAGTTATGAGGAAGAAGTGGGCTGTCCTCAATTGTACTTCCTATGAAAAACGTATATGAAAATGTAAATAAAAATTTGATAAATAATAATTAAATGTAATTTATATATTTCTTTCCTTTTTTAAGGATTATTTAAAAAATAATAATAAAAAATGAACAAAAAGAAAGTAATTAAAAAATATTCCTTACCTTATAGTCAGAGCCAAGCATTCCTCAGGAGATATCACTTCTCTAAAACTTGACCACCTTTCGAGTGAAGGAAGAAAGGTTTTCAAAATATAACCAAACTCCCTGCACGCATTCGGTAGTATTCTCAAAACTTATGTGAAATAAAGACTCTAGCTTCTACCTCAGCCACCCTACCTGAATCTTGCTCTTTCCAACTCCCCCTTAACTGTTCTCAAGAGAAATCTTTTAATAGAAGTTTCCATTACACATAGAATTTTTTTACAATCAGGGATTTGAGAACCTGACCTGGCAATTTTAACTCTTTTCTTAAACCACCAACTACAATTCACTGATGTCAAATTCTGAAGTTTAAAACAAGATTAAGAAAGTTATTAAAATAAAAAGTGAAGTGAAACCAGAAATATTAACATAACATTTATGTTGTTGTAATGTCTGGTGGTCTAAGAAAATCAAGTTAAAATCAAATTTTATATCACAGGTGCAATATGCAATATCCAACTCAGCATTTAGAAGGTGTTGAGCTCTTTACTTCAAATATTAATTATATTTCAATTATTATCTAAGTATAGTCGTTTATGTTAAAAACATTATCAAACGAAAGTGGGCGGCAAGATGGAATGTCTGTAGAGATAGTATGAAAGAAATTAAGCCAATTGTACATAAATGGCCAACTGAGGAACTAGAGAGAAAAGAACTTGTGATTCTCTCTAGGTTGCGAATAGGTCACATCAGGCTAATCCATAATAGGCTTTTAATAGGCAACAACCTTCCAACTTGTCCTCGATGTATGCGAAGTGGAGAACGCGTCATTTTGACAGTAAAACATATTTTGGTCGACTGTCCCACTTTACAACCCTTTAGGCAAAGGCTCAACCTTTCGAGTGATTTACAGGAGTTACTGGGTCCCCAGTGTTTCTTTCGAAGAGCACTTTTCAGCTTTCTCAAATTTATTGGAATTTATAATGAGATTTAGGCCTTTTCCCAAATTGTTATACCATTGAATGCCTGCTAATGTTTGAATGAGAGTTGCAAGATTTCTTTTTTCAGAAGTTTTTGAGGCTGCCGGAGTGGAAAAATGAAATGGAAGGAAATACAAATTGCGGGGTAATGAACTGCAATGCCTAAAATCGCAATTTAAATAAGAAAAATAGCTCCCTCAAAAAAAAAAAAAAAAAAAGAAGTGTATTGTGTTTTGTTTCTTATTATTGTTATGTAGAATTAGTTTATGTATCATATTTGAATGGAAGAATAAAAGGATAAGGATGAGCCTATACTCATGCTGAGACTGTTGCTAGTCTGACTCCATTATTATTATTAGCCATACAAGCCTATGGGAAATGTTTAAATTATGGAACAAAAATTCACAATTCTAATCAAAAAAGAAACAGAAATAAATTTTATATGTAATTTAAAATGGGATTTTTGCATACATTTGGCCTTCCAAATTAAGAATTTTAAAAAGAAAAATTAAAGCTTGGATGGCAATAGGATAAATTAGTTTATGAGTGAATGTTTGGAGTCAGCTTTATAGCACTCAGGGATATAGCTAACCTAAGATAGAAGGTTTGGATGTTAGGGCGTGAAATGACCTTAGCCGTTAAACGCTCTTAAAAATTAATAATAATAATAATTATCTAAGCTATCAATTATATTTCATTCAAAATTTGTAGGGTATTCACAAAAATGCCAAGTGACCATTATCTAGGAATCGCTCACCTACTGTTCTCTAATGCTCTTGAGGACATCGCTAACTCTGACCAGATTAGGACATTACTGAAGGTATATCTAAAATCAGAAAGCAAAAAAAGTTTAAATAATTTATTTAACCTTGTTTTCAGGATCTGTGGGATGTTAGAGTTTCTAAGGCACGATCCTCAGCAGATTCTTTCTTGAAAAACGGAGGCCGCCATGCAGGAATTGATTACCTGACACAACTGGAAATCTGCACATTGAGGCCTCTGCTTTTAGACGCTTTAGATACTGTTTTCAAACTCAGTGTAATCAATGATTGCAGTTATTGTTTATGTCTGACAGTCAAATTTGTTTTTGTCTGAATTTGTGTTCTTTCTTTGTTTAGGCTCCACAAGACCCATTAAATTTTATGAATGTATCTTCATTTACAAGCCAGTCTCAGTCTCAGTCGCAACAAGCATCCACCAGTTCTCATTCGGAGTTATGACAACTTTATTCCATTTCCCTTCCATCTTTACAAAACTCGAGCAACAAAGAAATTGTACAAAATGTAAAGTTAATGCATAATAAATATTTTATTTAAAACAATTATTTGTTGTGTTCTTTGCATTTGTTTAATTAATAAGAGGGCACGGGGGCGTCGTTGGCCGCAAATTTTTAGGCTTGACACAGCACTCATCACTGTGAGGTAGGGGTTCCGGGTTCAAATCCAGCAGACTTGCATTCGAACCCGACTTATTAACAAATGGGCTTCTTTTTTTTTCTTTTTTTCAAAAACACTGGCACCCCAAAGGTTGATATAACATCTGCTGTTGTGAACCCTTGTAAATAAAAATAAGAAGACACCTGTAACTGTGGTAGCAGTATTAGTGTATGCAAAGCAATTCATCACAGAAAGGTCCCAGGTTTTGAACCTGGCGTACTTCCCAATGAGCACTTTCTATGGAACACAGGTTGATATGATACTTTTTAAAAGGATAGTTCCTACTCACAGTAAGTTGTTTTGCAACGATCCGGATTTCGAGCCTTTTAGCTCATCATCAGGTTGAAGGACTTCTACAACCACGTCTCTCGACATGAATTGCCAAAGTGAACCGCTGATACCTCCGCCAACGCGACGTTCCAATTATCAGCTGATTTTTTTAATGACGCTCAATGGTTGATATGATTGTGCAGTTGCAAACCTTGAATTCCTTTATTTTTACGAAAATTCTAATCCATTTTGGTTTATGGTAACAAAGGAAAATAAAAAAAATAAGGACTGATATTGGTACAGTTTATTAAAAAATCACATTTACAATAAAAGTTTATTATACCTATTCTTTTAGTCTATAATATGATAAATCACTTTGTGATTTAAATTCCTAGATTGTAAAACTTTGGCAATAAAAAAAGATAAAATATTTAAAACTTTTCACTAAATGAACTAATAGTGCTATACGTACTAAATAGTTTATATTATTAGTATTAAAAATGAGATCATTTATACAAACTAGACATACATGTTAAATTATAACACAGTTTTTTATACACATTTGTTGGTAATTGTGCAAAAAAAATACAGAATATAAATTATGTACAATAAGTAAATTAAATAGTATTGTTCGTTTGGTTTAGACTGCTACAATTTTACTTGGGTCGACTTTTATCCTTAAAAAGAGTACGTCGTCCTTGATGAAACCCCTTTTGTAAAGGGTCTCGTGGGATACAAACCTCGGAAAGCCGAAACCGAGGGTATCTGGCTCTTTGCTCGGCCTCTGGAAGTTCTCCCATGTTGGGTCAGGGACAAAGCTCTCCACAATATTGCAAGCCTGGAAAACAGTCATCCATATTAATCATTTTTGACATAACTTTCCTTTCAGTTAATTATCAATTTAAAATTTTATTAAAAATGATTTCCAAGAATTAATGAACTGATATCGTAATGGTTATTATGGTAAATATTAAGTAATAATATCAACCACTACAATTTCTGTCTGTGAAGAACCCCCAAAATGGAGAAATGCGCAAAGAAGTGCACGGACAAACAAATCAAGTGAAATGAGATCAATTTCGAAAAATCAGAGATGATCAATTTTCATATTTGATTTATGTTCAAAAGCAAATAAATACTTTCTGTCCATTTTTTTTACTTTCATAAATAAAAAACTTTTTTAAGAAGTAAAAATTACTTACTTTTTCGCTCTGGTCAAAGAGGGTGAATGCAACAGAATGAGAGAACGGCCACTTGAGCAATGCATCGTATTCGCCTGGAAGCAATTTGATGTAAAGTGATAAGTGCGTCCCTTCACCGGTGCCGTTGCCATTGAGGAATAACGATGCTTGCAACTTGTATCCGAATTGGGATGTGTACCAGGAAGGAGATATCAGCTCAATGCCCTCTTTGCTCTGGGCGTCGGACATTTTAGAAGCGAAGTCTACAACTTTCCAGACTAGAGTTCCCGTCGTATTGATTGAAAGGCGTGACAAAGCAGACTTGAGACTTGCAATTTGGTGTTGTTGCCTTGAGACGAGACTGCACATAAGTGACAGATGCTGCTGAGTGTTCTCTTCTAGATGTCGGTCCATGTTGACACCTCTTAAACCCTAAATCAAATTAAAAAATTTATTAATAAAAAACTAACACGATTAAAAGTTAGAAATAATCAAATGAAACTATAAAAACGCAAAAAATAATACCTTAAATCTACATCCAGCGTCTTTGTAGGCACATGGTATGAGGGGAGATGTGCACTGTTCTTTCAGGTGGGCTTCGATTTCTTCACGGGGCAATGGTGACATCGGACATCTGTTTGGGCAAGGTACTGGTACCCGGAGGCACTTGGTCTGGTGTGCAGTCAGTGTGTCGGAAACAAAGCTTTGACCGCAATGTCTGCAAGGCACGAGACGCTTCACGCATTCAGCGGCCTTGTGTCTTGCTAAATGTCTTCTTTGGAGTCTGGCACCACACTTGTTCTCACAGTACAAAGGCTCCTTGGGGCAAGTACCCGTGTGAGCATCTAGCGCCGGCCCTGACAGCTCGGTTGAGCAAAACTCGCATCGCTCTGTTCTCGCTGGGCAAGTGTAACGAAGGTGATCCTCCATGAGAACTTTTGGTATCTGCGCCCCACAGAGTTTTGTACAAGGCATTGTGTCATATTTGCATGTGTTCAAGTGGGCCTGAATAAAACAATACAAATTATGTAATTGAATTACATTGAATATAGCCTTCGTAATTGCAATTTTAAGAAAATTTATTTTAAAATCAATTAAATTTATAAAACAAGTTTACCTTCAGTTTTTTTAGCTGATCACGCCATTTACAGCCCTCTTTGTGATGTATGCAGTATACAACTGAGCTCATAATATCCTTCTCAATATCAGAGATCTGAAAAATTAAAATTGTCGTTAGTGGTTTTATGATTCAACTATTATTCATTATAAATTAATTCAAACTTAAAACAGGCATGTTTATATATTAGAAGGTTAATAAATGTGTATGTATATTAATAAGAAGGTATAAAAGCAATTATGATCCACAACAGGCAAACTGATGAAAATGGCAAAATGCCTGATGCACAAAACTGATTAGAACGTTCGAATTGGTTGAACGTTCTTTGCTTAAAAAATAATGTTTTATGATAAAATATTGTTGTAGTACTCTGAGAGGCAAAAAAGAAAAAAGAAAAAGAAGACCATCATTAATATTTTTAATTAACTATTAGGCAATCCACTATTGATTATCTTACAATAATAATTGGTTCGTTTTAAAGATTAGAGGTACATAAAACACAGATAAACAATTTGTATTTACAATTGGATTTTAAAACAAAATTGAATAGTCAATTTCTTCTTGGTTGGTTTTTCTGTAAAGTTCCTTTCTAATGTGCTGATGGTTTGAAATTTTTTTTTTTTTAATTTAGGATTTTTAAGTTTCAAATTTATTTGAGTGATGGTTTTAAGTGATACAGATTCATATCATTGTTGGACGATGGAAGAAGTCAAGCGTAAGTGCCAGGGTGCTTAATATTCCCAGAATTGACTGAAGGGTGTTCTTTCACTACCAAGATTCTGGGTAGAGATTGGGGATAAGGGTGAAGGAAGCGGCCACAAAGCCTTCTGCACCTCAACCCGAGTAGATTGTGCTCCCCCCTGTTTTTTTTATAACCCACTGGCCAGATTGAGGTTGTTTAATCAACCTCCAAAACCTTGCCAGTGGCTCCTTAATGTAGTATCTTGCTTGTGGCTTTTCCTAGTTGCAAGAATGTACACATACATAGAAGACACTGGAGCTTACGCAAGAAAGCATAGATCAGGTCACAGTCGTGTCACATCACAGCGAGATGATTGTTTTATTTTATTTTATTTTTTAATGTACTCCGTTCAGAATCATCATTCTACCGCTGTTGAGATCAAGCAACGACTTCAACTAGTTAAAATATTAATGTTATTTTATTATATGTAAGGTGAACACTTTCAGAAGTGGGATCATGAGCGAGAACTTCTGTCAAGGCACAGAACAGCTCGGTTAAGTTTCACAAGACAGATCAATTGGACTGAGCAAGATTGGACTAAAATCTTATTTTCAGATGAGTCATTGTTTTGTTTGAAGTCTTCTGATGGCGGAGTTTGGAGAAGAACAGGAGAGCAATATTTTCAACATTTTCGTTCCAGAGAAGCTATGGAAGGCCGGACAAACTTGAACTTCATCGAGGGTTCCGCAACAGTTTCGCATTATGTTGAAGATGTGTTATCAGAAGAAGTGTTTCTTATATGTCACTAAATGGTGACATTTTTATTTTTATGCATGACAGGACCCCACACAGCAAAGATTGTTGTTGACTAGTTGAAACGGGTTCAATTCAATGTTTGGTGTTCCATGTTTTTGCTTGTAGTCCCAACTTAAACCCCATCGAAAACCTTTAGGATGAGTTGAAAAAGAGGGTAAAATTCGCCCAGGGAAGCCAGAGATTTTGCAGGAATTACGGATAGCGCTGTTGCAGAAGTATAAAAATTTTCGACAGCACTAAATTCAAAACCTCTTGAAATCAATGCATGTCGGATGCAAGCAGTGATCAATACAAGAAGAGGAAATATTCTGTACTGGTATTTTCTGGCTGTATTTTCTTCATTCTTTCCATAGCAACATTTCTATAAAATGGTTTTACTCAGTTTAATTATTAATTTAATGTGTGGGTGTTTAGTAACCATTAGTTAATGATTATTTGGAGATTGTGAGATGCGGTTTGGTGTGATGTAGGTTTTAAAAAAACATTTTCTTTATCGTGCCAACGTTTCAATCTTTATTGAGATCATCTTCAGGGCCTTGGATTTATAAACATTGTTTAAATTATACAAATTTTTTTACACACTTTTTTCACATCATATATGTATTTGTATAATTTAAACAATGTTTATAAATCCCAGGCCTTATGATCTCCAAATAATAATATTTAATTTTTTTTTTAATTTAGCTAAATCTTATATTAAAAAAAAAAAAATCCAGAAAACAACAAAAAATAAAAATTATGACGAATGCATTTTTTGCCTCTCAGTGTTGAATTATGTATATAACAGAACTGGTTCTGTTTAATATTAATACACTTTAATTGCTTATTGTTCAAAAATTGAGAAATTTGTTCATTTTATTAGAACTGAAAAGATAATTAAAAAATCAGATTATTTTGGTGCTGTTGTAAATATGACATAATAATATAATAACCTAATTTTTTTAATGTATTTTGTTTCTCGGCTTAAGACTGGAGACTTGAACGTGCTAGGAAGGGTGACTTATATAAACCAATCGAAACAGCACAGTGCAAGATTTAATTTTTCAATATCATAATTTTCACGGTCGAAAGGGCCCTCAGTTTTCCCTCAACTCAACCTCAACGGCAAAAAGGATTTATAATAACGGGAAATTGCAAGAAGACAATAGGCGGATAGATTTCCCGACGCCGATCCAAGATGGAAGGGGGAAATGTTATTTTGTAATTACTCGGTTTTGTTTGGCTCGCTTTTCGTGGGAACCGAGTGCTACAACCTCTCGTCCCTTTTTTTTTCCTCGCTCCTTCAACGATCCTATATAGGTTTTTGACTTTTTCAACTGCAATCTAATCTACTGAGATAAGGATTATCAGGTGGAGAGAAGGGATTTATTGATCTTTAGAACGCCCTGTGATTTCAGTGGGCAGCGCTTTTTACTGCCGTTGACGAGCATTCCCGTTCAAAATTACACAACGACATATTTATACGTACACATACACATATGAAAACGGGACAAGTCCTTGATATCCGCGCAGCTGCTGAAAACTAGTTCCTCCGGGTTTGAGGTTGTGTCACTTTTAAAATACCTCTGAGAATTCTCTCTGGAAATAAAACCGTTGGTAAATGCGTTTTAATTAAAGGAATGACGAAGACTTCAGGGATTTCAACGCCTCCCGGTCTACATCCGGCTCTTTCAGCAGACAAAGAAATTTCGAAACGAAATCGATAGAATATATTCTCTTTATGTAAAATTTAACATTGGCTTTTAACATTCATTTAAAAAAGTATTATTTTATAAAACGTGAACCAAAAAACAGCTTCTGCAACGTTAAGTTTAGTTTTAATTCAATCCTAAATTTAATGATTATTCGGAGATCGTGAGATGTGAATTTTACAAACACATGTAGGAGTTGAGATATATTTGTACAATTTAAACAATGTTTATAAATCCCAGGCCCTGAAGATGATCTCAATAAAGATCGAAACGTTGGCATAATAGAGAAAATGTTTTTCTAAAACCTACGTCACACCAAACCGCATATTACGATCTCCGAATAATCATTGACTAACGGTCACTAAACACCACAGACTCGTAAATTTAATATTGTATTGGGAAATGTTTTTTGATAAATAAGCAAGGAAATTGGAACTAATCGAAAAAATATACATATACATGCATTTTTGAAACAATATTCAGCTTGCAGTTGAAATTTCTCTCTGGAAATAAAACCGTACTAAATCAGCAGTTTATGTTGGCCAGTTTGATAATTATATGGTAGTAATATTAGCAAGTACGTACAAAAAGGACAAACTTCGAAGTCGACCGAAACGCGACATTCAAAATCAACAGGATCGTTCAAGCTACAGGTTCATCATTTGTCAGACTTCAACATATTTTACATTAAAAAAAAAAATCCGGTTTTAAATAATTTTAACAATTTAACGTGTTTCGACGTTCGTGTTTTCAGTTCTGTATAATTTATTTGGTTTATACTGCAAAAGTATATATATCTATCTGCTACCAACTAGTAGTTTCGGCCAAGTTTGTGGCACATTAGTCTCCAAAAATACAAAGTGAATCTTTGCTTTTTATTATTTCAGCTGCCAAAAAATAAATCTTTTTGTTAAATGGAAGAGGTGTTGATTTTTAATTAATCGTGTAGGTCCATTCATAGACTCACGTTTTCGATCTGATGGACACGTTGAAACATAGAACTGCAGCAGAGGTCCATCGTGTCCAAGTTAGGCTGCATTTGTGAAAAGTGGGAAGAAAATGAATTCGCAGCCCGGCTCGACGAGCGTTCCGGACCCGTTCGACACGTTCTCTTATCGCCGGCCCGTTGCTCACTGAAGACTGAACGTCCGTGTCGACAGTCGATCCTGCACTCGCACTCGCCCCCACTTCGCTAATTACACATGCAACGACTTCGCTTACCCACGCTGACCTCGCTTTGTCACTTGCTCTCATCGCCCCCACCATCGGCGGGGTAGCAAGTGTTGCTCTTTACAGACTTTCTCAGAAAGAATGCCCCGACTCGGCAAAACGGGCATCCTCGGTTTTCATCATTGATTAGATAAGGGATATTGCTTAAGAAACACTCCGGCTTTCACAAAAGAATCTCCAGTAAAAACCTACTATTAAAACTGATAATAATCAACCTCGTAACCTGCATGGTACTTGAAATGACTAATGCAAGTTATACTTGTATGATGCTGTCGCCGCCGTTGACTGTCCTAGTTTTTCCAATCGGACAAATAAGCACGACTAAACAATTTGAAGAACTTTTCGTAGTGGAGAATTAGACAGATGTCCTTGCTACCTGAGGAGGACGGGAGCAGATGTCAGAAGACAGATGTCCACTTTATCTCGCATGTGGTCGCCCCCCTAATCCAGGTGGCCCACTCCCTCAACCATATCATTCCGTTTAATACCCGGAGTCCACTGAATCGGAACGGATCGGAATTTATATAGATCCAATTATCGCAGATTTATCCAGAAATGATGAAACGTACAATCGTTATTGGAGTTGGTGCAGTATAGCAGTAGGTGCTACCTTACATTGTAAAAAATCTGCTATCCTCTTCCTTTCTTGGATCTGTATCACGGAGGATTAAGCCGAT